ACTGGCAACACACACTGGTCAAAGACTTTTGTCTTGACAGTGCGGTAATTTGGACTGTAATTTCTCGAACGCTGCCCATCCGAGCTGAATATAGGACTGGACTTACCTAACTGGACTATCTGTCCCAATTAAACATACTGGTCGACATTTTCGAGTGGAGTATTCCCAATTTTAACTGGACTGGGTACAACATTTCGATTCGGCATAATTTTCGTCTTATCCATGTTCATCTTTAGATCCACTATTTGGGAAACACTGCTGAGATCTTCGAGCATTATGTTGAGGTCTTCCAAGGTCTCAGCCATAAATACTACATCATCGGGCAAAGCGAAGTTGAATGGACTTATGAACGATAAACCCGATACCGCATTGGGACTGCTGGTCGCCCACCCAGTAATATAGTAAGTTACCAGAATTGAGGATTATCGAGTCCTCTCCCTTTCTTCGGACTTCAGATAGACCGATAACATCCCAGCGTTACTTAATAACGGATTCTTCCAACTCCGTTAACTTCGCGTCAGTCCTTAGTGTGCACGTGTTGTAGGTTGCCAGGTACAGTCTTTGATGGTAACCGGATCTTACCCGTGGATTCTTCGCACCCCCTGCCCTGCTGTTACCAAAGCTGCTGTGGCTTGGACTTGCAGGGCTACCGGGGACTAGGGGCCGATTTTTATTTGTATCTATCAGTAGGGGATTTTTGCCGTAATCGCCACACTTGGCAGACGGGTTGGCGATCGCAGTAAGGAATTGAAGTAAAAGACGCTGCTGCTCATCTTCTGCGGGCTGTGTTCCCGGTATTCGCCTTCTACGACACCCATGGGAAGAGAGGGGGCGGTGCTATTCTTGGCCGGGACACACACGGCAAAACAAAGTTACGATATGTACGTACATGTAATACTTCGTGAGTATAGCATAAGCATGGGTCAAACCAGTAAAAGCACAAAGCACTGCCTGAAGCGTTACATCGTTGCCGATTTTTGCAACACGACGCACTGAACTGCACACGCATTTGGTTTGAAGAACCAGTTTGTAACTAAGGTACCTGATACAAATAAGCCCTATGCTGAAATAAGGCCTATAGTGCAGAAAAGTCTATTAAAATATATTTACATCAAAAACATTTTACACAGGCATAGATGACAGTTCTACAACTCGGCAAACTGTGCATGAGCGTTCCGCTCGAGCTCATAGCGTCAGTAGTGGCGGTACTTTATGATTGTTTATAATGGACGAGCGTTTCATAGCGCGTTATTAATTTGTCGTAATTTTTTATTGATTTTTAATACGTCATTCTTTGAAGTTTTGTTTCATGTAATGTATACGGATCACAATATAACAAATAAAAAAGTTAATTGTGGCCTAAAATTTAAATTTTAAGCATACCTATGCTAATTAAATGCTTCTTATAACTTTTATGAAGTATAATGTCCTAAATAAAGCCTACTTTTATAATAGGCCTTAATTTTAAGAAATATATTCATTTTCCAATATTTAATAATACTTTTGAGAAGATATGTTAATTTGATATTTTTTGTTTGTATGGATATGTTTTTTTTATATTATTCTAAGACCATATTAATGCGACTTCAAATCTGACTAACAATTTAAACAAATATTTAGTAAAACAACTTAGAATGTTGTTCAAAGATCCCATGGAAAAACTTGATTAAAGGCTGAGAAATACATATTATAATTAATACTCTATTAACAATATTTCTATACTAGAAAAAAAATCCACGCGGACCAGGCAGCGGACGGGACTCGAACCCGCACCCTTCGCAATCCGGGCGAATGCACTGACCAATTATGCTACTACTACTATTAAACATTTGTAAGAAGGAATAGCAATTTTACTTGTTTTTTTTTAAGTATTTAACTGCTAGATGTTTAAATAAAAAAAATAAAAAAACAAATATTTCTATAATTTAATGTAGAAACATTTCTATAATTTAAGCCATAGGCTTTGTTAAGTGTTTATGTTTTAATAGGCCTTAGGCTAAGGTTCCAGAATAAGCTCTTTTTACATGATTTCTGATTGTAATATGTTTTCTTAATTACTTAAAATTTATGAACCAAAAAATAATGCCTTGCTTTTATTTATCACCTTCTTCGAATAATTTATCATGATACGAGTGTTTGAAATTAGGTAGGCCTTATTTGTATCACTTATATTATTTCTAATATAATATGTTAATAATATGAGGTCGTTATGATTTTAAAGTGCCTATGATTGCGTATGTTCCCACTAGTCCTACTGAGCAGTTACACGTTAGAACTAATGAGATTTTTTTAATCTCATTCAAAGTAAAACTGCATGGAACTTAAGTTTCACTTGTTCTATTATTCTGGTACATGTCACAACGTAGGACTTATGGGAACAAAACCTCCCATTAGTTCTACCGTAGATAACAGGTAAAAGAAGTGGAAAAATAGAGTCCCACTAGTTCTACTGTTCTGTAACATATAAAATAATAGATCTAATAATGAGACAAAAAACACATTAGTTTTACCGTAGGACTGCTCAGTAGGACTAGTGGGAACACGTACGATTGTAGTCAGTGGCGGACTAACAGGGGAAGGAAGGGAAGGGGCGGCCCGCCCCGGGCCTCCGATCTTGGGGGGCCCCCAAATGCCTCCACGTTACCCTGATCAAATCCTAAACAAGACTTTAAAAATGTGCTTAGTACCTACATAATTTCATCAAGATCAAAACAGTACAGTAATCTAGACTTTTTACGCAGTACTAATATTTTTTTAACTTTGCTGAACGCGTCCAATACGCTGGTGGAATTCCCGTCTTTGTAGCGGGTACTTCCTCAGGAATCCCTGAATGAATGAAGTGCAAATAATTTACTCTTGTACGCATAGATTTACATTCACTACATTCTTATTTAAGTCTAACAATATTTGCGGTCTCCAAAAATGACTCTGGATACAGGAATCACCAAACTAAACGCTTTGAATAAGTATTTAGGTGGTTCATCAACATCAAGAAACTAGGAAAAATGAAGGTATAAAGAACGATGCCGGGTGAATCAGCTCATGATGCTGGATTATCAATTCAAGAAGAAATATGTCGGTCAAAGTATGAATGCATAGACCGCTTTATATAAAAATTTTCGAATTGGGCTATTAAACAAATCAAAAATATTTTCCAAATTATTGAAACAAAGTTTATGCTAGAAACTTCAGATGACGCTCTGGCTGTAGCAGTTGACAATCTGATACAAAGTTATGGTGAATTTGACAAGACTGGTTTTATCGAAATAAAAATAAGAATCTACATTTTTTTAAAGCTGGGTGCCTCAATCAGCTTCGCCGCCCCGGGCCTCGGACGGGCTTAGTCCGCCACTGATTGTAGTACGATAGTTTTGTTAAAGTTTTACAGAAATAAAACAATTAATTGTAATTAAGTACATTAACATTTTATTAAAGTAAATATAAAGTATTTACAACGCCATAGCACGATTTGTGTAGGTTAAAGTCATAAAAAATTCATTAATACTTTTGACGTGACAACGTCTTAAATTAGGTTGCGGCTGGGAGTCACTTATGAAAAAGTGTAACGCTCGGTAACGTTACGATGAGTCTCTCGTGTTAAGTTTAAGTTTACATGTACAATGTTTTAGTAAACAAAATATATTTCTATAGTTAAAATTTGTGCAATTCTTATTTTCATTCAATTCCTTGTTCCTATTGTGCAATTTAATTATATTCATATCAATAAATATTCTACCGAGAAAAAGACGTTGTCACGTAAAATCTTCGCCCGTAAAACCGACTTTACAGGCAACCATTTTTTATGATTACGACTAGCTAAGCTTCTTGTCTTTCCTTTCTTCAAAGACCCTTATTTCTTAAACCTATTAGAAAGCAGTTTAAACCATATCAGGAAAGTGTGTCTCAATAATTGTAAGCGACCGAAAATAATACACGCTTTCTGGACGTAGTTTTATCTGGAACTGTCAATATCTCTTATCTAATAGACAAGTCCGTCCGTCCGTCCGTGGTGCTGTTTCAGCGGCCAAACCGTAAGAGATAGATAAAGAGAATTTTTAAGTTATAAGTTAAGAATAGTCTTATAAGACTACAAAACCGGATTTGACTTCCTACGTACGTAGCACTTCCGGTTTTCGAGAAATCACGTGATTTCTATTTCAAACGAAACCACACAAAATGTCCGAAGTTCTCAATTAAATAATTTTTTTTTTTTGGTGAACATTTGGTACACTGGTTTGCTAGTATATACTTAATTACAAAAGAATGACGTTGAAGGTTTTTCCAACTCAGAACCATAATTTAGATATAATATTGGCCGAAAAAAGATGGAAGTGGTTCAATACTATCTTTTTGACACAGTTCCTGTAACTAAAACATAAAATAACAAATGTATATAGATAACTATAACAAATGAGTAAGCGAATACTTTTGTTATTTTGTGTTTTAGTAACAATAACTGCATTTAAAATACTACACTGTAAATTAGCAGAATCGACAGCCTGTTGTCATATTGTCTAGTAAAATTGCAAAAATATCACCCTCCCCACTCCTTAAGGTCAGACCTTCTGGGTGAGCGCATATGTACGTTTTCCTTATCAGGAATTCCTGTTCGGAGACCTGAATGCACGTCCGTAAATATGTACACAATGTTCAACGAGGCGCACACTATTATTTATTCAGAATGGAAAAAAAAATAACGTTCGGGTCGGAAACTACCTATTAAAAAAAACCGAAACGTCTGCGCTTGGCTCACGGCATTACGAATCGGAATTCCTGATCAGGAAACCGTACATATAGATCGCAAGCAACCTTCACACAAGTCACTGCTGGATAGTGTTTATACTTCTGTAAGATAGACGGGCACTCTAATCTGAGCGGGAAAATCGCTGTATGCGAGAGCACAGGTCACTTACTTATTCAAAAGAATTCTTAGGGTCAATTTATACTAGCACAGAGTCGAAGCGCATCGAAGCGTAAAATGCTTTACAACTAAAGTGAAGTTGCACGAATGCGCGCGTATTCTCGCGAATATGCTTTTATCAGCAGCAGTGCTATTGCATCACTTGCCAGTTGATCTATAATCACAGGCTAATTTCCGACTGATGACGCGTAGGTTCATTAGTGAAGTGCATTCTCGCGAATTCGCGCGCACCAATCAGCGTTGGTCACGCGCAGACGCGCGAATTCGGTCGAATGGGCGCGCGTCTTTTTAAATCTCTGAAGTAATGTGTGCAGTCCGCTGTGGAGATAAGGTTGAATTTGCTATGTTAATAATTGGATTTACGCTTCGATGCGCTTCGACTCTGCGCTAATATAAATTGACCCTTGGATATTTGAAATCAAAAATAGGTATAATAAAAAAAATTGAGGTACTTTAGATAAGAATCGATATATTACATATTTAACAACAAAGAAAAATTAAATAAATTGCACATTAAATTAAGTAATATTGTAATTACTTTTGACTATAACATTATGCAAGTAGGTAAAAATTAGACAAACCGATAAGTTAGAGTAGTAAAAACTCTACTTACTGTAAGAGGGTACAGTAAGTAGAGTTTTTACTATTTACTTAATAAAAAAATACAAAATTTTACCAGTGCTGCTTCTTGAATATCAATTATGTTATATATATTTAACATAACTTAATTATATATAATTTCTGCAATAATATTAAAACCTATTTATATGTAAAGAAATTTTTAATCACATAGAAGTCAGTGCATTCACCCGGATAGTGAAGGACGCTGGTCCGAATTCAGCCCTGGTACCTCGGCCGAAGCGCATCTATTTTCTAGTAAAATGTTCTTTACATATATAATAATAAACATATAGCAGTTTTATAAATGAAATACAACTTATTTGTTTGGTAAGTTGGTTTTGAAATAGTATTTTGCTTGTTAATGAAGTGAAACTTCTATATAGACGGGGGGTATTTGGATTTTGCTGTCACGAAAAGGCGTTACTGCCCCCTGAAGGGAGCAGACGATTATATCTCCCATTGAGAGGCGGCAGCGGTTCCACTTGACCGTTGAAGTTTCACTTATAATCTTAGATTAAAACAAAAAGTAGGATACGGCACTCGCGGCTTGAAAGTGATCCACTTAAATTGTGGTGCATGACCATAATTCGCTTTAGTCACAATTGGACATGCAAACACGCTACATGTGCACTCAATATAACAATATTGCGTATATTCTGTGTTATGAAGATAAAACAATGCCTTCGATGCTTTTATAAAGAACACAAATAGTTCAAAATCAAATAACTAAAGCCTCGGCAACACTTTTCATTTGTAAAACTGTAAAAACATTTTTTTCACTAAAATCACGGTTTGTCGTGAAAGTTATATAAGTAGGTAATCGCCATTTTGTATCAAAGACAGCAATACGTATATATACTGCGTTGCAGCGTATAGTTCTGTCTCGCTCGCTCGATTGAATGTTTTTATACAGATGTGTGCGTGTGTGAGAGTTGCTTATGTAGTTGAGTCGGATCATATTTTATTTGATGCTAGTATGAGCGTATCGTATCTTCCCTTTTTGTTTTAATCTAAGCTTCTATTATGTGTCCCAGCATACATTTAGATTTTTTTATTTATCACATTTTTGTTTGCATCGATTCATAATACGCCAGCTCTTCATCCGTTACAGACGGACGGAAGGACTCCACGCCCTGCCACAGCTCCGAAACTCCAAGTATCACAGAATCTTGGCTAAACTCGCTCTCTTTCACTAACCCTGAACAAATAATCAGCTCATTATTTAAAAATTATTTTAATTAAAAGCTTATAAAGAATATATGTATGCCACGCGGAACTTTAGACCACTAAACTATAACTAACTTTTCAAATAAATAAAGAAAATTCTCGTGTCACAATGTTTGTAATAAAACTCCTTCGAAACGGCATAACCGATTTTTATGAAATTTTATGTTTATTAATATACTTAATGATCGGTCTAAGAATAGGAAGTAAACTATTTTTCATACCCCTAAAGCCCACCATTCACTACACGCACCGCGAGCCGAACCCCGAGCCGTACCCATCCGTGGACAAATCCGTCATTTCCCACACACTACACGAGCGTCGAGTTGCAGTCCAGTCGCTTGTGTACTTTGGTGAGCCTCGCGCGTATCGTTCTTCCCTAGCCTACCATGCTACCGGTGCTTTCCAAACGCACAAAAGTCGCTTTAGTAGTCGGTGCAATACTTTTATCGGAGAATAAAAAGAAAAAGCGCGTTTGAACAAAGGAATGGCTGAAACAACGAACAAAATATACTCATTTAAAATTGCTGCAATGCATTCAGACCTGTAAACCACCTGTTTCTCTTTAGTTTTCTTTTTACACAGCAGGATAAATTCTTGCCAAAACTCTTTATGATCGCCGAACGACATGTTATTATACTCGTTTACTCGTTCGTGATACAAACAACACAACTGCAGGCCAATTATGCTCACTAATTGTGATATTGTTTTGATGTCAATTTCACATTACTCATTATGCTCTCCGAAAAATGCGATATCAAAATGACATCAACTTTAAAATGATATCAACTTAAATGCGTATTACGTTCAACTTTTTGACATAAAACAGTATCGCATAAACGTCAAAAATGTGATACAGACTTAACAAGTTAGGAGGTGGTTTTACTGTATCAAATTCCTTTTTTTTTTAATAAAAAAGAGTAAAATGGCTCGTTTCGGGTTAGTAATGGACTATTTAGAACGAGCTCATGCCGAGGACATGCGTAGAAGAGATATACCCCTTGTAGAAGAGATACAATAAGCTCTTTATGTTCGCTTGTTTTGATGTCAATTTCACATTACGTATTATGCTCTCCGAAAAATGCGATATCAAAATGACATCAAATTAAGCGTATTATGATCAACTCTTTAAAATGATATTAACTTGATATCAACTTAAATGAGTATTATGTTCAACTTTTTGACTTTTAACAGTATCGCATAAACGTCAAAAAAGTGATACAGACGTGATACAGAATTAACGAGTTAAGTGGTCGTTTTGCGTGCATGCACTACAAATGACTGACAAGTTCACCGATAAATCTGTGCAAGCACACACACGTACGGATTTGTACGGCGCGGCTGGGGTGCGGCGCGGCGCTCGCGTCTCTTGACGGCGAGCGCCGCGCCGAGCCTCGAGCCGCACTCACCAATACATTCACACGCGGATTTGTCCGCGGACTTGTCGCCAGCGACAAATCCGGCGGATGGGCGCGCCTGTGAATGGTAGCCTTAAGTGATAAAGCTGGTTCAACCCAATTTCTTTTTATCAAAAGAATTTTTAAGGATTCGCCAAAAAAATACACACAACCCTAAATTTACCAAACCTCTATTTTCATGGTGATACGAAGTTAGCTGGGCCACCAAGTCTATATAAGTATTAAAACGATCATGACTCGGAAACAAAATGTTTTGTGCTCATCACACAAATAAATAAAAATGGAGTATTAGAGCGAGCAAGTCCACGCCCGTACAACGCCCCGCTATATGTGCCAGTGACTATATGACGTGAGGTGGATGGACAGTGTCTCAGTACATACCAGCTTGCAGGTCGCGCACGAGGCTCCGTATAGCGGCCGCGCGCGCTGAGTCTACTACAGCGAGCAAGTCCGCGCGATCGTACAACGCCCCGCTATATGTGCCAGTGACTGTATGACGTGAGGTGGATGGACAGTGTCTCAGTACATACCGGCTTGCAGGTCGCGCACGAGGCTCCGTATGGCGGCCGCGCGCGCTGAGTCTACTACAGCGAGCAAGTCCGCACCCGTACAACGCTCGGGCAACGCCGCAGCTATGTCTTCCAGGCACACTCCCTCCCTTATCTTGTAACTACGTGGGCGAATAAATAGCGTGGTTATTCGTCGTTCATTATCAACAGACGAGCGAGACGTGTGGTGATTTATACGTAATCCATGATTATCAGTGATGAATTTATTAGCCGAAACTTTCGAAAAAGTAAAAACAGAATAGAAATTGAAACGACCATCATTTTGAAAATATTTTTTTCTCTTTATAAACTTTTTATGCTTAAGTGGCAAGTGGCATATCGTATTCCATTGCTATAGAAAAGAAAGTGAAAGAATGAACTTAGATGTAACTTAATAAAATTAATATATCTGAGTGCGAAATAAATTAGTTCCTGAGAGAAGTACAAAATGTTTTCAGTAAGACTATTTATACATTTATTTGGTTTACTTTACACTGTAAAAAGTAATTACAAAACTAGTTGTGTTAACCTACAAATAACCAAAATTTGTTTACTAATAAATTATTTTCAGTAACTCCTAGACCAATTGTTCTGCTGCATTTTATATTATCATTCCAGTTAATCGAGTTTAGTTAAAAACTACTAAACCATTTTGTTATAATTATCAAATTCGATTTCGGTAATCTGTAACATAACAATGTATTGTTTTAATCAAACACACTTAAGGTGATTATTTAGATAGAGTTGGCCTAACTACAACTATTTTGTGCTATTTATTAGCAAACACAAATACCGCTACGAATAACTGAAAACTGTTAGCCAAAAAGTTCGGTAACAGATTGCATGTACGGGTTTTTGAAGTGATCGTGAGTCGATCGAATGAGATTGTTTTGTGCATATAAGTTTATAAAATTTGTATTTGAAAATAACTTGGGAAATCATAATCCCCTGGGTATTATAATTACACCAATCCCCTGTTAACCCACGTACTTACTTGTTAGCAAGTAGTACGTACAAGGTTTTAAAGCAGAAAAGTACTTTTGCAAGTAAGATAATAATATACAGCAATTCACTAGAACATTATGTTGTAGATAACAAAATAGTTCGGTTAAAAATAACGCCTAGTGATGCTATACTCAAGCAATCAGTTTTTAACCAATTACAAAACAGTTTTGTAAATTTTACATAACTCTTTTGTTATAACAACAAAACTATTTTAACAAAACCAAGTTTGTCTACTAGTAACTAAAGTTATGTAGTCACTATTTTTATGTAATAGGCAACAAAAAAAATGTAATATATAAGTCAAAACTTTTTTCAGTGTATTTTTGTGCAGAACGGTGGTTTTAGCATCTCTATATCAATACGGTTCTCAGTAATTTCTTGAAGTAAACGCTCGATTATCCAATCACTGATCATCATCAACAGCATATTACCATCCTCATTGTAGGGGCACTGGCCTTCCTCATAGGCAAAATAGGGAGAATGACTGTGGTGGTGAAATCTACATGCCCTACATATAATCAACATGGAGGAAATAGTCATTCGCCTCCTCAAGAGATGGCTCTACCGGCGTTACGATCAATACGTATGGAAGCCTAAATCGCGCAAGTAAAATTCGGAGGCTAACACTCCATATGTACTATGCCCGACCAACGTCAGTGGGGCCGCGGCCCCCGAGCTACCATCATCCAGCTCGGAGGAAGATCTTCCTCCGGAAGCCACTGGACCATATGTGGGGCATGTAGATGTCGCCGCGATACGACCATGAGCCCAGTACGAATTGGTAAGTGCTAACGGTTGCATATGCAGCCGGGACTAACGGCTTAACGTGCCTTCCGAAGCACGGACGAGTCCAACAACCCAGGTTCAACAATGAAGAGGTAAATGAAAAGACAAGGACGAAATTTTTATTCTCTTCAAAGCATTAGTGAAAAACTGGCACTCATAATTATATTATTTAGGTCACATAGTTTTTGAATCTGTCAATTTGTAAAGATAAAGGCGACCTTGGTACCCAAGTACACAAGGCTTCTTTTTGCAATGAAAATAAATCTTGAAAGCTGTGAAATAGTGTATGGAAATTCGATTATTCTCAGCGACTTAGAAATAATATGGAAGCATTACTCTCTAACAAAGGCCGCTAAAATATGGTTACAAACTCATACAATAAAGCTTCAATACTAACGCGACACGCACACAGACACAACAAAATACTTTGACCAGACAAATATCTGCAAAAGAATTCGGCTATACATTCATTGGGTAAGTAAAATAATGTTAAACGGAAAGGCAGTTTTTTCGCCCCGCCCACTTGATCGCAGTTTGCGTGGAACCACTTTTAAGCTCAGATTTTATTCTATATTATTTCTAATTCGTAGATTATTCTACACTGAACACAACGAGGGCTTCACTAATGAATGATAAATAAAAAGCATAGTATACGTACTTCCTACAAAGAGCTTTCAGTACAGAGGTTTTCTCGTATAAGCCGCAGTATGGGCCCACGTAAATGAGCTTGTCCAGTCTACCGGGACGCAATAACGACTGCTCCAGCAAGTCGGGCCTGTTGGTTGCGCCCATTATAAACACGAAACTAGACGTATCGGCATCTGATAAAACCGAATAGAAAATAAACACTATATATTAAAATAAAACTAAGAGGAAAACAAAAATGGCGGTTAATTCAACAACTCCTTCATTGTTTTGTATTTGTAAATATGTTTTTAATCATTTTAGTAGAAGTATAAGGATAGATTTATAATTGTAAAATTTTGGATAATCATTAATCACATGCCAGATGTTGGCAATGTAGACGAACATTATTATTATGAAATGCTTGTATACAACATGTTCCCTAATTTCTGTGATTAAATATTTCATTGGTTCATTCAGTATTGACGTTGCTACAATAGTATTTTGGCGAGTACTTTAAACTAGTTCTTCTCCGCAATTGACGCCGTCTACTTCAGCTAACAATTGCTGACGACGCGGCCAACGCGTCCAGAAACACGATACAGGTGGACGATAACAGACCCTAGCATAACACGTTACCTTCTCCGTAATTTACGCCGTCTACTTCAGCTAACACTTGGCTGACGACGTGGCCGCCGCGATGCCAACACGTCAAACTCGTCCAGAAACACGATACAGGTGGACGATAACACACTCTAGCATAACACCTTATCTTTACCTCGATTGACGCCGTCTACTTCAGCTAATAGTTGGCTGACGACGCGGCCGCCGCGGGGCCGACCCATCCAGCTCGTACAGAAACACGAAACAGGTGCATGATAGCACACCCTAGCACAACACGTCACCTTTTCCGCAATTGACGCCGTCTACTTCAGCCAACAGTTGGCTGAAGACGCAGCCGCCGCGGGGCCAACGCATCCAACTCGTCCAGAAACACGATACAGGTGGACGATAACACACCCTAGCATAACACGTTATCTATCTGCAATTGACGCCGTCTACTCCAGCTAACAGTTGGCTGACGACGCGGCCGCCGCGGTGCCAAAGCGTCCAACTCGTCTAGAAACAGTATATAGGTGGACGATAACACACCCTTGCAAAACACGTTACCTTTTCCGCAAACGAGGCCGTCTATTTCAGCTAACAGTTGACTGACGACGCGGCCGCCGCGGAGCCAAAGCTTCCAACTCGTCTAGAAACAGTATATAGGTGGACGATGACATATCCTAGCATAACACGTTACCTTCCCCGCAAGTGACGCCGTCTACTTCAGCTAACAGTTGGCTGACGACGCGGTCGCTGGCCCCGCCGGAGTCGCCGGCCGCGCCCCGCCGGGGGGCCAGCGCGTCCAACTCGTCTAGGAAGACGATGCACGGGGACGATGCGCGTGCAGATTCGAACACTGACAAACAATACCTACTTTAATAATGAATTAGGACCCAAACCCAGACACAAACCGCACTAAAAACACTCGGGCCCGTGTTACACAATGACAACTAAGGTCCGTATTACAGAATGACAACTAAGTGTTCATCTTTACTTGAGTACAGTTAGAAAGGGATGTCGCTATGTGCTTTATATGGCGACATCCCATTCTAACTATGCTCAAGTCAAGACTAGATCAATCACTGAGAATCTTTCTATAATACGGGTCTCAGACTTCATATAACTGAGTGACTCGTAGCCAATAGCTGAGGACTTGTCGGCGGCGGCCGCCAATGAGTCGACGGCTTCCGCCGTAGATGACGACGGTTGCCGTCGGCTACGAGCCGCACATGTATATCAACCCCAATCGTAACTTGATATTGTACTATTAGTTTTTTGTAATATTAAATTATAATAACAATTAATATTAACATATTAAATTGTAACAATGTTTATTCTGTGTAGCAATCAAAAAATTTCAATTCCAGAGCCACAAAAATCGCGAATATTTACTATTACATCTGATTAACTTAATCACGGGGACCCAGGCGAAGCCGAGATTTTGCGATGAGTCTGGCCGCCCAACGTGGCATGAATTATGGTCACTCTGACAACTAATTTAGGAGATTTTTAAGTTTTCTAGAAACAAAACAAATATAATATTTTTCACTGAATTGAGATTATTTTGGGAATGGATTTTAATCTAGAATAGAATTTAATAGAATTTTACCTTTTCTGACATTTTCTTCAGACTGTCCAATATACATATTTAACAGCTCAGGGCCTTTTACACTCAAGAAGCTTACATTGAGTTCGGTGCTTACTGCCTTTGCTACTAAAGTCTTACCACAACCTGGTGGGCCGTACAACAAAATACCTGAGAGTGGTGAAGGTAAGATTATAATCTTATATAAAATCAAAGCATATTTAATGAGAAAGGCTATAAATACCTGATCTTTTTAGTGAGGAATTTTTAAATAAGTGAGGGTATTTAATTGGAAATTCTATTGTTTTTAATAATTCTTTCTTTAATTTTTCTAAGCCTCCAATATCTTCCCAATACACTTTAGGAATTTTAGGTGCATCTAAATGTTGGCTTTGTAAGCTTCTAATTGACTCTGCAAAAAATTTATACAATGAAATTTAAGTAACTTGCATTTTCTATTCAATTTACTTTTTAATAGGAGGTATGTATACTACATACCAAGAGCTGAATTAAAATCCTCTTCTCCGATAATTCGTAAGTCTGGGTTAGGCATCAGCTGGATATAACTGCTTTGTTGTTTCAAAAAAGACTCTCTCATTGCAAAATGAAGAAGAGTATCTAAATCACCATACATGAAAGTTTCTGTTTTTGCTGCCACCCTTTGTAAGACATCTTGACAACTTTTAGTAAGGAAGACAACAGTATCATTATTATCATCATTCAACTCATTACTTTTTGACATGTATGGTACACCATCAATGCTAAGCTGCATAACTGAAGCAAACCATTGCAGCATTTCATACCTCTGCTGTGCATTCAATCGAGGTATATGTATTTTTTCTAGGAACAATCTTAGTACATTTGGTTTTAAGTCTTGTTTCTGAGTTACAGCTATAAAAATTATTGGATGTTTGGTGTAGTTTTGATATAAATCCATTATAATGTTTATGAAGTATTCCACTACTCTACAATCCTCATTATTTTCTGGATCTACTGCAAATACCTAGGTTGGAAAAACATTTTAAAAGTAATCACTTATATTGTAATTTTTTGTGAGATGCTATTCAGTCAAACTTCCCCTTCCCTTACCTCAAAATTGTCCAATGACACAATAACTGGAGCAGATGCCTTAGCTTTTTGTATAGTTGAGTTAATTTTACTCTCCGTCTGTTTGGCTGTAGAACTTTGTAATGCATTGCAATCTACTGGCATACAGTTCAGACCTGAATTAAGGGCAATATATTAAAATATTGTTATATTTCATATGAGTTGAAAACAATAAGCATTAATTTTCAGATACTTGCCATTATATTTAGCAAGAGTTTTTACTAGAGTGTGTCTTCCAGAACCTGTCAACCCTGTCAGCAATAACAAAGGTATAATAGGACTTGACAAAAACGAAGATAATTCATCTATAAAAAAAACATATATGATGATAATTAGTAAATTTATAGTCATTACCATATAGCTTATTATATTTATTTTCATATAGTAAGGAATTTAATGCTTACTTATATCACCAGTCAAAAATGGTAAAATAATTTCTTGCATTTGATTAAATTTCTGTTTCAAGCCAGTCGGGCAGAGACTTAGTAGATGCATATTATTCATATGGAATGTTACTTTAGGGCTTAAGTATTCATCTTTAGGTTTGATTAAGTGCAAGTTTTCACCTAAAGTTAACTGGGTCACACCTTTTACTATAAAGTATGGCTTTATTACATTTTCATTTAATGCTTTATCACTCTGTTGGTCTTCTCCTTCAGAAATTTTCTTACATTTAAAGTAAAGCTTTGTTGTGGTTTCTACTAAATCTAAATATTTGTGATGATATTTGGTTGTTATATTTGGTGTAAGATCTATACTAAAAATGTCATTTTCACTCAGAAGTTTAGGCGTTTCAAAATAGTTACTCAATACTTCTTTGATAAAATCATTAGACAAGTCATATTCATTAATTACAAGGCACACTTCTGCTGCTGCTGCAATTTTTGGTGAGCATTGAAATGAAGGCACAGGATGAAATGACACTTGAATATCATCATAGTTGCCAAGACCAAAAGTTGACACTATATTCCTGTATTCTTGTTCAGTTGTTAAGGCAGAGTTGTCTTTCACAGACTTAGACCCTATGATTGGAACTATCCTGATGGCTTCCAATTCGTTTTGGGTATGATCACTAAATAATTTCTTATGAATTTCAGAAGTAACGAAATCAAGGCTTTTTATAAATGGGTTTAAGTACTTGGTATTACTTCTTTTATGCTCATACTTCTTTCTGATTTTTGGTGTTAATTTCAAAGCTAGCCACAAAACTCCATTATCTACGTAAAAAAGGTTTTCACTACTCAGCTGAATGAATTCTTCTCTTGATATAATGATACACCTATGCATAACTATTGGTAGATTATATTCTACATAATCTTTAATAAGTAAGCGTTGAATATAATCAGGTATTGTTTTTATAGTATAGTTGTTCATGGCCTTTAACTCAAGTGTCTTTCGATACCAAATTCTATACTTTATCGCCAGAAACACTAGAAATGTGTAATAGTTGAACTTTGGATATACCACTTTGAGGCAAAATCGTATCACCCATATTTTATTACCAATCCGTTTATTCATAGTAAAAAAAATCAAATTCACATAAATAAATGAATATAAAACAAAATAACTTTAAAAACATTTGTTTTTAAAGTTGCAACAACAATTTTATAGGTTATGTGATGAATTGATGATGACTGTCAGTCAAATAGTAATCTGTCAGTCAGTAGGGTCAACCAATCAGTGTCAATGTTAAAAATTGAGATATTTTCGAATGGCAATTCATATGCTATTAGGCCGTATACAGAAAGAAAGCCGAAAGCCGATCGGCGCTTATCGGCGCCGATTCTTCCTACATAAAGGAAGCCGATTAAAGCAGATCAAGCAAAATGTCGGACTCATCGGACGATGATTTGGTTTTGTTAGAAAATGTTTATTTAAAAATGCGAAAAACAGCTATACATCCTATAAATAGAGAAAGGAAACGTTTCGGAGAATATCATCATTTATTTGTTAAAAAATTGAAATTTGATGATCAAAGATTTTTTGCATATGCAAGAATGACTAAAAAAACATTTAATTACATTTTGGATTTAGTGGAAAACCGTTTGATGAAGAATTGGTGTAATTGGCATAAACAACCAATCCTTCCAGAAGAAAGACTTGTTGTCACCATTCGGTAAGTACGAAACAAATCATTTTAGCGCTTAGTTAATAAAAGGTAAAGTTATTAGATTTATAAAAAGATTATAACTTAGATTGATTTAATCTAAGGATAATAATTCAAATACAAATCATTCATTATTTGAACAACATAGATCATAATAAAAAAATCGGAATCAAGTGCTAGTCGGACTCATGCATGAAGGGTTCCGTATCATTATCATGTCTTTTATGTCCTGTGAGGTGTATGTCAATAAACAATATTATTATCATAATATTATAAAGGCGAAAGTTTGTGAGTGTGTGAGTGAGTATGTTTGTTACTTCTTCACGTCTAAACGGCTGGAGCGATTGTAATAAAATTTGGTATGGAGTTAGCTGACACCCTGGATTAATACATAGGCTACGTTTTACTGCGGGAAAATATACCTAATAAACCGCGGGTAACACCTCGGGGCACAGCTAGTTATCTATAAAACACTAGTAGTAAACCTCGCTTCGCTTCGGTGTAGAGCTGTAGTGTAGACTATAGTTTTTATTCTCGGGCTTGTATTATACACAATGACATTCTTCTGTTACTTAATTACAATAGGCACGCGCCGCCTGGCCCCCCGCCCGGTAGCGTCGGAACCGCTATGTCCCTGCATTTTAAATCTGTAATATCTTCGAAAATATTCATTTAAATTACATGCTTTAAAGGGGCAAATTGATCTATATTAAATCACCTACATATACGTGATCTGTAAGAATGGTCTTGAAAAAGTGCAAAAATTGTAATAAAAACATTACGAAAAAGCAACCTGGACTTGAATGCAGTAGGTGCAATAAAATCGTACATGCGACTCCCGATTGTGCAAAGATAAGTAATAAGCAGATTATTACACTGCGCAATTCAAACGCGCTTGAATGGAACTGTAGTGAATGCTTAAGTAGCATCTCAAGACGTTCGTCATTCTTTGTTCCTGGGGATGAGTCTGACAGCGAAGATGATTTCTCCTCTGCCACCAAAATACCAGCCGCTACTATTAATGTAAAAAAGCTACTCGAGGATATGGGCCAAGAAATGCAGAGGATCATTCGGACCGAACTAGGAAACATCCACTCATCTTTGGAGTTTACTAGCGATCAGGTTAGGGGTCATCCATAAATTACGTCACACGAATTTCATGTCTTTTTTGCCCTTCCCCCCGTCCTTGTCACAGCTGGTCACATTTGTAAGACTCCCCCCTCCCTAGTGTGACGTCACATATTTTGCAAATTTACATTTAGAAATCATTGAATGAAAACAGCGGTTCTGTAATCAGTTTTATTTCCATTTAAATTGTTTTTTCATTATTATTATAATCAAATCAAACAATTAACAAAAAAAAAACGATTAATTATATTTATTAAAGAAATTACCAAACAAAAAGTGATTGACTATGTTAATTAAAGAAATTAACAAAACATAAAATATTAATAGCATTATAATTAAATTAAAGATACAAACTTAATAATCTTGAGTCCATGGACATTGACCCCACTCCTTTAAATTATTTATAACTGGCATAGCACCACTTTGTTCTCGTTTGGGTTGTTAATGCTTTCGTAAAGTAATAGTTTCAACACTTAGATTTTAATATATTTTGAAATGTGACGTCACGAAATTTAGGACCCCTCCCACCCCTTGTCACACGATGTCACATTTCGTCGACCCCCTCCCTACCCCTTAAAGTGTGACGTAATTTATGGATGGCCCCTTAGTGCTATGGAACAAACTGTACAAAAACAGGAGAGTAAAATTAAATTACTTGAAAATAAAAATACAGACCTTTTAAACAAAAATAAGAATCTCGAACTCCGTGTAGCCTCATTAGAACAACAGATACAGGAAATAGACCAAAAGTTTCTGATGAATTCACTCGAAATTACGGGTGTACCAGAATCGGCCGATAAGAATGTACTACCGATTGTAAAAAAAATTGCTGAAAAGCTGGAAGTAGACCTAGAAGAAGTACAAGCAGCCAGGCGCTTACCAAGCCGCAAGGAACGGCCAGGGCCGATTGTGGTGGAGATGAAGACCTAAGCAGGTCGTGAGGAGTGGATTGCGGCAGGTAGAAAGCTTTGTATGACTGTTGGAGATATACTTAGCAACGCCCCACCGTCGAAGGCTCCAGACAAGATCTATATTCGTGAAACTCTCACCTTGTACACCAAAACACTACTCTACAATACTAAACAGGCTCTCCGTGATTCATTTCAGTTTATATGGTGCAAGGCAGGCAGGGTCTATGCCCGTAAATCTAGCGATAGTAAAATATACACGATCCGTTCCACCAATGATATTAATGCCTTGTCAAACAAAACAACGGATTATAGCATCTAAAACTACAGGTATCTATCTACTGATTATTCTGTATAAAAAAACAATAAGGTACTAAGCTCGATTATATCTAAAAAAAATCTTTCATATCCAATGAATAATAATATCACTCAAGTAAATGAGTTATTCAATTGTGTAACGATTAATTCTTTTTTTGATAAAATTAAAAGCAAAAAAATTAATCTGGCATGTATTCACATTAACATACGATCAATTATTAAAAACTTTGCCAAACTACTGTATATTGTTCATTGTTCTATTCATCCTATTGATATAATAATCGTTAGCGAAGTGGGTATATCAAATACATTGTGTCATTTATTTAATATTCCGGGCTATACGATGCACACACAGTTGCGCTCAAATAAAAAAGGCGGAGGAATTATCATTTACGTAAAAAGTTGTCTTAAATTCACTCAGCAATTCACAAAATCACATACATTCGAAAACATCACAGGAACAATCAAAACACTTTGCAACCAAACCGTAACTGTGTGTGCTGTATATAGACCACCATCCACAAACATGTCACTATTTGTTAAAGAACTGAATTCGTTAATATCCAAGGTTCATACTGATGGTAATCTTATAGTGCTGGGCGACACGAACATAGATCTAAAAACGCTTTCAACCTGTAGAGAATCATATCTCGATTTTTCTAGTTATATTTTCTTTAGATTTAAACATCAAGCAGTTACATGCTTTAAAAATAATAAAAATTATATCTCGATATGTTATGTAGTTTCGGACTACTATGTGGGATAACCGACTACACGCGCATTGAGAGTCGCTTAAATAAAGTAACGAAGACGTGCATAGATCATATTTTCGTGCGCCCCGCATCACTAGAACCGATTACTGCGGCAGTCGATACCACACTGGCGGACCACCGCGCGGTTGTGGTTGCCTGCTGTGGTCGCTCCCATATACAGCATGCTTTGGATAATGGCAAAAATAGAACGATTTCTTTCAACAGAAAAATATTACTAGAGGAATTAAATAAGGCTGATTGGAATTTAACTAACACAATGCGATCCCCTAATGATATATATCACTTCATAAAAAATACTTTCTCTGATTCGTATAAAAAGTCAAAAATGCAAAAGTCTATTATAGTAAAAAATAGGGTGGTAGCACCTTGGGTCAATGATAATATTATCAAATTGTGCGACAAAAAAGATATGCTATACAACAAATGTAAAAAGGATGTTCATAATTTTAGTATCCGCAAAGAATATAACAAAATTCGAGATAAAGTTCATAAAGTGACGGAGTATTACAGAAACTTACATTATCAAAATAAAATAAAAAACAATTTTACTAACAGTCGCAAACTTTGGCAAATTATTAATGAAATTTATGGTAGAATAACCCTTTAGACCAAGCAATATTGAAAGCTTTTAGCGCACAAAACCTTCTACCTAAAGTAATCGCAAATAACTTTGCAACTGAATTCAGTAATGCTATTAAAAAAATTGTCCCTACGTGTAGCATAAAGCTGATAAAAAACAACAATGCGACTACTAAACCTAGAACTTGTCTCCGTTTTATAAAAGCAACACCAGCTAAAGTACACAAAATAATTATGAAATTGAACACAAATAAAGCACCTGGTATTGACGCTATTAGAACGATAGATATAAAAAAGGTTAGTGAAAAAATATACATAGCTATGGCAAATCTTATAAACACCACATTACAGACTACTACATATCCTACTGAATTAAAAAAGGGATGTGTACGCCCAGTACTCAAAAAAGGAAAACCAAATGACGTAAGTAATTATCGTCCGATTACTTTATTATCTTCACTTGATAAAATTGTGGAAAAATATGTTTGTGCTGAGATCCATGAGTATTATCGAAATAATGACATAATTAACAAAAATCAATATGGTTTTCAGACGGGTAAAAATACAACAATGTTGCTCTCTAAATTTACTGACTTCGTTAACGATAGTCTTAATAATAAGAAACAAGTCCTCGCCTTATTTATCGATTTTTCCCGGGCATTTGATACCCTTAACCATGAAACGCTCATAAAAAGTTTAGAAAACACAGGCTTACAAGGCCCACTACTAGAATGGTGTCGAGAGTATCTACGCGGTCGGTCTTTTTGTGTTAAGATACAAGATTGCTACAGTGAAGACAAAAAGGTTACCGAAGGCACAGCCCAGGGCTCGGTTCTAGGACCAGTCCACTTCCTGGCTTACGTCAATGACCTTAATAATACGCTGAGTCATTGCACTTCTTTGCAGTTCGCAGATGATACCTGCCTGCTTCTTGCTGATAATAATGTCAACGAAGCACTGGAAAAACTCCAGACTGATTTCGACGCACTCGGTAGATGGTGCCATGACGCAGGTCTGGTCCTTAACGCACAGAAAACTAAATTAGTCCACATTAGCTCGCCGTACAAAAGAGACATTCTGAAAAAACAACTAATATCACACAATCATGCATGTTTCCATAGCGTAATACCAGCTTCAGTTTGTCCAAATAATTGCCAACCTATAGAAGTTGTAGACAACCACACATACCTAGGCCTTGTAATAGATAGAAACTTAAACTGGAAATCACATATTGACCGTATTTGTGAAAAACTTAGAGCTTTCTTGGCTAATATTGTTATTATTAAGAACCGAATCCCATTTAATACACGATTACTTCTATACAACGCTTTTATAACATCAGTGTTGTCGTATGGACTAAGTAGTTACGGACGTACATACCGAACTTATCTTAATAGTATGTATCAGCTGCAAATAAGAATACTTAAAAATATTGTATCGCCCAAAATGAAACTTGAATGTGTTAATAACGATAGCATGTTATTTAAAATATGTAAAACCCTGCCCGTATACGATTTCGTAAATTATAACATACTCAAGGAACAATTCTTTAACTTAAACATACAAAAACCAAAGGAACACGGAATTACTACACGCCAAATCACAAACGAAAAATTAAAAGTGCCCAAATTCAATAATACCTATGGCCAGCGTACCAGTTCATATTTGGTTCCTCTTCTAATTAATACACTTAGCTTAGAATTAAGAAAAAAATTGACGCCAACGAATATAAAACATAATCTTAAACAATATTTTCTAACGCAATTGTAACACGCTGTATAATCCATGTCTTATCTTTGCAGTTGCACTGTATTTGTTGAGTTGTCTATAACCGTGCTGTGACGCGCTTTACCTGTGTGTGTTATCGCACTGCAATTTGTTCGTTTGTTATCTGTTATTCATATTAAGTAGTTGAATAGTGTTTGAAGGTTTGTTTATAGCCAGTTCCCAAACAATGTAAAATAATGTGAATGTCCGAACAACGCATTCCTAGTTTAAACCCTATGTGGTTTTTTTTGAATGTTGTAATTAATGTTTGTGTTATATGTTTAAATGGTAAATAAATAAAAAAAAAAAAAAATGCACAATATATTTAAGGTACTTAATTGGATAAGGATGAATGTTATATTGCTGAAAATCGCTTCGTAAATAAGCTATTACTTCTTGTAAAATGTATAGGATAAAAATGGTTATTGTGGGTTATCCCTAAGAGATAGACATTATACCATCGCGGACTTTTTTGCAGACCTTTTCAAGGTGTACAATACTGTAGTACATTATTTTGATCTGTCTCGTAGGGTTTAGCCAGCGTTTGCAATGTAAGCGTAAAAAAATTTGTTTATTTACGAACTTACAATAAAATCCTCTAAAATTATCAATGTTTCTCTACTATATTATGCATACATTATACATATTATAAACCTTCCTCTTGAATCACTTTATTTATTAAAAAACCGCATCAAAATCAGTTGTTTAGTTTAAAGATCTAAGCATACATAGGGACAGACAGCGTGAAGCGATTTTGATTTATACTATGTAGTGATTAGACACTATATTATAATATCGAGCAAAAACGGCAATATTTTGTAATAAGAGCGTTTTTAAAAAGTATGAGTAACGCTTCATATGCTCTCTTCCGTACCACATTAGCACAGATTAAAATTCCAAGCTACGCAACTGTTTTGTCCCACAGAGGTTGTTTAGTGAATACTAAGGATATCAAAATGTCATTATCCATTTTTCTACTTAAAAAATAATTGCGTGTAGTAATTGACGTACCTGTTGTCGTTGTTTATTAATTTAAAATGGCAGCTGACCAGCGCGAGTCGGCGCTGATCGGCGCCGATCGGCTTTCGGCTTTCTTTCTGTATACGGCCTTAGACATGGACAAAGGATTTCGCTACGCTACTAGTGTCGAGTCTCGCATGATTCTCTAAACCTAAATTTAAATTTGACAAAAGTGCATCCTTGTCATTCTCTGAACAGAATTAAATGGAGAGACAAAGGAACTTTTAGACTATCTGGAATGCTTACGAAACAATTAGAGAATTCAAAAAATGTACTCTAACGATTTATACATAAAATTCATTTTTGTTTCTATCTTCATAAAAGGAAAAAATACTCCGAAACAGGACAACGACGAAAGTGGAATCTCTCCCCCTCTTGCAATTGTCAGTGATAATAAAAATAATCAAATGGTAGTTTTCATATTATCCCGATAACCATTTATAAGAACAAGAGCGTACAGTTTGAAAGTTAAATTAGTGTTTATGTTTTAGTATATTGATATCATTGCAAATAAAAAAAATGTGTGCGTGTACTAGTGTACACACGTAAGAAGTGAAACTTCTTTATGGCCTTATTTTTCGAAAAATGATGTACATGCAACTTTCCAGAAACTGGTTAAATAAAGTTAAATTAGATAAAGTTTAAACAAAAGGATTTTATTATCATAGACATGAATACAAACAAGATTTCATTTCATTCCATTTCATTCCATTTCATTCCTTTTCATTCCATTTCATTCCATTTCATTTCATTTCATTCCATTTCATTCCATTTCATTCCATTTCATTTCATTTCATTTATATGTTCATCGTCGTTGTTATTACCAAAAAAAAGATGGCGCGTAACCAAAAAATGTGACGCGTAACCGAAAAATGTGACGGTAAATTTTTTTCCAACGCCGATAAAGAAGTTTCACTTCAAAATGTTTTTTTTTTTTATTAAAACGGATAACTTATCTAATAAAATTGTTTAAAATGGTAGTCGTTGGCAATAAACGATATGGCGATATTCTACCGGATTGAAGTCCTATTCATGCTAACTAAAAATTATTTTAACCAAATTCTTGTGATTTGCTGGTGCAAAATGATATTGTTTTAATGTAAAATGGTGTATAATTGAGGCGTATGCTGGTTGTGGTATTTCATTAATAGGTAAGTTTTTGACTTCTGTTTACAAATTACATGGGTAGGATGACAAAACATTTTCGATTTTGCTACGGAAAGTATATGTCATCATCATCATGAGCATATTTATGTCCGCCTTTTCAATCGATAGAATAATAAGATTGGGCCAAGATCCACCATGCGGGCCCAGATGCCATCGCGCCAATAAACTAATTGTACTACAAAAACGTCCGTACTAATTATGCTCTCAGAGCATCGAGTCATCGACTGAGCTCCCTGACTGCCTAAAAGCTATTTCACTACCCGATCGTCAGGGCGTAAGGAAGCAATACGAGATTTACACTACCAAATTTTAAGGGACTCTTACCCTGACTAGGGTGGTGTAATGTGAGTAAGGGAGTAAGGGATCCAATCTAGGGTGATTGGCGCGGCGTAATAATTGTTTACTTTAGCTAGGGGCCACGCCCTTTCGATTGGGCCGTTAAAATTTAGTAGGGTAAATCCCGTTTTCGGGAGAACGGAACACGCCTATCACTATAGACCTCCCTACTTTAGACGGGTTCCTAATCCTCTAACTTAAATTACATCACCCTTAGTCAGGGTAAAGTTCCCTTAAAATTGGGTAGTCTAAGAGACAATAATTTTGTTTTTTTTTAAAGGAGAAGATAGACCATTACCCTATTCTATCTAGTCTGTGATTTCTTTCCGGTTTCAACATGGTGAGTAGCTAAAGCTAATGTAAAAATTTAGTGCATTTCTACGAAATTATCAAAGAATTCTTAATTATTTCTTTAAGTGCGACCCTTAATTTATAAAGAATATCTCAAACTTAAGTTTTAGATTAGATATGCCAACCAAATATGTAAACAACATTTACTTTGCCACGAACCTCGTGGTGGTGCTAGTATTCAATACGTCATTTTGTGGTTTTAGCCGCCCAAAAAGGACACAAAGGCTTCGGCCAAGCAACCGCAAAAGACACAGAAGAAAAAGGAGGGATCTAGCGGTGGTAAAGCCAAGAAGAAGGTAAGCAATTTTGATCTTATAGGTTATGTTGGTAATACTGTCCATACAACATTTTTATATCATTCTGGAAAGGCAACTAAATGCATCCAAATTGTCTCTTATGTATTTTGAAGCAAGTTAATTTCTTAGTGTTGTGCATTACAGTCATGAATTCTAATTCCTATTGTTAGCCATGTGATTAAATTTTCTTCTTGAGCTTTGATGAGAGTAAAATCTGATATATTGAGTATGATGGCTAACTTTGAAAACTGCAGCTTCCCATTGTGTTTATGAACTGGTACTAATACAATTTATTTATTTATATTGTAGAAGTGGTCCAAAGGAAAAGTGCGTGACAAGTTGAACAACCAAGTGTTGTTTGACAAGGCAACCTATGAAAAGCTGTACAAAGAAGTACCACAATACAAGCTGATTACCCCTGCGGTTGTCTCTGAAAGATTGAAGGTCCGAGGTTCACTTGCCAGGCGGGCACTCATTGAACTCAGAGAAAAGGGTAAGCAAGTCTGTTATAAGATGCAGAGTTTTATTAAGTTGCTCTGATATAATACAAGTTTCTAATATTTAACTATTTAGACAGCTTTACTAATATTTTTTTATGAAATGTATGCATACTAGCGGCTGCAAGCGACTTCTGTGTTAACTTTTATTCCCACAGGAACCTTATATATTTCTGGGATAAATAGTATCCTATGACTCAATCTAGGTCATAAACTATATGCATACCAAATTTCATTCAAATCCATTCAGTATTTTTTGCATGAAAGCATTAAAAAGAAACTCTTTCACATTTATAATATTTGGATTGTGGATTGGAATAATTATGTACATTCTATATCATGATGATCACTCCTATCTAGATAAACCATGACAGTATAAAACTGATATATTGAGTCTGATTTCATAATTTTTCCAATATTATTTGTAAATTTCATTTTCCATATATCTAAAGCTATTTTTTTTTCTAGGTCTCATCAAGCAGGTAGTCCAACATCACGGTCAGGTCATCTACACGAGAGCGACCAAAGGTGACGATCCTGTTGCATAGGTTATGGATAAGTTTTAAAAAATAAAAAAAATCTAAAAAGTAAAGTTTTTTATTTACGCTACACAGGAATTTAGTTCTTTATTACCGCACATTCATTTTATGCTTGTCATCCAATTCAAATACAGTGAATCTTGCTGATGGAAACAGAGCCCTCAATTTGTCTTTAAAACTAACTGCATGGTCCTCATTGGCCATCTCCACAACGATGTTAGCCTGTAATGTAATTTTTTGGTTCTTACTGTGATACCGGCGCTCTCAATATTTCACTTATCGGTTGCGCCATAAAATGAGCTCTGTGGTTGCTCTGTTACAAACATTGTAAATATTTATAAGCTACACTATCGGTTCTGAAAACTACACTCAAGAACGCAACTCACCCTGATTCATGACGTCCTGTCCGTTTGCCTGGAGCCATTTTTTTCTTTTTTATGAGATGCAATACATAACCCCACCCCACTTTATAATCTACAGCTATTAAGTGTAGTCCATTCGCCAAGAAAGAAGCTGCGGCAGAGAGTCCAGCTCCAGCTTTCCTCGCTGGCCTGAACTAATCCTCTACTCCACGGAGCCACAACACCACCAAAAGGCAGTGTCATTTTACTCAGACGCGCTCTTCAATTCGAGCGAGAAATCGGTTGTGCTCTACCTCTTAATCCATTACTTCTGTGCTACAGACACGATATAAACCAGTTAGCAGCTGGTGTAATTTGCTTTATTTTATTTCTTTCAATTAATATCCCCAGTTATTACACTAAAGAGGCTCAAGGAAGAATTTTTGACAGCACCGTTATGTACCGCATCGTCAAAGTTTCTATGAAAACTAAGCAGCTATCACATGAGAAAACAAACTACACTCGACGTCAAAAAAATCGCACCTGCGAAAATTTTCAAGCGTTATTACAACACTTAACACACGCATTTACCCCCACCAGCCCCTCTAGCATGACCACCGAAACGGGATATGATAAAGCGATATATCGCCATTAACTGTCAGACTACTGTCAAACTCCATAGTAGTCTGACAGTTAATGCCGATATATCGCTTTATCATATCCCGTTTCAGTGGTCATGCTAGAGGGGCAGTATAGGTGTCATTTGAAAGCCTTTTAAAAAAACAATTCAATTTTTTTTTATTGGAACAGTGCAAAAAACAATAAACATCCTTAATTAAAAACAGATTAATTATACAAAAGGGTTCTTAAAACTAACCTTAAACCTAGTGTTACCCTGCCTTGCCTGGATGACGGATTCCATACGCTTGCTCATGGATCTTACCAATTTTAGGAGCTCTTCTTGAAGGATAACTGGCCCATTACTCAATAACGGCCTCTTCGAGCTCCTGGAGAGTCGTGGGAGCGGGATCACGAGACAGAACCTTTTGTTTCAAATGGTCCAAGAGGTGCTTTCTCGGGTTCATGTCTGGTTTTCTCGCTGGCCACTACATGACAGAGATCCCAACCTCTTGAAGGTAGTCGCGCACAATTAATACAGTGTGAGCGCGAGCGTTATCTTGCATTCGTCAATGTGAACCCCTCGCCAACAAAACCGGCTCTGTGACTTACCGGTGAGCAGTCAGCGACCCTTGCCCGCGAGTACCTCTAGTCCGGGAGACGCTTACAAGGCTGGTTTTGCCATCGGCCGACATGCCGCCCCAAAATATACAGGAACCGCCCCCGTATTCCACCATCTCCTGGATGCAGGCTTGGGCGAAACGTTGCCCCTGTTTTCTGTACACTCTTCTGCATCTATCGTTGCGGAAAAGGCACACTTTCGTCTCGTTCGCGAAAAGAACAGCTCTCCATTGGTCAATATTCCAACTAACGTGGTCGCGAGCAAACTGCAAGCGGGCTCGCCAATGCTCTGTGGTCAATTTTGGACCCGTAACAGCTCTATGAGCCGCTATATGCTTCTCCCTCAGCCTTCGTCTAACCGTAGAAACGCTCACGATTGTTCTGCGAGCTGCCTGGAGCTGCTGTTGCAAGTCAACAGCATTAGACAACCGATTTCTTAGAGATGTTGATACGATGAATCGGTCGTCTCTTTCAGAGGTGCAGCGACGTCTGCCAGACCCATGCCTCCGGACATGGCTACCGGTCTCCAGAATCCGCTGGTACTCTTATATACTCTCCTAACCGAAAAACGGCTCAAGTTCATTAAAGTCACATCAAGGTTTTTTTTTAATAAAATGATATAGTTTATTTAAGTTTATTTAATGGGCTTTCAAATGACACCAATATTGGTAGAGGGTACAAGGGTTAATAACGCTTGAAATTTATTTTTGCGGAGGTGCGATTTTTTTGACGCCGAGTGTGGTAATAGCTATAAAGTACGCACCAACGTGCTCCCGATGTCGTTGTGCACCCACATCTGCTCGGTGACGAGGCTCTTGAGCACGGAGTTTTCATCAGTGATCAGTTTGGCGAGCTGCTCGAGCCCGCCGCGCCGGTCGGCCACGGTCACGGAGAAGCGCAGCAGACGGCCAGCCGCGCCTAGGCCTCGCTGTATCGTGCGCGACAAACGACCGCCGTCGATGTTGCCGCCGCTTATCACGCACACCGCTCTTTAGGAACACGTAAAATTGAACCCCGCCAAGTTTTATAAATTAACACTTAAGTAGGTATTTATTGGAAATTGGCGCCGCCAACTTCTAATAAGTACATACCAGTGTTAAATTTTAAAAGGAAATTGTCGGCGATTGTAGTTCGTTGAGCTGTTCGAACCGGCCACTCCGGTTGGGCAGGGCCACAGGTAGTGTACTCCACTCCGTGAAGCAGACAGCCGGCCACGCCCAGACCGCGCTTTATCGTGCGCGTCAAACGACCGCAGTCCATGTTACCGCCGCTTATCACACGTACACCGCTCTTTAGGAATACGCATAATATTACACCGCCAACTTCCAATAACTATGCACCACGGCAATCTTCTTGAGCTACAATCATGGAGGGAGGCTGCGCAGTAGTAAGTAGTAATTTTACATACAAAAACGTCTACTGCGCAAGTTTATTTACCTAATTGGTAGCGGTAAACTTCTTAAACAAGAGAGAGAAACGTCGGCAAGTTTGCAGAGCAAGGCAAATCACTGAGAAAAAAATATAAACAGGACATATAGAGATGTTCAAATACCAAAATTAAATGAAATTGGTACTGTCACGCACCGTGGGAAACCAGCCCAACATACCATTTGCCGCGTAGCTCCGGCACAAGCCCCTCCCTGCATGACGGCACTAATAGGAGTCTTCCAATGTAGTGTAACATTTCGAAATACGTGGACCAACCCGTACTAATAAGCATAATTCAAAGAGCCTTGGTGTGCGTTGTGATGCTTTTACTCACCGTGGGAAGCCAGCCGCGATGCCTTCATTGTAGTTTGCGGAGATGATCACAACCAAAATATAAAGACTGCTGGAAATTCTAGCAAATCTTAAAAGTGGCGTAAGGGCGGGGGTAATCGTAAGTTTGGTGAACCCCTTCCAGGCTGCAACAGCGCCTGCCTAACATACCGTTTGCCGCGCAGCTCGGGCACAAGCCCCTGCATGACGGCAGCGATGGCGCACACGCCCGCGCCGTCGGCCACCAGCCGCTCCTGCTCCAAGATGTTGATCACGGCGCGCGCCACATACGACTCTTCCACAACTAACTACAAAAAAACTCGATATATTTTACAGTAATCGGAAACAAAGAAGAAGATATCACCAGTACCTACCCTTAGTACGAGTTTAAATTACAAAAACTATGATAGTTTTCGTGAGCTCGCACCCGTACTAAGGGCACTGATTTTATTGTATTCGTTTCAATACAAATATACATTGTTTAAATTATATCATTAAATCGTTTGCAACTTCTTAAATTTTAAGTATATTTGGTTACATTTTTACCAAAATGGACATAGAAACATAATTTACAATTACGAAAACTATGATAGTTTTCGTGAGCTCAACTCGTACTAAGGGTACTGTTCACCACCACCCGTTCGGACCAGCTCAATACCAAAAAGTTCTCTACGTAAAGAAACATTGGCCTAGATAACTACCAAACGAAGTGTCTTGGTGTGAAACTACGAGCTTCGAAGTGAATAATAATGACAAGCGCGTTGTTATAGATTTCTATCATAGCTAAGTTCCGAGTTCGATTCTCAATGGATTCGGTGTAGATACCTATAGTGCGATTCAAATAAGAATAGGAATGTCAATAAATAAACAAATAAATAAATTATGCTTTTTTTTAAGCATTTAACTGCTAGATGAAAAGTCTAAAGAAAAGTTTTACTAGAAATAAATAAATAAATATTTCCAACACTCACATCAATTAGCCTAGCCCCAAAGTAAACACTGTAAGGCTTGGGTTATGGGATACTAGGGTAACGGATAGAATACATATACAGTACATATAAAACACGGCGTATAAACCACTCGGCTAAGGAGGTTGTCGTCGTCAATGACCTCCATCTGTCAAATGTCGCTTGAAAAGTACGGTTTGCAAAAAAACTTGTAACCCTTTTTTTAGCACTCGGCTAATTCTAGAATAAAAACCTAACATTTGTAAAAAACAATAACAAATATTGATAATTAAAATTGGTTGATTTTTTTTTTATTTATTGGGCTTTGGCTATGAATTGTTGATAACCTAAATGTCACTTTATGTTGCGTTCAGACAGTGGCGGAGCAAGACCTAAATTTGATGTGGGCAAGACAGATTTCGCGAGGCCCTGTTCTGTGGTGACCTGAAGACGGATTTTATAAAATAAAAAAAAGGAAAAAAAAAAGAAATTCGCTTTTAAGCAATGCATAAAAATTTTACAGGCGCGAGGCCGTAGGCGGTGACCCACGTCGCCCACGCCTTACGCCGCCTCTGCGTTCAGAAACTCGATTTAAAACTTTTGTTTACATAAAGGATGCATGTTCGTATGTAACGTAGTAATGATGCATCATTATTTAAAATAACTCCGGGCTCCGGCGGTAATGCAGAGATGAGCGGAATTGAAGAGCTAGATTCTGATTACTTCTCACACAGTCTTAATAAATAAATATTATAAAAAATCGGTTGCTTTTTCCGCTAGTTAGCGGAAGTGATAGCTTTAATCAAGCATAATTGACAACCATATTGTGACGTCAAAGTTGTCAGATCAAACCAAATAGGTAGAGGGAGCAAAAAAAGTTTTTATTTTTTAAAACTTATTTACTAAGGTTAAGTGAGAAAAAACATCAGATTTTTTTAATAAAACATTATGATAGCAATAAAATATCAGAAGGAACACGTTAAACAGTGGTATTATGGCATGTATGGCGTGTAGTTTCCTCCCGAATTGGAACTCCAGTCTGGGCAAGTTATCCCCGCTATACGTATGTAAAGAACACAATTGCTGTACATAAAATCACAGCGAAATAACACTACCTCTTAGGAGCATTATGCCGTTGAGCAGTGCCGTCTTTGTCCTATTGGAGGCCCTGGGCATATTAGGATAATGGGACCCCTATGACCCCCGTTTGCTGATCTAACAGGAACTAGGGACTTTTTATTTTGTCTGAGGTGGGCCCCTATCGATCGCGGGGCCCTGGGCACTTGCCTATAGTGCCCACTGGGAAAGAGGGTCTGCCGTTAAGTTCCTTTTCTCCACGGGGTAGAGGATGGAGTCAGGGTAGGAAACGGCGGAATGGACTGCACGCCTACCATCAAGCGGGCAGTAATGTTTGTTTTTTATGATCTTTTTATGCAGCTGTAGGATAGGTAATTTTGTGAGGTACCGTACCATTCTATCAAGTCTCCCTTTGAGAGTGGCGAACGCGTTAGCACCAACTGAGGGAGCATTGAGGCCTTCCGCCAGGTTTGGTACTATTGGCACCGTCACTGGCCGCCCTGCCTGCAGCGCCTTCATCATTTTTGGCACTTTCGCGCACTCGGCTCCCTGAAAGTTTTGTATTTTTTTTAAAAGAGCTTCTCAATTCGGTCTGTATGTTTTTTTCTTATGTATGTACACCGATTACTCCGACAAATCTGATCCGATTTAGGCTTAATGTTAGATAAAAACAAAAAAGGTTTAGGTGATTCTTTTTTTGTACTATGAAAGATACTTGCCGTTTAGACTCAAATAACATTATTTAGTTTGACCCAGTCGTTTTTCTTTTATGAGCATATTTGTTTCTTGTTTATTTTGACGATGTAATTTTCAAATTGGATGAAATAAAAAAAACATCATAAATATTGAAAATTAAACTAAAAATTAAAATATAATATTTGATGCGATTAGAAATCAAAGTCTATACCATGTTTCAATCTTGGCCCCGCCCGACTTGCAAATCATGAACCAGATATTATTTTTTACTTTTTAGTTTCATTTTCGATTTCGGAGTCGGTTTTACTTTGTGTTTTAATTTTTTTTGTAGTTACTGTACAGGTACCTATCTGCAGATGCGCCTCGTAAAAAATTTAACGCGTCTTAGTTTTAGGACATTTAGTGCTAATAAACTTGTCTACCTGTCTATCAAACGAAACATTGGAAGCGATATCTATAGTGCAGGGTGGCGGCGCCCTATAATCCCCACTGAGTGTGGCGTGTGGCACACTCGGGCGCTGCGCTTTTGGAACAAAAGTTCTTACATAAACCAAACAAGAGCATTTTAGCTTCTTGCAGGCGACAAGGACCGAAGCTAGGAGACCGCCAGTGGCCACCGGTACAATGACTGCGTCCGCCTCGGGCAGCTGGGTGATAATCTCCACGCCCACCGTGCCCAAGCCGGCCATCACCAGTGGATTGTCCGAGCTAAAATAAACCAGTATATAAACTAAATCTATTTTGGAGTACTACGAATTTGATAAAACTCTACGGAAGCTGCACATTGTATACAGCTAACTTCGTGGTGGTAATCTGGTAAATAAATAATAAATAAATATTACCAACACTCACACCAATCAGCCTAGCCCCAAAGTAAGCACTGTAAGGCTTGTGTTATAGGATACTAGGGTAACGTAATAGAATACATATACTGTACATATATGTATAAGTATATTTATATAGAAATACATATATTTAACATCCATGACTGGAGTACAAATGCTCGCATTTATCACACAAACATCTGCCCTCACCGGGATTCGAACCCGGGACCTCTCGAGTCGGCGACACCATGAAACCCGGCGTACAAACCACTCGCCCACGGAGGTCGTCAAATAAAATCCTCGTCGGTGAATGTTTTCCTATAACTAAATGGGCCTACTATTTTACTGGATTAATAAATGGGAAGGGCTTTAGAAGTCTAGGCTATCGTCCTAATTGGTCAGGATCGCACGACCACACGATGCGACCTCGTCATGAGTTGTGACTCGGGCGATGAAAATAATGAGTGCAAATATAAATAACTCGAGTGCAATTGCGTTTAAACAATTAAACCCATAGTACGATCATTATTAAACTATGCCTGTGCTCGAGTTACGGTTTACGAGCTGTAATTAGGTCACTTCTGAAGAAATCTGTATGTTTGAACTCATCGCACAAAAAAGACACCTCGTGTTAGCGTACCTACGATCGTTACCAATTAGAAGGACGCCATATAAGAGGCATTTTGGGACAGGACTTAAGAATATTACAGAAAACTAACGTTAAAATCGTTTGTCTGGTCTCCCGTTGCAATTTCATGGCATAAGTGATGGCGTCGCCATAGTTCTCTCCGCAGAGGACGACGTCTGCGCCGTGCTCTGCGCACCGGTGCACTTGCGCTGGTGGTGTAGGGTCCGGCAGTATTACTGTTACCTTATACATCGATCAATTGATTTGGTATTTTGGATTAGTAATATGTGCTTAATGACTTAGCGCAACAGGACTTCGGAAGGCTCATAAAGCCGTTAGTGCTTTGGGCGCCTTCCGAAGTCTGGGCAATAAGTACCTACCTAGTATGTCAGCCAACGTATAACAACGTTACAAGATTTATAGGCATCAAGTAGTAGGTATGTATATTATATTCCGTTCGTCAGTATCATATTTTATAGATCTATTTACACCTCAGTTTTCACCGACCAATTATTCGTATAGCATTGACGAGCCTCATATTTTCCTCAAATAACTGTGACAAGCTTGAATACGCACAGCCGACAACAGCTTTCTAATCTAAAGAATTTCATTTCTTTTCTTTCATTCTTAGTCCAGCGTGAGAGATTACACAAATACTTGACAGTATTGTTTATTTTATGCTATTATGTAACGTACCTTAATAATCGTCCCATGGTTTCGACTATCATAGATTCATTTCTACGGCAAAAGTTGCCTACTCAACTTTTGATAGCTCGCTACCGAGCACTAAATTAATAAAAGGCCTTGGCCCGGGACTCAAGAAAGACCTCAAAGCTTTTTAGCACATATTGGCTCTCTAAACAACTACTAAACTCTACTACTCTGCTACTCTTTTCGTCATCTTCACGTACTCTCAACCTCATCGGTGGGACTGCCGCCCGGACTCCAGCTTCTTTGGCCAGCCTCCAACTGCTTCAGCCCGCCTTCTACCGACTCCTGCCGTTCCATCAACCCCTGCCACTGGCCGATATTCGCCGGCCAACCTACCAGCAGCGCCCGCCAGCCACCACCAGGGCAGGCCAAGACCTTTGACGCCTGAACAGGAGCGCTTCTGCCTCCTAGGAGTGCCGCCCGTCTGCCAGCAGCACGTCCTCCAGACCCAATTCTCAACAAAGAAGATCGCCGACGACCCACGCCCACTTCACCACTTCCACTTCACACCCCACACTTCACACACACCATACCCCTATTCTTTTTTTTTAATCTGTATATACTTCTTATTCTTGTAAATATATATATTTTATAACCTCTACCTTTTTTCTTTCTTTTTATTTTATCGCTACCAAAATTTGGGCGCCAATTTTGTCGTGTAGCGACAAAATAAAAAGAAAGAAAACAGGTAGAGGAACCTGCCAGTGGCAGGAGTTGATGGAACGGCAGGAGTCGGTAGAAGGCGCGCTGAAGCAGTTGGAGGCTGGCCGAAGAAGTTGGAGTCCTGAAGCGGCAGTCCCACCGATGAGGTTGAGAGTACGTGAAGATGACGAAAAGAGTAGTAGAGTTTAGTAGTTGTTTAGAGAGCCAATATGTGCTAAAAAGCTTTGAGGTCTTTCTTGAGTCCCGGGACAAGGCCTTTTATTAATTTAGAGCTCGGTAGCCAGCTATCAAAAGTTGAGTAGGCAACTTTTGCCGTAGAAATGAATCTATGATAGTCGAAACCATGGGACGATTATTAAGGTACGTTACAATTAGTTATTAGAAACTTACGGGCACACCTAAGGTGCCGCCGTGATACGCAGCAGCCAGGCCTATATTTCCTGTGGATGGTACCACTATGCCCCGAGCGCAGTCTTCAGCTCTACTAGCCAGCAACGCATTTCGAACACCACGCTCTGCGCAGCTACGATGAATACATATAAATTAATTAATGCAACTAAGTATATCATTATTATATATTGCGCAAAATTTTAGAAATATATCATCTTTTATACAATATTAGGAATTTCTAATCTATGAAAATGTTGATAGTAAGGTTTTGCAATCGTAATTCGCGCACTGCAATGCCTTTGTATTCTTTACAATATTTATGTTTTTATTGTGCGTGTGTGGATGGAACTTGCTTGTTCACAAAATGAACTCAAACCCAAAGTACAACCATTACTCAAGCATAAAAACTTGCCACCACAATAAGCCTGATCAGCTGATTCGGTTTTTTATGAAAAAGGATACGAATCTCAATATTTATAGCGATCTAAGATGTAACGGTATTTTGAGTTGAATTAATTGCAAGTTAGATCATAGGCCAGTCGTGAGGTCCCAGGAACGGCGGCCCCCCTCTTATAGTTCTGTCCTGCAAAGGGGGGGCGGCGGAGGGATGCTTGGGCGTACCCGCCACAAGCAGCCCTCCGCCGCTGTAACCCCTCGCAGCGGACGGGGGGCGGTACTGTGGGTAATAGGCCGCATACTCAGCCCCCCGCGCACGGGCCATCCTGCGCACGTCTGCGGAGTGCCCGCAGTACCTCGGGAGACCCCTACCGTGGAGCCATGGCGATGCCGGGACGCTGCTGGATGCGGAGACGTGGAAGAACGGGGACCCCGCGGCTTCGCAATAAACAGCATAGAGGGTATTCGCAGGGTTTTTAGCGGTTATTATACCGTAAAGCGCCCGTAAGAATTAGGGGCTCCTCAGTGGGCAGCCACTGCGAGGGCACGTAAGGCTTGCAGGAGCCAAGTGTGAGATCCGTTCGGCGGTGTGCCTCTTAAAGGCACCGTCGTCTGTAAACAGAGGTTTTGCCTCGAAATTTCGCTCGCCTAAAGCGCGGGCCTCAGCAGACCTCTATAGCATAAGCATCTCGAATATAAAAGCTTTTATTGTTATGAAAGTGTAATATTCGATTTTCTCGCATACTTACCTGCCAGTGTATTGTAAATTTTCACATTTCAAGTATACGTTATAATCCATATTCTTGCTAAGTTTAGATTCCTGAAGTAAATAAACAGAGGTGAAAAAGTAAAACATGTAAAACTGAACGTTACAAAAACATGAAATCATCAAACATCAAAGATTTTAAATCTTTTCAAATATCTTCATCACCGATGCTATGGAATCAGAAATGCGAAGGCACCACAAGCATCCAGACTTGTGACAATGTTTTCACATTAGTTAGACAGGTGGTTTTAATTTAAAGTGCCTACATTATCAAAACATAATTTAAAATACATACACAAAGAGGTGTGTGTATAATTCCACCCTCAATTCGTTCTACTGCCTGCTTGATTTCATTAAACGATAGAATGTAGGGTTCACTGTTTATTTCGTTGTCCATCTGTTTAAATTCAAAGAAATACGCATAATTTCAATTATACTTTGATCATTTATAGATATAAAGTATGTAGTTTATGATATGAATTAAATAATTAAGTAGTTAGGTACCATATTAATTCAGTTATGTCCAGCAATTTTTTAAATAAACCACAAGAATTTCGATTTTAATGTAGGTTTAGCCAAAGATTTAAATTTGAAATAGTTAATTTTGTCAGGGACAAAATCTTCGAGTTTGACTCATTTCCACAGACAGAGTTTTCAGTGTATTACTTTTCTCTATGGTTTGCCTTCTGCAAAATCAAGTATTCTCTCAGCTCTGTCAAAAGAAGATTTTTTTTTTGTACTTCTATCTATCGGACGAAAGATTTCGAAGCCGATACCGACACACATGGTAACATGGTATGCACTTTGACCGTGCGCCTATAGTTATTTAATAAAGCTAATTCAGGAATATTGCAAACTTTGCCAAGAATGCTGATAATATTCCTTTTGCTTTAGAAGGCACATTAGGCCGTTGGTTTCAGCTGCAACTGTAGTCGTTTGCATCCACCAATCCGTACTGGGCCCGCGTAGTAGATTCTGTCCACAGGGATGACCTGTGCCCCAGCGGGCACAGGTTGGACATTAATAGGCTGACGATGATGATTTATTTAATGCGGAACACAACAAAGCACTGCCGTTAATTGAATCAACAAACACATTTAGCTATGCGCCTCAGTGCCCCTTACATCTGAACGTACCGTAAGACAACAGCAACACCGGATACAAATGCACAATGATGTTCATGGGTATCTTATCTTAGCCATAGTTCCACATAACTTTAACACTTGAAACAAAGTTGAAACCTGACTGAAAAAAAAACAAGAGAGCCTTACAGTAGTCGCGTATGATGTTGTAACATTTGAAACCACACCTTATATTAGTAAAAAAAGGAATAAAACCTACTACAAAAGGAATAAGCCATTTGAACATTATGTTCTAAAATCAAATCAAATAGCGCGCGCTTTCGCGACTTCCTGTTACACATTTCCGTCCCATTTCACGAAATCACTCCCACAAATTGCAGGAAAGCGAGAGGAAAGATGTCACACATCAAAAATTAAACTATCGATTTTTTACCTATCTTACCATGCTGCCGCTCCTTTTCCACTCTATCATCCCATGCGTGATACGGGTTAAAACGACGTACAATAATAATGCTTAGACTTTATTTAAACTGCATAAATTAAATGTTTTTCACAGAAAACAAGATCTCTTTGATGTCTAATACAGAAAAACATCTTATAAACATTTATAAAATATCTACTCTTTTGAATGGTCACAAATTTTTTTCGCTGCCACCAGCTACGACAAGAGGACTTTTTAGCTGTGGAGTAAAACAAATCATAGCGGCAAATCAAATTAAGTAACTATATTTACAAAAAATCGGCCAAATGCGTGTCCTACCATGCGCAGTGTAGGGTTCCGTAGTTGCCTGTAGTTACCACAATATATTTGACCAATAAATAAATATCAATCTATGTATCTCAACTAAAATACCTATCAAAATCAAACTGCGTCTCAAACGCAATGTACAAGTTTGATACGATTTTTTTTAAATAAGAATAATACACGCTTTTTTCCTTTTCAGGCGAGGGAGCAGGTGTGAATTCCTCATGGATACCCTACAGCCGGCTACAATAAGTCTTGTCACCATAGAGTAACTTTGTATATAGCTTGTCACTGACTAAAAGCTGCTGACGCGACTCAGAAGCCGTTGCCGTTATCGGTACTCGCGGTAGCGTTACGGAACTAATGATATTTTATTGTGGGTTTTAAATAGTTTTTTTTAGATTTTGTTGCAATGCAAGGTTTTACGCTACAATAACTTCATCTATGTCACCATGAATTTTTTCTTCTAAGGAATTTTCAACAGGTTAGAAATTTTCTTTTACCAAAGTTGAACGATTATTACTCTTAAACTAACAAATCTAACTTAACCGTTATAGTTTTCCTTAAAAGTTCATGAAAAGCACTAGTATCACGAATTTTGCAGGTTTTTCAAGCCAATAATTTAGCTTTTAGAGGGGGAGGAGGCTTAATTAAACAAAAAATTGCACTTTTAAGTTCAATACTTCGCAAAGGGACCCCTAAATTTAAAAATAGTCTTAGGAACCCTAAGTAATTTTAAAGGACCTATTCAACGATATCCCACACGATTGGTTCACGATTGGAGTTAAAGAGAAAAAAATCATCTCCGGGTTACATGTAGCGGAGCTACCATAAAAAAATATTTTTCAAAATTTTATTCTCCCATTTTGTCGGCGTGACCAAAATACATATCTCCACTAAATTACAGCTCTCTAGTGCTAATAGTCTGCAAGCAAAACTGGGAACGGACAGACGGACATGACGAAACTATAAGGGTTCCTTGTCAGGGACTACGGAACTCTAAAAAATAGTATGGTTTTATGAAACCATGGTGCAAATGAAACTTATACAATATCAATAATAAAAGAAAGTCCTTCCTCTACTGGTAATCGAAACCAGGCCACCGGAGGGTTATGACAAATGTGACACTTGACTGAAGATACCACCTTAAGTATTAGCCGTATAAACCTCATTTCAAGCTCCAACTCAAGAATGCCAACATGGTCTTTGGCATTACTTGGGCTGAGTTCAGTAAATATACCTACTACAGCTAGCCAGACCATGACCTACTTGGCGCGGAGACGTGTTTTAAAATGTTTCGCCCCGGGCCACTTTAGATTAGATTCCTCTGGAGAATGATTAAATTATGTTATGTTTCTGTCGGTAAGGTTCCAGGGGGTCTACCGTCTATCACAATTGTCTAGGTTATTGCTATAGCCTATGTTTTCCTTTTTTTATTTCTTACCGCCGAAGGTTTATAAAATGCCTCGCGCTCATTTTCTTTAATATTGTTATTAACAATTCAAAAAGAGCGCGAGCTATTTGATAACCTTCGGCGATCAGAAATAACAAAATTAAATTATAAGCTATAGCAATAGCCAAGGCAATCCCGATAGGCGGTAGGCCCCAGGGCTCCTCGGGGTCGAGGATTAGGTCAGGTTAGGCAACGGTGCGATTGATATTTTTTGTATCGGAAATGTCTTATAGGCTATGGTGGCCGCTTACTAAAAGGCTAGCTCGCCTTTTAGTAAGCGGCCACCATAGCCTGCTTGTTTGCCCCTCGCAGGCTACCTCCCCGGGCCATGTCCCTAGGGTATATACACTCCTGACATGATGGCATACACAATCACCTCTTAATACATTATTTGTACCCTGTCCCTGTGTTGCCCTGTCCTTACATAGGTTGCTTTCTGCACAGAAATGTCAGTAACAGATGTAGTCTATTTTTCTTAAGCTCCCAGTATTGACAGTATATAGGCAACTAGTTTTTATACTTAAATAGCTCCCAGTAAACATTTTTGGCTCAGTACCATCCAATCCGGTGGTCCCGCCCATTTAATGGGAAAGTTGGGAAAAAGTTAAAGTCTGGGTCAGGCCTACTGGGGTCCATGGAACATCTTTTGTCAACTGTCCCATTAACAGGGTGAGACAACGAGGGTGGATGGTACCAACTCAAGATTTTTTATTATAATACTAAAAAAATTGAGTCTTGAAAAATTTAAATATTTTTCTTCTTCTTCTTGCTATGGGCGTTTCTGCAACTCGATGTCCTTATGAAATATTTTCCTTTTGCAGTCATAAACCAAGAACTGTGCAATGAAAAATTAATTTAAAATACTAGAATGTAAAACAAAATGATGACAAAAAATTGCTCCTCTTTATTCTTAAAATTTATTTTTTATTTAAAGTAAGGTTAACATCATTATTAGATTTACCAATGTCCCCACTGCTTTGACCTAATGTGGTACCACAGTTAATTTAATTTCCACTTAGTCCCACAATGTGACAGTGGGCCCATGGGTAATTAAATTGAATTTTTTTTTTCATATATTTTTCTTTAATTAAGTTTGAAGTATAGCTAATCATGCCAGAATCGACACCATTAGTAGTATTTAATGTCCATATATTAGTGAGGCCACAGTAATAAGTGTGTTAAATCAAATTTACCCATGGTCCACACATTGATTATTAACCACAGCTCACTGTGCCAGCGGATGAAAGTGGTTGGGATAATTATGGGTAAATGTTGTAATTATTCACATTAATTAATAGCAAGAGCATCATTTTGTGCTTCTTGCGCTAATTGTACTTGAAGATTCAACAATTTGTTTTTCAATACAACAATACCCATCATTACAATATTTTCTGGTTTGAGAGAACCTGATGACTCTACATTGTAGAAAAACTTGTTGGGTTTTGCTTCCCAGTTGAACTCAGCTTCATATTGATCTTCATCGAGTTCAGTGTGTTCACTCTTTGGCCATTCATCTGGCTTTGGGTATAATGTATGTCTCATAATATTATCAGGGTCATATTCAAATGAAACCCCAGCAGTTGGATTCCATTTGGCATGTTCTTTTCCAAAGCCTTTCTTGGCATAAGCCTTTAACTTTAATTCTTGCCCTTTACGAAGTTTTATGATTAAAATTTCATCAGCTTCACCATAATCTGCTTGGTCTTCATCTCTATGTCGTGATGTGGCGGGCACAACGCGTGGGTCGCTAGTTTTAAGATCTGCTGTCGTGACGTGTCTAGTTTGATCGTCAGTACATTTCACATCCAATGTAAACTCGACACTACACTCTGTACAGAAGTCAGCACACATGCAATCTCGCGAGTAACGAATTTTGTCGACAACATCGTCCGATATGAGAGGAATGAGGCCGATACGGTGAGCCAGGAACTCATCACTCAGAACAGTGGAATTCGCCTCAAGCTGTACCCAGTCGATGGCCATTGTAGGCGTTTCAGCTATGAATACTCGACGCATGCTGTTAGCTACACTTAATTCTGTATCTTCTACAACGAATTTCACATTATCATCAGTCAACTCCGTTATGTGCACGGAGGGCTGGTTTGCGTACGGCATTATTGTAGGTTAACTTCGGGTATATTGAAAATTTATAATAGTGTTAAATTAATATTACCCTCAACAACAAAGAAATAACAAAAATCGTGGAATACAATTATTAAAAACTGAATTTATTGAACGCAAGAACGCAAACCGCTAAGCAACAACAACAGCGAGACAGTGACACTTGTTTTTTTTACATTCCCATTCTGGGAAGGCCAGAGGCACTACGCCCATGCAGCCAATTCTTTATAGTTTATTTGAAACAAAGGAGCTCCTAGAACGGACCCTATATATAACTCAGGTCTGTTATATTGCCAAATTAATTACATTTAACTGCCTTGTTTATGTTTCTTCATACATTGTAGGTATGCATTGTATGTAGTAATCTCAGAGAAATATTTGCACTCAGAGCATAGGTTCCATGTAGGTTTGGAACGTAGCGTAAAATAAAGTTTGACTTAAATTTTTATTAGTTAAACTTCATTCCATATAAAATTAAAAAATAGAAGCTGAAATTTGATATTACCTATATTGTGGTGTCGATTCTGTCAGGATTCTAAACTAATCTTAAAACTAAATTTAACGTCAGTCTCTCCTTTTCATACTGTATATAGAATGACAAGGATAAACTGGTGTCGATTCTGGCATGATTCTTTAAAGCTAAACTTAAATTTGACAACAGTGTATCCCAGTCATTCTCTGTACAGAATGAAAAGGACAGACTACTGTTAAATTTAGTTCAGTTTAGAATCCTGACAGAATCGACACAACTATAGAGAATCATGTCATGATCGGCACCTATCCTATGTATTACCAAAACATACGTAATGTTAACTATTTATTGAAGTGAAAACTTCTTCAGTAGCGTTGTACACTTTTTTTGTATGGGTAAGAAATGTTAAACTCGCGTCAGGACACGTGGCCTGATCGAAAATTCGTAAGACGAAAACAATAAAATTGGAAAGGTTGTTGACTTTCAATATATTGGACGAAACAGTAATATATTATATTATTTATATATATATATATATTATTTTATCGTATTATTATAATAAGTCTCTATCTACGATATCCAGGTGGCAGCTTTATTGCGAAGAAAATGCATTTTTTTACAATAGTTCTCGCTAGGTGCGCTTAAATGTGATTCATGTTAGTTGATTTATCTGAGAGCTAAACTTTTTAATGTATAATAATTATATTATTAGGCCCAATTTTGGCGTGCAAACTTATATCTAAAACTAACTAAAATTAGATATAGAGTTGTCAAATTCAGTTTGGTATTCTGTAATGACCTAATGACATACTTCATGTTTGTGTACGATAGTGTAATAAATAAATATTGTTTTCTACCACATAAATGATAGTACTTTTATACTGATAAAAAGCAATTCGTTAAACAGATATTAGAAATACGGCGGCGGTAAGATTTCATCCTGTAACACCAGCTGATAAGATACACTATTCATTACTTGCACTATTCAGTGTAATTTGTCAACACAAACCGCCTGCAGGCGATCATGTAAATAAAAGCCATTGTGATTATTATTGGGTTATCAGAATGATTAAATTACTTTAAACAATCTCTTTGTTCCGTCTTGAATGGTTGCATTATTATAATTAATGTAGGAGGGACTAGTGTGCACACACTACCTCCACACACAAAAAACAATCGCATTATACGCACTTATTATCTATTATTCAATGACATGCATACAGTCATATTTACTTATTACCAACAGCCTTTAGTATAGAGGAGATAGTCTTGGCTAGGTTATGATGCGGAATTTTGATAAATTCCCGTAAAAATTAAATGAAGATATCGACATCAACTAGTACGATTTCATTGATAAGAAGATTCAATAAACTAAATACTTACATAGTTATCCTTACCTTCTACTTTATTAAATAGAAGATCTACTTCTTTTCTTTTTAGTAAATTCAAGTTCCGCCTTTCGTTTTAATATTTTAGATAGATTATGAGGTTCCTATTTGATAAATTGTTCTCTTTTGTAAAATTTTGAAATAATCTATAACAGGAAAGATTTGTTTGATTGTATTGAATTGCCTCCGAAACTACTGAACCGATTTGAAAAATTCTTTCAGGTTCTCCTAGATCCTACATTATCCCTGATGAACATAGGCTATAGAATATTTTCAAAAGAGTTAGGGTTCCGTATGAAAACTTCAATAACGATTAAACAAGGTTTATGAATGCCGCATCCTACAGGGAAGATGCAAATATAATATTTATGAAAATTTTATGATTAAAATGTTAAAAAAATATAAAAGAAAGGCCTCTGCAACGTTTTTATTTTACATAATGTTGTTTTTTAACAATAATTACGAATTAAAAATGACTTGAAAAAAACGTATTTTAAAACACCAATCAGCGTTTTGTGACTTCATTCCTGTTATGACAACTTATTTGAGATTATGGTTATAAAAGTGAATATTATTTTATGGGGATAATAATTGTTTTTTTTTTCAATAAAAATGGAAGTTGTGTTTATCAAAGCAGACTCCAGGAAATTACCAAGAGTTAGTGTTGACATGGTTGTAACTTTTCTTGTCCAAAGTGCAGAGTTTTCAAGTGTAGAAATGAAAAGGACTAAATTACTACGGTAGGTATAAATCATAGTTGTTAAACTTTGTATTTTATTCTGCGGATTCTACACATAGCAGTTATTTCAGCTCAACAAGAGAATCTTACGGCGTAAACGCAATCGGCTATGTCCAAATTAAAAGAGATGGAGAATTATGTACAGTAAAAAGTCAAGTTACTCCGGAGCATAAACAATGAAAAGAAAGTTATCGTGTTACAGTTATTTTAAATGAAACGCAAAGCTTGGTTCAGTCCTGCCAATGTGAAGATTGTGCCACACATTTTAAACTTATCCAATTTTCGACGACGTTCTCCAAATGTAAAATTAAAAATATGTTATGGACAGGTTTTCTAAGTATTAGGTAGGTTACTAACGCGTTTTTACGTACAAGCAGATTAATAAAAGACACAACAAATATATTCGCCGACTTACGTCAAAGTGATCTCCACAGCATCGAATAATGGTCTCTGGAGAATAATTGTCATTTCTCTTCGCAGCTTGAAACCACTTTTTTCTCAATTTTGGGTCAGTTAAATTAATTCAATCAAAAGTCCAAAAGTAGATGGACACATTGGCACAAAACATGAGTCAACACGGCTTTTTTTCGGAATATTAGTGGTATTGTTATGATCACCTGATGTAGATGGATAGTCCATTATAAATTTTTACAAAAAAAAATACCTATCTCGAAAGTTGAAAAAATATGCAATAGTATGAAAATTGAAAGCCAACGACGAACAAGTACGACCAGTGACAGACAGGAGTGACGTCATCGGAACCATAGGTCCGTTTTCGCGCGAAAATTTAAACTGTCAATTTAAAACTGCATTTTTTCCGATAAATTACAATGTTTTAATTTTTAAATATATCTGTGGTTTTTTCTTCATGGAATTCTTTAAAATGAAAACAAAAAATAAAAATATTGCATCTTCCCTATTAAATTTAAATACAACCGATTAATAGTACCTCACACGACAACGCCGTCGAGATTTTTAAGTGAGCACGACTACCTAAAATCACATAATAATAAATATACAAGTACCAGTGAACATTATTATAACAAAGTAAGTATAAACACAACTGTAAGAAACATTCATGTGATTACTTATACACTATTAAGTCTTTACCAGAGAAATAATAAATGTTCACCTACATTTTAATTGCTGTGCCATCTACATCTATGTCTACTAATACTAGTGGCCCGGCCTCGCTTTGCTTCGGTGTAGAGCTGTAGTTTAGACTATAGTTTTTGTTCAAAGGCTTGTTTTATACACAATGACCTACTTCATAATAATTATAAACCTTCCATTCCAAGTAAAAAAATCATTGCGTAGTTTAGGATCCGTTGTACGGAAAGCAACATTGCTCTGCTGTTCCGATTTGAAAAAAATATTATTGTTATGGAAAGTGCATTTATCGAGGCAGGCTATACTAGGCCACAGGGCTATACATTACTAGGCTACAGCAGCAGCGGAGCATCGATGAGTAATGTAGCAAAAACGGGTAAAATATTCCGTTTGTGAAATTCCGTTGCGTGCGCAGGTAAACGTTTGAAGTTACACAAAAATCAGGAAATGACGGAATTCTTCCCCTTTAAAAGTTTTGTAAAAAAGTTCAAGATAGCCTATGTCCATATTTTAAATTTAACTCACTATAAACCTTTTTCTTTAAATTAACGCGGGTGAAACCGCAGGGGCCTCTAGTTGTGACATAACTGTAATAGTTAGATATGGTATTGCGAACTTTTTTGTAGATGTTAGTATCCTTTATAAAACTTTAGTACATCACTTTGCTCTATTATTATATATATTATCAATGACTTACGCAGCGTACACGATATAAGCCTATTTTTTGGTATTTTTTGCACACGTTGGGTTACATTATCAAAGTTTTCGTACGGAACCCTAAAACGTTTAAAATCTCACATTATCCCTGTTGAACATAGACTATAGAGTATTTTCAAAACAGTTAGGGTTCCGTAATGAACACTTCGATAACGTAATTTTCATACGGAAGCCTAACTTTTTTGAAAATACTCTATAGTCTACGTTCATCAGGGATAATGTAGGATTCTAAACGTTAAATATTTTTTAAAATCGATTCAGTAGTGTCGGAGCCAATTCAATCCAAATTAACAAATCTTTCCTCTTTATAATCTATACTTATATTATAAAGAGGAAACATTTGTATGTAAGTATGTCACCAAAGCGAAGCGAGGGCGGGCCACTAGTACTTTATAAACAATTCATTACTAGTAGACATGTATGATACAACTATAACATTTTATTACAGAGCTGTTACGTGTGACTTTACAAAATTAAATGCAATAAAAAAAAAGCTTTTTGCGCAGCGAGAATTTAAACGTATTTTCAGAGATATAAGAGTTATCAATAATAATAACCGGTCAGTTCATTTGTAGTCTCGAGTGCGCACAATCAACATTATTTTAGAAAGATAAATTATAACACTCTTAAGTTATAAAACAATGGAAGAATATAATTGCAATGTCCCTGTGAGTGCTATAACATTATACCTACCTATGTACGAAATGAAAGACGCGACAATATCATGTGAACGGCATATTCCATCATCAGTTCTAATTTACCTTTGACCTAAGTTAATTAGTACTTAACGATTGTTTATTTATATTTTGTAATTGAGGATGATAACGGCTTAATGAGATTCAGTCTTGTTCTGGATGCCGAGTGGGTGCTAGGGCTCGATTGTCTATGTAATATCCAATCAGTGAATTAAAAGTAATCCAGGATGGTGTTCCAGACGATCGAGTTTGACCCGATGTGCGATAAGGAGAACCCCCAGAAGATCTCCTTCGAGGATGTCTCCGCCGCAGCATTCCGCATACAGAGTGGGATTGTAAAAACGCCATGCGTGGTAAGATAGGGAAAATTAAAATGTTTTCAGTTAATACCGCTGCTTATTATATTTATATTGTTTAAGCATTACCTGCTAGATGTATAAACCTAAATTTGCACTAGAAAAAAAATACACGGCCCTGGCAGCAGACGGGACTCGAACCAGCATTCATCGCTATCTGGGCGGATGCATTACCAATTATGCTACAGCTACAGATACGCTTGAACTCAAATCCGGGTTTCTTGAGACTACCATGAACTTATTATGGTCTTGATTATGTTTATCGACAAACCGGCTTTCTCGCTATACTCACTTACCTTATTCACAATTGCTTGCAAATTGGCTTCGTAAGTCAATCATTTACAAAAAAAAATATCACGGGCACCCTCATTTGTTAATCTTATTAGCACAGTTTAGTTATGGCGTATTTGTGTGATAAACAAATTATTATTAAGTAGGTTATTCAATTAAAGCTCCGGTAGTCGATTGGTCTCCGAATATATGTATAATATCTTCGATCGTTAATTAGAATCCAGACAGCATATTATGTATTATTGCTTTGAGCACTTGTTATAAATAATAAAAAAAACAGAAAAAAACAGTCGCACCATAATAATTATTGCAGAACATAAAATTAAGATTACCGATTTTTGTATAATTTTAATATTGTTATATTATCTATTTATTATCTTAAAGTGTACAATAGGTACCTACCTACCTAAAATAGAATCTTAAATACTATTATTATCACTGCATATTATAAAACAATAATATGTGCAAATGTGCATATTTTAAAAAACAAAACCGCCGCTGCATCCGTCGTCTCTTCCGATGTGATCTAAAAAAACGGATTTAGATGCGTTTTTACCATTCATTTGAGATAACTTTAGTGAAAGTTATAAAAAATTCAAGCCTGACAACTAAAATTAAAATCAAGACTAGTCAGAAGTGAATAGAGGACGGGTCACTATAATAATATAAACAAACCTTGAATTAAATCAATTTTCTATTCATAACAGAAGATTTTTCATTATTCAGAACATAAATTTTAGTCAAGTTAGTTACCTACTATGTACTACTTATTATTAATTTGTATATTACATGGTTCCTATCCTTTGTAACAGAAATCTCACATGTCTGGATTGTACGGCATGGACATTTACCTCAAGAATGACTTCCTGCAACACACAGGAAGGTAAGTTCAGCGAGTTGATAAAACAACTTTCTACTTAAGTAAGAATTTAAATTATAGCTAAATAATTACATACCTGTAAAGTCTTATTTATTTATTGAAAAATCATTAACTTACCTATGTTTATTTGTTTGTTGTAATAAAAGGCAGCGATCGATTCTTACAATGTCTTCCAAATGCCCTGTGTTCGAAATCTATTACAGATTCGTGTGTATATTCGTGTATGTCCCAATTTCTATTTTAAAAAGGTGACTTAAGAGATGTTTTTTTTCGAAACTCATATATGGATGGTGGTCTCGTGGTCTCACTAAGATAATTCTTTCAGTTTTAAGGAACGAGGAGCGAGGAACGCATTGCTCCTACTATCAAAAGAAGCGAAGGCGCGGGGTGTGATATCCGCATCTTTAGGCAACCACTCGCAAGGGTTGAGCTACCACGCCAAGCTGCTCGGCGTGCCCACCACTGTGGTTATGCCGAACGTAGCACCCATCATGAAGATACAGAAATGCCAATCGTTCGGTGCCAACGTCATCGTGCACGGAAACGATATGAAGGAGGCCAAGTTCCACGCTATGACGCTCGCTAAGGAAAGGGGGCTCACTTACATCAATGGGTAACTTTTTATTAGAAAATAATTGTAAACAACCACTCGCAAGGGTTGAGCTACTTCGCCAAGCTTCTTGGCCCACACATATGATGATACCATTCACATATGATGATGTATTAAAGCAATTTGATGAGACTTCTATAAAAATAATACTAATACTGTATTTTTATCTGTTACCTTAGTATTTAATAAAACTTCGGCGCTAAGAAAAAAAATACTAACAGAGATCTCATTGTCAGATACGACCACCCACACATAATGGCGGGACAGGGCACCATGGGCTTGGAGATTCTGGAGCAGGTGCCTGACGTGGACGCGGTGTTGGTGCCGGTGGGCGGCGCCGGGCTACTGGCCGGGGTAGCCACCGCCATCAAACACCTCAACCCGCACGTCCTCATATACGTAAGACGAACAACACAGACCACCCACACATAATAATAGCGGGGCAGGCACCTTTGGCCTGGAGATCCTGGAGCAGATGCCTAACGTAGCTGCGGTGCTGGTGCCGGTGGGCGGTGGCGGGCTACAGGCCGGGGACGCCCGTCGTCACCTCCATCAAACACCTCAACCCGCATGTTCTCATAAACGTACGTAAGATGAATAGAACGCAGACCGCCAACACATAATGGCGGGGCAAGCACCGTGGAACTGGAGATTCTGAAGCAAGTGCCTGACATCGACGCGGTGCTGGTGCCGTTGGGCAGCGGTGGGCTACTGGCCGGGGTAGTCACCGCCATCAAACACCTTGACCCGCTCGTGCTCATATGCTTACGTAAGTTGAACAGAACGCAGACCACTCACACATATAGCGGGGCAAGATCCGTGGGCCTGGAGATTCTGGAGCAAGTTCCTGATGTAGAGGCGGTGCTGATTTCGTTAGGCGGCGACCCACGGGCTGCTGGCCGGAGTCATCACCGCCATCAAACACTTCATCCCGCTCGGGCTCATATACGTACGTAAAATGAACAGAACGCAGGCCACTCACATATATAGCGGGGCAAGCACAGTGGGTCTAGAGATTCTGGAGCGAGTTCCTGATGTGGTGCAGGTGGGCGGCGACGGGCTGCTGGCCGGAGTCACCACCGCCATCAAACACGTGCTCATATACGTAAGATAGCAATCCGACGCGGCCGAATCAAATGATAGCTTATCTTAATCAGGTACCAGCTATAATGGAGCATTCTCACGGTGAAATATTTTTCCCGTATTTTGATTTTATTTTTTACAAACTAACAAAAAGAAATGAACGTCCTCATTTAAGTAAGAAGTACAGAAAGGAGATATAAAGTACTCTCAGCTAACATATTTTTTATTAACACCAATTAGCCTAGCCTCAAAGTCATCCATAATGGTCAATGAACCGGGTGAACTAAAAAATAAATAAAAAGATAGAATGACTGATTATGAATCTGATAAGTAATCGGGTCATGGTTATACCCCAAGCGTTGATGTAAAACTGAAAACGTGTGGGCTATAATTAGATTATTACCATCTCAACTTGTCACAATTTGACTGCATGGCAGTTGATAACTATTTATATAACTCTTAAAAAATATCACGATACGGTTCATAGTATAGTAATCGTATCAGTCTTTATAGTGACATGACAACAACAAAATTCTATTTTATTAAATACTTAGATAACTTAAATATATATTTAAATAATGACACTATTTTGGTGTATGACCACTCTTGACGACATGTCGTGTTGACTGACAGTTTTTCCATTAATAGTCGGTTTGAAGTTAGAATTACAATGGCGAATAGGAAGTTTTGATCTCATAAGCCGAACTTCCTTCAATCTGCACCCGCACCGCAATATTACACATACAGTGCAACCCCGATATAACAAATCAGAAGGGAACAAGTAAATATTCGTTATGCATATTAGGTAATTCGTAAAACCAAGGTTTGTTATATAGAGGTTAGGTTGGTCTAACTTTGGCCAATTTGTTATAAAGAAGTAAAAAAATAGTTTCCGGTCACGATGAATGAATCACGCACTATGGACTTAAGGTTAAGGGTGATATATTGGTGGGAAGTTGGGAACCTTATCTACACAGGTTTTGGGTTCACAAAATTCGTATAAATTCTTTTATGAAATTTGAAAATTCTAATAATATCTAACCTTCTTCGTTATTAAGAGGTTGTTAGTTAGTACTGTTATGGACAATTCAAGCGGATTACGAAGTTTTTGGAGTTTACTCCTTAAGAATCGATTTGCATATACACCGTGTTCCTGAGGATATACTTAAACTTTGAATAATACTTCTATAGCTCTTGTTGAACATATCGCACAAAGAAAGTAGTAATTTAAATAGCATAGTTTTTAAGTTATTGGTAATTTAAGTTTAACCAACTTAATTGTGTTGTTCAGTGAGAATGAGTCTTTATCTGTGAGATGTTGCCACTTTGTGCAACCAAAAATATCAAACTATCAACTCTTTGTCAATGGTCATTAAGTCATAGTTTCAAAAGTCAAAACTTTAAAAAACATTGTTGACGTCAAGAAAAGTTTCAAAAAGTTTATGTGGACATGTGAACCAAGGTTTCAAATGCGACGTTGCCAGCTCAGGTAAAGAGTAATTCATATTAGATAAATTACATCTAAGCATTTAGTTTGTATGAAAATAAAAAATGATAAAAAAATTGGAATTCATAAAAGTGTCCATAGTAAAATATTTACAATTTAATAGTCTGAATAACATGGCAAAGTTAGTGTATAACCTGAGGAACACGGTGTATAAGGGGCCCGGTATGAGAAAAATGTGAGGAGTAAAATCTACTGAACAAATGATCTCGTTACGTTTTTGTGCGCAACCTTATCTGCGCACCTTTCACTTTTAGCCATGGCAACGGATAAAAAACATTAAGTTGTCACAAATGTCAATAAAATAAATAAACTAAACATATATAAAATCGGAGCAAAATTAATGAAAACAAATAAATAACAGAATATAGAGAAATGCCGGTAAGTGTCCAGCACTCTGGAATAGTGATTTTCAGTACAGATGGAACTATAATACATATTTACAAAATGATGACTAGTGTGTGATATTTTTGAAATTGTGTGTTTCCAGAAATACATAATCACTACATAGTATAAAACAAAGTCGCTTTCTCTGTCCCTATGTCCCTATGTCCCTTTGTATGCTTAAATCTTTGAAACTACGCAACGAATTTTGATGCGGTTTTTTTTAATAGATAGAGTGATTCAAGAGGAAGGTTTATATGTATAATACATGCATAATATAGTAGAGAAACACTGATAATTTTAGAGGTTTTTAATGTAAGGTCGTAAATAAACACGTGTTTTGCGCTTACATTGCAAACGCTGGCTGAACCCCACGAGATAGATCAAAATAATGTACTACAGTATTGTACAGCTTAAAAAGGTCTACAAAAAAGTCCGCGATGGTATATGTCTATCTCTTAAGGATAACCCACAATAACCAATTTTTATCCTATACTTTTACGAGAAATAATAGATTATTTACGAAGCGATTTTAAGCAATATAACATTCATCCTTATCCAATTAAGTACCTTAAATATATTGTGCATTTAATATAGAACAATTTGGCCCTTTAACGCATATAATTTAAATGAATATTTTCGAAGATATTACAAATTTAAAATTCAGGGACATAGCGGTTCCGACGCTACCGGGCTTGGCGGCGCGTGCCTATATTGGGTATTAGAAGAATGTCATTGTGTATAATACAAGCCTGAGAACAAAAACTATAGTCTACACTACAGCTTTACACCGAAGCGAAGCGAGGGCGGGCCTCTAGTAAAATATATGATGAATATCGATGATGTTAGATGATAAAATGTGTGACATGGAACCTATGATAGTCGAAACCATGGGACGATTCCTGAGGTATCTCTACTTGTAACCGACTTTTTCGGACTTGATTTTGTTTTGTGTCTGTTCAAAGACAATCGTTTTTAGAGTGTAAACTCCGGTCGTGCGTCGGAGCTGACGCACACATTTTTTTTAAATCGAGGAGGAGTTATATTGCGGTACGTTATAAGGTCGCACTTTATCACGTCTGAGTGTCCAGCTCTATAGTAATATGACAGTTGAGCCCGATAAAAACGTAACACTGGGAGTTACACTACCTTTGGACGACGATATTAAAGGATTATGCCAATCTCAACTCCACTCGACACTCTGCATATGTGAGGTATGATATTTAACGTTACTTTAAATCAATGTCACAGATAACCATGTGCTGTAGTGTGATTCATTAACAAAAACTTATATTGAACTTTTTGCTGTCGTATGCCAGGTTGTCCTATCTCAAATCAAATCTACGTTGTTTTTACAACTTATACCAACTCTGAAAACTTTAAATTTGTAAGCGGTAAAATAAAAACGCGCACTCGATTTCACTGAATTTTATATTTAACTATGAAAAGCTTTACAAAATACTAATTAAAAATGCAAAAGAAAATCAATTAAAACTTTTTCAGCAGCCACAACTGGCGCGTCGTCGTCCACCTTTTGAAAATCGAACGCGCGGAAAGAAAAACAATAAAAACTAAAAACTTATAAAGAAGGTTGGTCAGTCGCCTACAATATTCGTCATGCACGTCGTATAATTATTTACACAAATTTATTGTGATCATGTTCCGATGAAAAAATAGCACGAGGCAGATTTACTAAATTGATAAAAATACTTGTACCCCTAAAATGTAAATACAAAGCAGCGCGAGCTTCTCACGCAAGCGATATCAAGTGATATCGTATAAAGAATTATGTCAAAGGTTATTTGATTAAACGTTTCTTATCCAACTGGCTATTATTGTCAGTCAAAAATATTATCGTTATGTTCAAATAACGTATCGCAGATGGACATTAAACTTAAACAACACTATTAATATCGTAATTTTGGAAATCACGCGATTACTACATACGCGTTAATACATGTAATAAAATATTAAATTTTACATTTTATTCGTAAAAGATAATTATAAATAAATAATAAATATTTCCGACACTCACACCAATTAACCTAGCCCCAAAGTAAGCACTGTAAGGCTTGTGTTATGGGATGCTAGGGTAACGGATAGAATACATATACTATACATATATAAGTATATATATATAGAAATACATATTAAACATCCATGACTGGAGTACAAATGCACAAACATCTGCCCCCACCGGGATTCGAACCCGGGACCTCTCGAGTCGGCGACACCATGAAACCCGGCGTACAAACCAGTCGGCCACGGAGGTCGTCAAAGATATAAGATGAATACATACTCACTGTGTCTCATCTATAACTACGCAAATAAAGAAAATAATATCACATTTTGACATCCTCTCCAGGAGAGTGATCAAAGAGATAAAACGCAAAATGAAAGTTAAGACGAATAAAGTCATTGGCTGTCAAATGATTTATTCTAGTTGTAAATCTATGAGTGCTTTCACCCTTCATAATTGTTACGTGTCGGGATGGGGTTCGAAATTATATGCCAGTTCACGCTTGACAGTTCTTTATTCACCACTCAGTTCACACAATTAACACACAATGTTAATTACAACACACTCACTAAACACTGTATTTCACCATACAAGTCTCCAAACAATCTCACTTGAACACTTTTGTTGCACTTTGATCTCCTTTGGATTCGCTCCTAAATCGCTGTTGGAACTCGACTGTCTCTGCGCGGTGCCAATCGCGCTTATATACGCCGATCGACGCATTCTAGAAAGTACCTGTTCAATTGAGAATTAGCTAGCACCCGCGAGTACGTAGTACCTACTTATACCTACGCAGGTAACGCACATAACTTGTAAACAAGTGCAGATGTCGTTGCACTTTCTCCCTTACGCCGCACTGCATAAGGCTCATTTTAGAATGAGCCGCCTTACTCGACCTCTATCCCGTCCCGCGGTGCTCTGGCAAATTCGATCTCTAGCACTTTCGCGGTACTGTTTCGAGAGCGTTTGTGACATTATGTTGCGAGATGAGTAAAAGAATACTGCCATAGGGTACGGCCACAGTGCACGCAGGTTCAGAATCAGATTCAGACTCAGAAAACAAGCGCGAGAAATAAACAATGTAGTTAAAGCAGGGTGGCCATAGTGACAGCCGGCAACTGGTTGCCCGCGCAGGTTTCGGAGTCAGACACTTTACCGGAATGTTTAGGTCATTCAGATTCTGAATTCACCAGCGCCGCTCAGTCTGCAGGTAGGGTTGCCAACCCTCCTATAAAATATAGTATCCTACTTTAATAGGGGATCAAATACTATATTTCTAAAAAATATGTAGTAGGCGAAACTACTATATTTTGCTCAAAATATATTTTTGACAGTTAAAGCTTTCTTAAAAAATATTAGAGATTGATATATTAGTAAGGCAAAGAACTACAAAAATATATTTATTTCAAAAATAATGTAAATATTATAACCACATACTGGTGCCGATTCTGGCACGATTCTCTAAATCTAAACTTAAATTTGACAACATGAAAAGGAGAGACTGATGTTAATTCTTCATCATGTGAGGTTCAATTTTTTTTTAAATGTAGTAGTTAGAACGTTTCCACTTCCATCCTAAAATATTGGAAGAAACGTTTCCTATCGACTTTTAATTGGGGAAACAAATGGTGGTATTCCCCATATTCACTCCTTAATCTATTAATTTCGTGAACACCGACGTTCTCTCACGTTTTAATTTATAATGACAACTATCAGTAGCCATTAACAAGTACGCTAGATCTTCGTTAGAAAACTCCTCCATGTTTACAACTGCGAAAACACCCCCCAATTTAAGTTTCTGGATCAACAGCTTCGAACGCATCGAATGAGAAAGAGAGACTGTTGAATGACTGTCGATTGCGACTTTTTACAGATTATAAGTCTATGAAGTGGTTTTATTTTTATATAAAAATGTAATAAAGAAAACCCCCGTTTCCCCCAAAACAAAATTTTTTCCCCCATTAATCTCCCCATCGCTTTAAAGACCCCCCCAAATTTGGGGTAACCCGCTCGCGTCCGCGAGCACTGTTGCCAGGTTGGGGAAAATCTAAAGAAAATTTTACTAGAATAATTCCATCGTTCCATTCCGTTTTCCATGTATGTTTTAGGGCGTAGAAACAGAAAAATGCCCTAGTATGGAGGTGGCGCTGAAGAACAACGAGCCTACCAGCGTGGAGATACGATCTACGTTAGCCGACGGCCTCGCAGTACCCACAGTCGGCTACAACGCGTACCGCACAGTCAAGCCCATCATGGACAAACTGGTGAGATCTTCAAACAATTCTTCGTGTCATCATCAGTCTATTAGTGTTTGTACAGTAGAGACATCAATAGTATTCCTTGAGGATGAAATAGAGAGGTATGACCATAATCCCATCTTAGTCTTAGTAGTACGGCGGGCTGTTTCCACCAAGTGCCTATTTTGTGTGGGGATTGCCATCATTCCTGCCATCCCACCTGCAATAACCCATCATGCGGTCTTTGGTGGGTACTAACGACTCCAGATACGTATAGACCAACAACTTAATGTGCCTTCCGAAGCACGAAGGGCCAAAAGAAAAGAAGTTTATTGTCACTCGATGACCGGCCATTGCAAACGTTGCTTGAATTCGAGGATACCATACCGAACGTGCTAACCACTGCGCCTTTGAGCTCCTTAATTTTTTGTATACATGTATATATACTTGCATACAAATGCCCTTAAATTAAAGTTATCTGCTCTTAGCAACATTTCGACGATTAGTCCTACTTACATGTTTTTTTATTAACAGGGAAAGCTGTTGCTTACTAGTCAATTTCATTAGAATTAAATGCCTTGTCGGCTGCTGTTCGTTTTCTTTAGTGCCCATATTTCTGTATCAGATCACAGTGAATGAGGACTGGATAGCGCGCGCGATCCTGCGTCTGGTGGAACAAGAGAAGTTCGTGGTGGAAGGGGGAGGAGCGGTGGGCGTCGCCGCTATCATGGCTGGACTCGTGCCCGAGCTCGCCAGCAAAAAGTCAGTATAATATCAAATACTATTTCTAAAATAGATTCTAAGTATTTTGAATCAGTTTTTATTATCCACCTTTGAAAGAGTTTTTTAATCATAACTTCTTGCAGTGTGGTTTTGAAACAACACGAGTCTATAGTATTTCTACACTAATGCGAAGTTTATCGCTTTTGCTAACACGTGCGTCACAGTCACAGATAGCATAACACTACGTAGATATCAATCGGTAGAGTAAATGAAATGTTATGAAGAGTAAAAAGTAGGTAACAATTATATTTAAATCTATTTCAAACCTGACACTTAGGGCAAAAAGCTCTTTTTCTAATAAATTTTTATATAATTTAAAGCATAAAATAAATATATTTCATCACCTGTAATATTATTCTGTAAGAACAAACAAATTTTTTGCCGCCGAATTCAGAGGTGTCATATGAAATTTATCGTATGTTGAACGTGTATGCTTAAAATCAGAACACGAATTTCAAATTAATTTTACATACTGTTGAATTCCGCGGCGAAAAGTGAGTTTGCTCTTACAGAATAGCTCGGCTGGAAGGAAAAAGGTTTAATAAAGCTATTTATTTATTTATCAGGCATGCCAACATTTTTACACCCAACATAATTAAAAAAAAAACATACGTTATACATAGAGTTGTGCAAAAACAGTTACAGGCATACACAACTCTTATTTCTGTCAAAATTAATGATATAAAACTAAACTAGGTATAAAACAAAACATACATAAAACTAAACTATAATCAAGTGCCACAATCAATGCTCGATAGCAAAGCCCTCCTAAATGCAATCAATGACGCAGCAAACAAATCAACGCCTACCAAGGACCCAGTACAGATTTTATTGTGTTCTTCACAAATCCTATTTAAAACACTCTGCGTACCCAGGTTGGTTTTATAAGTTTTTAAATTAAATAATTTATAGTTGGTCTGAAATTTGGTCGTGGTATATTTAAAACTAATTTCACTAAGAAGTTGAGGACAATCAATGTTACCTCTCAGAATTTTATACAGTAAAATCTGATCAGCAACCCATCTGCGTTTCCGCAATGAAACCAACTCGAAATACTCCAATTTATCCTTATATGAGATGAGTTCATATCTTTTTCCCTGGTGTCTAGTTAGAAAAGACAAAAACTTTTTTTGGATTCTTTCAATTCTTCTTTTATGACACTCATAAAGAGGATTCCAAATAGCAGAACAATACTCCAAGGAACTGCGTACCAAAGCAAAGTATAGAAGTTTCAATGCTTCAACATTTTTAAACCGCTTACAACTACGCCAAAGAAATCCCAGCATTTTTAAACTCTTAGATATAATATGGTCAAAATGATGAGTGAAAAGTAATTTTTTATCCAAAACAATACCGAGATCTTGAATGGACGATACCTCGTCAAGAACTTGGGAATTTATAGAATATGCAGACTTAACCGGAAATCGTTTCTTAGTGAATTTTATATGCTTACATTTGTCAGGATTAAAAGGAAGCATATTTGCGTGTGAGCAAGCCACTATTTGGTCCAGATCTTTTTGTAAAAGCTCAGCGTCATTGGAATTTTGGACAGTTTTGTATATTTTAAGATCGTCGGCAAACAATAAACAACTTGAGTACCTAATAACTCGCACCAGATCGTTTATAAATGCTAGAAAGAAGAGAGGTCCCAAATGTGATCCCTGAGGAACTCCTGAGTAAACCAGAATATAATCAGATTCATATCCACAAGTAACTACTTTTTGATATCTCTCAGAAAGATAAGAATGACACCAGTCTAACAAAGAGCCGTGAACACCTGCCAAGCATAATTTCTTCAGCATTATAGAGTGATTAACCTTATCGAATGCTTTACTTATATCGGTGTACTCCGCATCCACCTGTCGACCCTGATCCAGTTCAAAACTTAATTCATTTACATAGCATGTCAGATTTGTAATTGTAGACATCTTTTGACGAACGAATCTGCTGAGGAACGAGGATGGATCCAAGATGATTTGTAAAATATGGGTACACTAATTTTTCAAACAGTTTAGGAAAACTAGATAATAAGGAAATAGGTCTATAATTACGCACGTCGCTCGTATTTCCTGATTTAGGAATTGGTAAGACATTGGTGTCGATTCTGGCATGTTTCTCTAAACCTAAAACTAAATTTGACAGCAGTGTATCCTTGTCATTCTCTGTACAGAATGAAAAGGAGAGATTGATGTTAAATTTAGTTTTAAGTTTAGAGAATCACGCCAGAATCGACGCCATTAGCCCATTTCCAAACTAACGGAAAAACACCAGTAGATAAAGAATTATTAAAAACTAGCAAACCCGGCGAACTCCGTTTCGCCACCAGATGGCTTCTTTTTATTTAACATTTCGTTTGGTGATTAAAAGAAGTTTTTTTTTTATAATTTTTCCTGAATTTTCTTTGCTATAAACCCCACGGAGCCCGAGACCTTTCCAACGAATGCAAAACCGTGGAAATCGGTTCGTGCGTTCTGGAGTTATAGCGTCAGGAAGGAAAACCCGGCTTATTTTTATACAGTAGATAATATTTAGCGGATATGATAGAGAAGAAGCACAGTTTTTTAGGAATACGGCTGGCACTCCATCCGGACCTGGACCTTTCCTTGGATCAAGATTCTTCATCGCTTTTTCAATGCATTCTACCGACAGGTATATATTAGAAAGGGAATTATTATTGTCATAAGAGGTACTGCCAACGTGTGGCATTAGAATAGCAGGATCATTAGCCACGTATACCGATGAGAAGTGTTGTGCAAAGGCATTACAAATTGACTGAGGAGTATCAAACTTCGTATTATCCAAATGCATTACAGAGGGCATCGTAACGGCTTTCTTGCGATTGTTTTTCACATAGCTCCAGAAGGCTTTAATGTTATTCTTGCTAATAGAGTTTTCAATATTATACAAATATCGACGGTAACATTTTTTTATTAGTAAATGGCATCTATATCTTGCCTCTTTGAACTCAAAATCATCTACAGGATTATTATAAAGCTTTAGTCTCTTCCGTAATTTTTCCTTTTCTCTAAGCATTTGAATAAGGTTTTTTGAGTACCATGCAGGATACTTATTACATTTTGCAGAAACTTTAGGTACGTACCTTTCTATAGTTTGATTGACTATAGAGTAGAATGAATTAACCATAGCATCGACTGAGTCTGTATTTCTGAGTTCTTGATCCCAATCAACACAATCAAATTTTTTATTAATTTGAGCATAATCTGCACGATAGAAATTAAATTTTAAAATTGTCTGCTTTTTCAAACATTTATGAACTGTAAAGTCAATATTAATATTAATCGATGGATGATGTGTATCAAGACTCACAAGAGGATCATCTACAAAATCAACATTAACAGATGAACCACTTGAGAAAACTAAATCTAGCAGTTTATTAATCCCATTCATAATATTATTAAATTGCGTTAGATTATTTAATGACATGAAATCAGACAAGGATTGATAGAGAATACAATTTCTGAATTTGGGAGACATAGCTGACGATGACATTGATTGACATGGGACCCATTCAATATATCCCAGATTAAAGTCGCCTATGATTAACATTTTATCGTGAATGTCTAGTGAAGATAATCCACTAGAAATATTGCTGAGTAAATTATCGAGGTCTACTGAGGATACAGGTGGTGGGAGATATAAGGCACATATAACTAATTTACCTAAAACTCCCTTGGAGTCGGTGATCGAAACCCATAAATCCTCAGAACTGCTTTCCAAGTATGGAAGACGAGAAGACGTAAGATTATTAGAGACAGCTATAAGGACTCCACCTCCGTCCTTTTTGATAGAAGATGTAGTGGCGCGATCTCTACGATAAATCCGGTAGTTATTATTTAGAATTTCCGCATCAAATACACTGTCATTAAGCCATGTCTCCGTCAAAACAATTACATCGTAATATTGGTTAAGACTAGATATATATAATTCATGTAATTTACCACGTATACTTCTAACATTTTGATAATAAATATTTAGTTGATCGAATTTTGTATTAATATGGATAATAATACTTACTATAAACTAAAAATAAAATAAATAAAAGGAATAAGAGAAAGTTAGTGCTTCAATGATTGAAGTACATCACCATTCCGGATCCAAAGAATAGGGGACTCGTCATCTTTTCTTATTAGAATACGACCGTTTCGAACCCATAGATATTTGTACTTTGCCTCCTTTCTAAATAAACGGGCTTGAGCATGCAAAGAGCGATTACTTGGAGACAGATGTTCACTTAAATAAATTTGTTCCTTGTCTCCCGCCAAACCCAGGAGACCACTGTTGAGTTTGTCGTCGGGGTGAGCTTTATTATACGCGAGCCAGGCCGCGATCATACTATCACGAACTCGAGGTGAGGACAGTTTTACTATCACCGTCTTGGGTCTTTTTGATTTAGGGTTCAACTTGGCTACTCTCGTGCAAGACAGTATATTTTCCTGTTCCAGCGGACAACTCAACACCTTAGCGAGTTGTATTACAGTGTTGGGTAAATTCTCTTTGGAGAATTCAGGTAAGCATTGGATTTCCAAATTGCACTCACGTGCCTGCTGTTCTATGGTATTCACTTTGTCTGTAAGCTCATTAACGATCCCAGTTAACTTTAGGTTCTCCCGGCGCAAATCTATAGTTGATGTCTTAAGTTTTTCCAGTTCAGTGTTCACGTCATCATATCTGTTTGACAAAAATTCGATAGTTTGTTTCAAATCAGGTATAAGTTTAACGGCGTTCTGCAAAGTTTCGAGTTCCGAGCGAAAGATGGATTCCATTTTCTTAAGCAAAGAAGTTTCCAGCTGGGATAGCTTTTTATCCAGCACATCCTGGAGTTGACTATGCTCCTCGGAGACTGCTGTGTCATCTTTAATTGGAGTGTTAGTGTTGTCGCCTCGTTTTCGTGGAACCTTACATTCTGGACATTTCCATGAGCCTTTAGCTTTAGCCGACAGTTTGACAAAATTTTCTTTAGTTATGTTGACACAGGTATAGTGATAGAAATTAGAACAGGCCGTGCATGAGATCTTTTCAGAGTTGATTATGTTAAGGCGACATCCATCACATAGATTCATGACAATAAATTTCCTGTATCCCCACTTAGTAAAAAAAATAACACCTTTAGGCAAAAAAGTATTATACTAGCAACACTAGGATCTGCCAAAAAGAATCTTGTTAATGTCAGTTGAAGATGACAAGTGTCAAACTCAAATATGTCACTGTCAATTGAACTTGACAAATAAAAAATCACTCACAAGATGGGTAGTCAAATTTCAAACAAGCAGTGAGTACAAAATTATATCTTAACTTTTTTATTCTTCTGCTGGTTCTAGTGATGAAAAACACAGAAAAAACGATATCACTGGTTGTAGATTATACGATAGATTCAATGCTGACATCAATGTTTTGTTTACGTTTGAATAACACTTTTTCAGAAATTAAAAACACGGAAGCGAAATATTCACTTAGTGGCTGGGTTGCCATATTTTCGATATAGATTTGAACAAACGCTAATGATTGTGTGCAGGATCGTATGCATCCTGTCCGGAGGTAACATCGATAGCACCATCCTGGGACGGTGTCTGGAGCGCGGGCTGGCGGCCGAGCAGCGGCTGGTAAAGTTCAAGGTGACGGTGAGCGACCGGCCCGGCGGCATCGCCGAGCTGTGCAAGCTCATCGCCTCCATCGGCGTCTCCATCAAGGATATCATGCAGGAGCGCGCCTGGGTCTACGGAGACATCTTCAGCGTCCGGGTCAGTGATATTATATACTTAACAAATAGATACCTTAGTACCAAGCTGTGCTAGCTCGTCGTTTCCATCAAGGAAATCATGCAGGAGCGTTCCTGGGTCTACGGGGACATCTTCAGCGTCCGGGTCAGTGATATTATATTCTTAAGAAATAGGTATCTTAGCGCCACCCTGTGCAAACTCATTGTCTCCATCAAGGACATCATGCAGGAGCGCGTCCGGGCTTACAAGGATATCTGCAGCATCCGGGTCAGTGTTATTATTTACTTAACAAATAGGTATCTTAGCGCTGAGCTCTGCAAGCTCATCGCCTCCATCAAGGATATATGCAGGAGCGCGCCTGGGTCTACGGGGACATACTCAGCGTCCGGGTCAGTACTTGACCGGAACTCACATACGGGAGTCCGAGAACCTTTAAAAGAGGCATAAAGAAGCAATTATGCTGACCGGCAAGGTGAAGATGGATGGTGTGGCAGGTAAAACTGCTGACTGCTGTTCCAGCTATCTTCGCGTCTGGACTCCACTGTCACTTATCATCAGGTGAGGTTGAGTCATCTGTCGGACCTATTTATAAAAAAATGGATATGTGCTGTTCACATGCGATAGAAGTGAAACCTACAAAAATGTGCACACCTAAAAGTCGTTCAGCCGCCCGCGGCTTTATTTGTTACCAGTTATTTTTATTTTATTACTTTTGTTATGTTTTCTTATCTTAGGTTTTTTACGAAATATTTTTTTATAAATAATTACTGTAACAAAATTAAAACATTGGAAAGGTAAGGATTATTGATAAAAACCAAGCCTGTATTAATAAACAACTTAGGCACCTACCAAACGTTTAAAACATACTTAACTATTCAGGTATTGTAAGATACTGGGCAAATTTAAATATTCTACACTTAAATTGTTTCGAAAAAGAAATAGTAGCTATATAAAAACAATAAAAAAACAATTAAAAATATAACGGAGCTCAGAATCGAACTACCGATCATTTGGTGTCCCCAAGACCGTTACCGTTCGGCTATCTGTCTCTTATAAAAATCATAAAATTACGGATACCTAAGATAGGTATCCGTAATTTTAAATACTCTACTTCCGTTTCATCGAATCTCAAGTTACAACGATACTGTTAGTGTTTACTTAAAAAACCGGTATAGCTCGATAGTGGTGTCGATTCTGGCATGATTCTCTTAATCTAAACTTAAATTTGACAACAGTGTATCCTTGTCATAGTCCGTACAAAATGAAAAGGAGAGACTGATCTTAAATTAAGTTTTAAGTTTAGATAATCATGCCAGAATCGAAACCAGTATTACTCTAAACCGAATAAAAATCAACGCGTGGACCACAAAACTCACAAATCGAAGGCTCGTACCTAGACGCGACGCGTTGACTTTTTCTCATTTTAGAGAAAAACTTTCGAGTTATACCGTATGTGAGTACAGACCGTAGGACATGATTATTATTACATTTCTTTTACTACATTTTTGATTGTCCACTTGTAAAAATCACGTGAAACGTTTGGTTTACTCGTAATGAAATTAAATAAAAATTAAAATATGTAGCGAACTGGATAGCCCAAAAACTATCAACTGTGTGGGTCGTTAATATATTAATAATGAATTGTTATTTCTAGGTTAAAGTAGTGTGCGAAACTCGGGGCCCCGAGCACATGGAGGAACTACGGGAAATGATTTCAAATTCGTACAGAGAATACTGTTTCATAGGCGAGACGGATCCGTTCTCGCGCCAAAACAGCTGCGCCTCCATCGACAACGTCTCACAATAAACATAACACCATAATGTTAAGGAAGTCCACATAAACGGAAGAAACAGATCTCTGGCTAGAAAACAAACTGATGAAAAGCATTTTTGTAATATCATTTGTATAATGTCTGACAGTCTTCTTTGCTACATTTTGTATAGACCTACGTAGTAGGTCCGTAGCAAATACAATAGCTACGAATGATCGTAGCAAATTCTAATGTAGGGCCAATAGAATTAGCTATCCCAGGAAAGGGAATAATTAATTTTTCAGTTTTACTGAAGTTAATGCTGCCTCTTTTTGCAATAAGAATAGAATGAGACAATACGTGACGTGTTGTCCAACAGCAGCAACTCACAGCAATGACTAAAGGGAGAATTTCAAAAGCGTAGCTGATTTCGTATTCGTAGCACGATATTGTACGTAGCTATAGTTCCTGTAGCACAAGAACAGAAAAGATAATAGCTAATAATAGAAAAGGACAGAATTTCCTGGTACACAATTACAAAAGTTTGATGATATTTGGATGTTAAATTGCTGTGACTTTGTAAGTTAAAGTAGACAATGGTTTCGATTCTCTAAACCTAAAACTAAATTTAACATCAGTCTCTTAATCTATAAAGAGAGTGACAAGGATACGATGTTGTAATTTTTTTAACAGTTACACAGACTACAATACACTACTAGAGTCTGTGCGGAAAGAGAAAGGGCGTGGTGAAAAACGTAACTAACATTAAAAAAAATATTTGGCAATCAAACCCAGCAATCTCTAAAACGTCAAAGTTTTGTATTAATATGGATTTGTTTGTTGTTGTTATTTCTTGCGGTTTTTTGTATTTAATCATGTCTAAAATGGGTAAAACCTTACAAATATGGTAGAAAAGCACTACAGCGCCCTCCAATCTATATCCCATTCTCTTTCCGCACAGACTCTAGATAAATTATTTTGTTAAGGGCCAACTAGACAAAGTATTGCCTTACCTATTTTTTTTTATTATTAAAGATTACCTACGAAAGTTTGCTTTAATCACCTATGCTTAGTACTAGAACAATTCATATTCTTAAAGATGTTCGATACTCTGAGCTGTGCGTTGGTATTTAAGTAATGTTTTTAAATACTGACTAAAATAAGTTCCTTATTGATAGTTCCTAACATTTGAAAAAATACAAGTAAGAAAATTAATATTAATGTGTTATTAATATTGCGTAAAGTACTCGTGAAAAGGTGATATTTAATCGTAATCTGTGCTTACATAAAATATTATGTTTTTTAAGGAAAAATAATAGGTTGGCGAAAAATAAGGAATATATACATATATATATATACATATATGTATGAATGTCACCTTACCACGGGTATCGATACTTTACGAAATATTATCGATCACCAATAATTTAATGGATTTCATGGTTTTCCCAGCCTTATTATGTTTATTGAAAGATAAATGTGTTTTTCAATTATATAATTATTTTTCTACGAATACATTTGTAAATGTGATATAAAAAAAAATGGGTGCGTGTACTTATGTAGGCGCGTGAGAAGTTATCCTTCTTTGGCATCGTTTAAAATTAGTTTTTAATTGCATGCAAATAATTAATTACAATAAATTAATAAAAAGTCTGGAAAAGGACACAGTCAATAAAGTTCAGTTTTAATTTGAAAAAATAAATAAATAATCAAAATATTCAATTAAAATCGCTACTGAATATAATTTATTAGAACATATGTGATTTGCACTTGTATGAAACACAAACACGTATTCCGAATATACAAACTAGAAACATGTGGATAAATATTATAAATATGAATACCTATAACTGTTACTTTATTACAAAAAATAAAGATGTGGTTTTTGGTTCTACTACACCAATGGTCAAGAGATGGCGCTGCAGTATCCTGAATCGCGCTTTGGTTCCGTTGTTCCAGATTAATAAATACTTTTCATAGGCCTTCACAATGCAGTCCTTAGCACCCACTAAATAGAGATTCTATTTCTATTTTGTTGGTAGATTTTCTTAATGGGCGGTAAACACAAAAGTAACGCATGAAGTTGGTCGCTAAAGCGACCGACTTCATGCTGTTAAAATTTTGTGTTACAGTGATGCGCGCGCATCTTAAAATTTCACTCTCATCATTTTTTCATAACGCGCCTAAAGAAGTATAACTTCAAAAACATATTTGATGTTAATGATTTGTATGAGTTACATGTTTGAAGCACATTAAAGAAATTATGTAAGCATAAGCTTTATTCAGGAAAACAGATAAGCTTCACTGTGATGAGTAAGGTATTCATTGTCTTCCTGAAAACGATTATGTAAGTTAATTAAGTATTAGAATGTAAGTAAGCTAGTAGTGAAAGTAAAAACATACAAAACCTGCAACTTAAGAATCTATTGTAACGCATAATGTTCTTTGCGTGGTTATGATTATATCTGTAAATATTTAATGCAATTAAAACTAATACTTCAACTTCTCCTCCAACCATTCCGACTTTGATTTCTTTTTAGTTTTTAAAACTAGATTGAATACTGGTAAGTTTAAGTATGAGGCAGTTAAGTCTGGTGCTCGCAGATTAGATTTTATTTTCTAGTCTCAAAATAGATATGGGATCAACAAATCTAATGGCGTTATTACATTTGGTTGCTAGCTGAATACGATTGCCTATGGAATTCGAACAAGACAATGTTAATATTGCGTCGGGTGCCTGAATTCAAGTAATGTCTTTTGTACACCCGAATTCTAGGGCTAGCGACCAAGAACAACTGTAATTGCACCATAACAATTTGCATGGTTTGCATGAATATACACAACAATCAAATAAACTGACATGTTAAGGTTGCGTTTCCACCAAAGATGTGCGATGGAAATGTGTCGTGCGAGGATGTCTAGATGTGCTGTGAAAATGTGTGGGGATTTCCACCAAAGCTGTGCGATGAAAATGTGCCTACAAGGATGTTTAGCGGAACTGTGAAAATGCGCATTAATGTGTGGTGCGAGGATGCGTTGCTTTATCTTCTGCTTCCATTTTTTCATCGCAAATTCTTAAATATAAAAGTATCTTATTTTCCAATTATCCATATCTATTTTGTGCACTTTTACTTCCAACAAACTCCGTCTATGGACTGGCTAGTACAGTATGCGCAAACCTCGCAACACATCCTTCTCAACTCGCATTCCTCGCAACACATCCCTCGCACACATCCCTCGTACACATCCCTCGCTTGTTTTGTATGCGTTTTGCGTAAACTGAGTAAATGAAGCGATTCTATTGGTTCTTTACATACACATCCCTCGCTATGCATCCTCGCACATCTCTGGTGGAAACGCAGCTTTAAGTGGGAGCTAGGTAGGTACATAAGGCTGACCCCACATTGGGCGTGCGCGTTCCTCGAGTGTGCAAAAGACGCAAACACCGTGACCACGTCGTCGCGTCGGTCGTGTTGTTTTATTTGATATTATTTCCTTAAAGTTATAATCAGTTTTTTTCAGGTGTCACAAGTAGTCCAAAATATTAATCTTGGCACTATCACTACGTTTTATGTGTCTGCAAAATGAAATATAGTTATCACTTTCTTGCAAAAAAGAAGACTATAATGGACCTTGCCAAAGACATTTTGCATATCTTATTTTTCAGTGGTAATAATATAGCAATACTGACAGTAGTGTTTCCTCGTCAGAATCCATTTTAGTGTCGCCGCACACGGGCCACCGACCACAACCACAAAACGCCGCCACCGGCATATTTCTTGTAGTTTTCATACATTTTATATGGACTCGCCACACACGATACGCCAGTGGTCGCCACACGCTACAAATCGTCGTTGCTCGCTTCTTGTGGCCCGCACTGGCCACTTAATGCGCCGATACAAAAGCCGCCACACGTCACTCGCGCGATTCCCCACCCCTCTCTCCCTTACCTTAGTCGGCTGCTGTCGCACGCTTCAGTCACTTTAGTAGCCGCTTCTAGCTTCTCGTGGCGGCGTTTGTGGCTGTGGCGTGTGGCCCGTGTGTGGCGACACTTAGTGATTGAAAACAGCAAGGCGGCGCACACGCTTTGTTCGTGTCGTTCACACTCTCGAAGAACGCGCACGCCCAATGTTGGGTATGCCTAAATAAATCCTTTATGCATCTAAAGAAAAGTTTACTAGAAAAAAATCCACGCGGACCAGGCAGCGGACGGGCTTCGAACCCGCATCCTTCGCTATCCGGGCGAATGCACTGACCTTTATGCTACCACGGCCCTATTAGCCGCGTCGAAATTTTCCTAGCCTTAAGCTGCAAGGCAGCGCCATCTCCTCGCATTGTAGGTAACCCACAATGTCAAATGAATACTTTTTCAAGTATTAAACATTCGAAAGAAGAAATAGCAATCATAGTTATGATTTTATTTATTTCTTAAGCATTTAACTGCTAGATGTTTAAATCTAAAGAAAAGTTTACTAGAAAAAAATGCGAGGAGATGGCGCTGCGCTGCCTTGCAGCTTAAGGCTAGGAAAATTTCGACGCGGCTAATAGGGCCGTGGTAGCATAAAGGTGAGTGCATTCGCCCGGATAGCGAAGGATGCGGGTTCGAGTCCCGTCCGCTGCCTGGACCGCGTGGATTTTTTTTCTAGTAAACTTTTCTTTAGATTTAAACATCTAGCAGTTAAATGCTTAAGAAATAAATAAAATCATCCTTTATGCACTTTACTAATAAAGAACAAATTACCTACAAGACCTGCCTTCTAGTATAAATATTTATCTCTATTGAAGGTTCCTTAAGGATCTCTTGAATTCAGAATTAATGAATTAAAGGAATTAAAGAATTAAACCGATACATCCAAACATTAAAAATGTGGATAATTCTATGTAATCTTCATGGTAAATACAACGTCAATATTTTAAAATAAAAATTTGAACCTGACAAAACTAGCCTTCAGTCATTTTAATCTACGACAAACACTTTCAAACATGCATTCGTAATCCAAAAAAATATTATTTTAACCTCCATCACCAATACCAGCTTTAAAAGTATGAAAAATTAATGTAACCAATTTATAATATAATTCAGTTACAGCCAGACCTCAAAATGCGCGACGTAAGTATAAAAACCATTGTATAAAAAAAAATAACCCTACTGTTAGTACTTACTAGTACTAACTAACATATTTATAAGTAAGCGGCGCTCTAATTAAACTTGGCTTTGCAAATAAAGTAAGTATAGACGAAGTAAGAATCTGCGATCAAACATTAGAATTTAGACCTTAACCCCCTTATTAATAAACAAGGAATAAGCTTAGAATAGTTACACCGTGTTTCGTTCATGTCACTCAAATATCATTTGTCATTCAATAGACGGAGACAAAACATGGAGTAACTAATCCAAGTGTAGTCTTTTTGTGTTAATAAGGGGTAAGCGTTTCGAATCAGAATTTTAAATCTATAATTTAATAAGGAAAAAGCTCCAGTAGAGAAATGTCTTCTTGGTCTTATCATTAGATTTTGAACAGTACATACCGATTTAATTTTAGGACATAGACTTTGACGAAAACTGCGATCCTAACAACCCCCGGAAGATAAAGTATGATGACATACTAGCAGCCTCACACCGTATCATGGGCGGTGTGATTCGAACTCCATGCACGGTAAGATCAGGTCTATTTATTGGTACTTAGGTGAATTTAAATATTAATATATTGTAGTTAATTGTGGGTTACCTACAATACTAAGAGATGGCTCTGCCTTGCAGCCTAAGAAATACTAGAAAAAAATCGACACGGCCATTAGGGCACGGTAGCATAATTATCAGTGTATCCGCCCGGATAGCGGAGGGTGCGAGTTCGAGTCCCGTCTGCTGCCTGGTCCGCGTTTTTTTCTGGTGAAAATTATCTTTAGATTTCAATCAATATTCGATCGATATTTATCTCCCCAATGTTAGATAAACGCAGCTTAGTACGATATATACGTCTGCTAGAGCAGCAGAATTTAGAAATTGAAGTTCTTAATGTTTTAGTTTTCAGACAGAAGGCCAAACTATCTGTAGGCATGTCCATTTCTATTTTCCAATAAGTAATATTTTATTACAATGGCATAACAGAGAGGGCAAGAGGTTAAAAGTTTTCCACAAAGGTCCCATGGGTATAGCAATAAAAGATAAGACTTCTTTTTGTAAATAAACTTTTTGACAGTGGAATATCGATGTTTTTACCTTTTTAGTCTTTATTTATACTCAAAGAACATTTCACTTCGGCAGTTTAAAGATTTAAAATAAATCAGGTGCATTTACCAAATTACCATCGGGTCGAAAACAATTTTATAAATTTTTAAGTTCTCCTCAGGTCACTTTATTTATTTTGACAGAAAGCTCACATGTCTGAAAAACTTGGAATGGAAATATATCTGAAGCAGGAATTCGTTCAGTTTTCTGGCTGGTAAGCGCCATTTGTAGATTATGTTATTATTTTAGAAATAGGGATATTTTTCCTCAGTATTCCTCTTCGTACATTTTAAAGCCTCCAGTAGAGAAAAGATGGCTACTAAAATTAATAGCTTGATGGTAGGTGGAACTATTCCAGTAATATTGGTGTCGATTCTGGCGTGATTCTCTAAACTTAAAACTAAATTTAACATCAGTCTCTCCTTTTCATTCTGTATAGAATGACAAGGATATACTGCTGTCAAATTTAAGTTTAGGTTTAGAGAATCATGCTAGAATCGACACCATTATCTTACTTGTTATGTTGATTCTGATCTCGTAAAATGGACACGGGCCTTTCTCCCTCCGATAAAATTTCAACTCCATAATCGATATATATCACGGTGCATTTCTGCAGTTTCAAAGAACGAGGGGTGCGGAATACGCTCATGTTACTCAGTGAAGAACAGAAAAAACATGGTGTCATATCCGCCTCCACTGGTAATCATGCCATTTGTATGTGCTACCACTCCACCCTGCTCTCTGTGCCATGCGTGGTCGTGATGCCCTTTTCTGCCGTCGTCAACAAGATCGAAAAATGTGAGAAATTGGGGGGAAAAGTCGTCTTACACGGAGCTAACATCATTGAAGCAAGGAGGCACGCTTTAGAACTTTGTAAAGAAAAGAAAATGTTATACATTAGCGGGTAAGTGGTACCAAAATTTAGTTTCATTGCCTAATAGCCTGTAAATAGCTCCCTTTTTCATTCTTCCTGTCTTTATATTCCCATTCCTCTTGGATACCTGGGGTCGAGCTTTTTTCTTTCTACCTTTCCCAGCCACTGTTTCTCCCTCACACTTACCTATATCCCTGGTCGAAACTAGAATCTGACTCAGCTATTGGTAAGTTCGGTCGCCCCATGAAGCCCCACCCATCATCAAGGAAAAACTAAGTGAAATAATGTTAACAAAATAAAAATATAGTAAAAAAAATAGCCTCTGACGTAAAGCCAAGGAAACAACACGTATTCCGTACATCTGCTTCAAGATATTTCTACCTCGCCAGCTCTTTTCACCTGGCTTTCTGGACTAAATTATACTATTCCACGTCGCCTTTAATCTTAAAATATGGAGTACGAATACCACATTATGAATTAAAAACCGTAATTAAATATTAATTGAACTTCATATCAATAATAAAGAATAAAAATATGCATTTTTATTCACTATACTATAGTTTCCCGCCCTGGCTTCGCTTCAGTGTAGAATATAGTTTTGGTTTTGTTCTCGGGCATGTTTTAAACAAATAAACCTTCCACAAAAATTATTTAACTGATGGTGAAAATAGTAAGAAAATTTATTCAGATGGATTTTTTATAATATGTAGTGATAGCTTACAGATGCACTGAAATAACAATTAAAATCATTGCTTCAGTGAGTTGTCTCATATCGGTAATGTAACAGCACCAACTTCAATCAAACTTTGCACTTAATTGATATCTCTGAGTGCGGCCGTTGGTAGTAAGTTGCACAATTTATGAGAACAGCAACTAGGAGCAAGTTAAATTATGAAAAAGATGAAGAAAGAAAAAGTAGAACGTTTCAATTATCATTAAGGCATGTCTGTAATTCAAGGTTCGATCACCCGAATGTCATAGAAGGGCAAGGTACTATTGGAATAGAGATTATAGAACAAGTTCCTGCAGTCGATGCGATACTGGTCCCAGTCGGCGGCGGCAGTCTCATAGCTGGCATCGCTATAGCCGCAAAACATTTGAAACCTGATACGGAAGTTTACGTAAGTCAACGATTAGAGAGTCTTAATCAAAATTTCATTCATTCGTAGTTTAAGGTAAAAGGGCAAATATTACCATCCACATCCCAAAATTTCGACGATCCTATATTTAGAATAATCTGAAACTATTTTTTATTTAGAAACAATAGTACAGCTAGTTCCCACTGTGCGTCAACCCCACTGCTGGATATCGAATGATGATGATGATGCAAATGACTAAGGTGAGATTTCTAATAGAATCTCACGGTTACAACAGTGGACTTAGCTCAGGAAGACAGCTGGTTAATAACTTAGACATCTTGGGCTAGCCAACAGGCGACTGGTGAAATAATATCAGGATAAGGCTAGGATAATGCAAGATGCTGAATACGTTAATAAATTTTAGCCATCACCACCTAAAATACCTAAATACTACAGTCTGCGATATATCTTCTTTGAATAATAAGAATTTACCGTCCTTAGCAACACATTTCGTTTCTACTGCTACTACTATAAGACTTATGGTCGTTAAGATTTTCAAATCAAAACTGATAAATAAAGAAAGCTAGAGTCAATTAATGAAAATAAATATTGAATTTGATGAACAGGGAATTTGTACTGACAAAACCAGCAGTATGGTGGAAGCTTTACGAAAAAATGAGCGAGTTTTCATCAATATCGATACAACAATAGCCGATGGACTTGCCGTTAACATAGTTGGAGTTAACACATTCCATAGTTTGAAAGGAAATGTCGATAAAATGGTAAGAATCGTTAAATAATCTTCTTCTTTAAGTACATCTTTATACCTCCGGCTGAATCGATTTCTAGAAAAATTTCCGCATTTAAATACGTTCCTGAATGGTTTAGAGACACGACACGTAGCTACGATGGAGCGATAGCTGGAGATATAATCAAGTTCAAGAATTTTATCTGAACTTTCCGAAATGGCTGGACCGAATACAATAACATTAAATTTATTATAATATTTAAGCCGGCAAGGTAAGGATGGCTGATGTGGTAGTCATACCTGCTGCGCGTCTAGAGTCTGTCACCATTTAACATCACATGCAGGGGAGGGAGTCATATAAGTTATCATAAATAAATAATTGTACATACATGAACCCTGAATACATTACCCTCTTTTTTGGGCAGTCATGTAATAAATTTGGGCACTCTAGTAGGTAGCATTTCATTCGGATTCTATGATTGTAGGTCTGCTAGTTAGCTTATCCATTGTTTTATAATGTCATTAGTTTCAGCTAGGTGTATGCCCAGCTCGAAGGTTGTATAATACTAAGATAATTAAATATACCCTAAAACCACAGTTAATGAGATAATACCTCGAGCTTTAGGATACTCAAAATTAAATAATATGAAACTTGCCTCCACTTTCAACAGTATTCTGTTTGTATAATTTTTAGGTTATAGTTAGAGAAGATTGGGTAGCTCGAGCAATATTGAGATTAGTAGAAGATGAAAGATACGTGGTAGAGGGCGGCGGAGCGGTTTCTATAGCAGCTATTATGGCAGGACTTTTTCCTAATCTTAAAGGAAAAAAGTAAGTCAAGTTCTTGCCTACATCATTAATGATAGAGTAATGTTGTTGTCTCCATAAATAAGTACATGACATCATTAATATTCATACGAGCTCCTTGACCGAGTGGTTAATACGACCAGGTTTCATGGTGTCGCAACTTAAGGTTCCGAATTCGAATCCCGGTGGGGGCAAATGTTAGTATGATAACTACGAGCATTTGTACCTTACTCATGGATGCTTATATTTATTTCTGGATAAAATATACTTATATATGCATCAGTATAAGTATTATATCCGTTTACCTAGCAACAGTGCTTACTTTGGTTCTATTCAAAAAAACTGTTTTTGCCTTCTTTATTTACTACCTAGTAATCTGTGGATGCAGCGGCATAAGACAAAAAGCTTTATTTTCCATTTAAGCACTAAATAGTAAGAAAACACTGTTTTAATAGCAAGTCGTTGCACGCAGGGTTGTGTGTGTGATGAGCGGTGGGAACATAAGCACCACTGTACTGGGGCGGGCGCTGGAGCGCGGCATGTCCGCGGAAGGGCGCCTGGTGAAGTTCAAGGTGACAGTGAACGACCGGCCCGGAGGCATGGCCGACCTGTGCGCGCTGCTCGCCAACATCAACGTGACGCTGCGCGACTGCGTGCCCGAGCGTGCCTGGGTCAAAGGAGACGTGTTCAGTGTAGAGGTGAGGTGGTTGGTGAAGTTCAAGGTGACCGGGAACGACCGATCCAGCGGCATGACCAACCTGTGTGCGCTGCTCGCCAACTTTAACGTAACGTTGCGCGATTGCGTGCCCGAGCGTTCCTGGGTCAAAGGAGACGTGTTCAGTGTAGAGGTGACTGGTGAAGTTTAAGGTGACTGTGAACGATATTAAGAAATAACTATCATTATCAGCCTATTAATGTCCCCACTGCTTTAGCACAGGCCTTCGCTATGGATGGAATAGGGAGATTTGGCCGTGACCCACCACGCGGGCTATATTCTATAAGATAATAAAGAGCGTCCCACGGGTTTGTCACACGGAGGGAAAGTATATTAAATATTGGAGCTAGGATAGTTTACTAAAGGAAGACAATTTATTTTTAATAATAAGAAGGATTGCATTCGCAGTTTTTAGAAAATCGCCTGCCATTTGAAATGCTATGTTATTTAGGAAAAAATAAACCTTATGATTAAACCTTTCGATGGTTATCATAAAATACGTCATGTGTTTATTCAGCCTGACACCCCGACCATGTTGTATTTTTTTGTTAGATATAAACATCGAGCAACGAAAATATAATAAACATTCCCATCTTTTCAGTTAAAAGTGATTTGTGAAACCAAAGGCTGGGACCACACCAAGGAGTTGGTGGAACAGATCAAGAAACATTTCAAGGAGTACTACTTTCAAGACATGAACGAGCGCACGGATAAGACTGCGGGCACCCGACGCGGGCCCTGTCTAGCCCCAAACCCCGTCTGCATGCAGAAATAGCACAATACAATAAGATGATATGGTCATTATCATCTATCACCTGATATTTATTAAGTGTAACAATACAGGATTCAACATCAAGGAAAAAAATCTCATTCTAGTCTCATAATTTATTTTATTTTTAAGAAACTATTAAAATGAAAAAAAAACCGAATCAACGTTTTTTTATACTTTCTTTGATTTTTATATTTTAAACTAGCTTCCACGACTAGAAAAACATGAAAGCTAAGCGAATGGGATGAAAAAAAAATATTTTGGAGGACCACTGGTGGGCACTAGTCATGGTTGGATTCGGGGTCCTTAGTAAAATTTTTAGAGCTTTGGGGCCTGCGCTGCGTTAACCGCAGCACGGAGCGGACGTCAGTTCCTAAAAACGATAATTTTGCCATATTCTTAAATATTTATGATTCTTTAAATAATGTTTCATGGATATATATTTTTTTTATTTCAACTGATGGGATCTGAACTTTTCGTCCAGGGCATGTCGGTCTGGGCTGTCTCGAATTATGCATTTTCGGAGAAAGCTCGAAGCTTTTATGAAGTGTTTAAAAAGCGTTATTTGTGTTTTTATGAAAGTGCCTAGTATAAAAATTAAGCGAGTTATGTTAAAGACAAAGTTGGTCCCTAATTTTGCGAGGTAATCCTCGCCCATTGAAAATGATCATTACCACTATAATTTACAAGTACTTGTTATGCCCTTTAAGTTTGATCGATTTAAAAAGCTTAGTTTTGAAAATAGTGTGCAGTTTTTTGCAACTTAGCAAAAAGTTAACCGTGTGCGGCGAGTCCATATAAAATGTATGAAAACTGCAGAAAATATGCCGGTGGCGGCGTTTTTTGGTTGTGTCCGATGGCCTGTGTGCGACGACCATTAGTCTTTCGTGGCCACAGATAAAACGCAGGTAGCAGTGATCCAAGCTCCAAGGAAACTTATTGAGTATTGTTTAGGAAAATACGACCCGATTTTACAAGAACTTTACTTAACAAAGTAAACCAAAGGGCCAGATAAAATACTTAAGTCCAAAAATACAAAATGAGCTAATTTCTGTCCTGGTTCTAAAAGTAGAAAATGCACTCATAAATGAAATAAATGCCGCACCATTTTACTCTATCATAGTCGATACAACTCAAGATATATCAAAAATTGATCAAATGTGTGAACTTTTTACCGTTATTGTATGATCGAAAAAGAATGGTAATGGGATCCCAAAGGCACTTGTCATTAAAGAAACATTTATAAGATATCATGAGGTTATAGATCAAACTGCCTTAGCAATGTCCAAGCAAATTATTAAATCCATAAATGACAAAAACATTCCTTTAAATAAGTGTCGAAGACAAGGATATGATGGTGCTCAATGAAAGGGACTTATGGTGTAGTTCAAAAACTCATAAAAGATGTCGAGCCAATGCCGTATATGTTCACTATGCTGCTCATAATTTAAATCTAGTACCTACTCAATGATGCACTGAGAGAGGTTATTGATATGTAAAAAAATTAAACAGTACAACAAAATATTTTTTTTTCGGCATAGTATCAAAAGATGGAATATTTTATCAAGTTTTATATCTAATAAAGAAAGTGAGTCTTCAACTTCAATAACATTAAAAACATTAAACTCTACTAGATGGGCAGGACGTTATGATGCCGTTTTTGCATTAAAAGTTCGGTTTGTTGAAGTCTAAAAAGCGCTAACGAAAAAAAATCTGTTAAATTGCAAATAAGATGAAAGAAATGAGGCTGTTCACTCAAAAAGAAGATCGAAAACTATAATTTTATAATGTTATTGGTTTTCCATTGCAAGACCCTACTTACTGATAGTAATGCAGCCTCTAAAGGACTTCAGACAATGCATGGAGATATTATGTTCTTTGGATGAATGTGAAGTCTCCAAAATGCATTGTGCTAGCGTGGGGACTACAGACCATTCCCTCTCGCCTAGGAGAGGAGGCCTATGGCCATTAGTGGGACATAGACAACGTGTAATTGAGTACGCTGAAAATCTTGAAGTTTATTAAAATTAAACTGAGTACAACGTGACGATTTTTACTGATAGTGCCAGATGGTATAGTTACGCCACTGTGTATATACCTAAGTATATAACGTATCTACGTACGATCTGGTTAACATGGTTTCGAAATCGGTCAAGTGGTTGAAAATTTGAATTTTACCCCTGGGGATCACACGTGTCCGAGGAATTAAAAGAACAAAAGTTGTACTTTTTGTTCTATAATTTAAAATATTGAAGATTTCATTTTAAAACTCAGTTTAGTAGTTTAAGAAACAGGATTTTACACCCGTAGTCTCATTCCCGTAGATTTTTTGGAAAAAATGTCTCACTTCGTGAAGCGAGACCAATCATTCAGCTATGTCCTTTACCATAAAACTTTCTATTGGTGAAAGAATTTTTAAAATGGGTCATGATGACTCAGTCAGTGTATCCTTTTCGCTTTTTATATACTCGTAATAGTGTAAACTATGGATATTATAGAATAGATATAGAAGTAGAGATATACAGGGTGGTCCAACTAGTGACGTCAGCAATTTTTTTTAGATTCCTCGCACCTGGTTGTATCTGTAAATAGCCCATGTATGTTCTGCGATTTTTCTTAGTTTTCGAGTTATAATTTTTTGTGTATTTTTAATGATTTCTGCCAGCGAGGTTTTAAAAATTAATATATTTTTTCGTAGTAGGTATTTTGCATTCTTTCTTTGTGACATAATTGTCTTAAATGTTGTTTTAATAAAAAAAATAACTCAGCTTCCTGAAATTACTTAAAGTTACTCAAAAAAGGCTTGAGAGTTGGAAGTTTAGTTTTTAGTAGGATTTACTCAAACATTCAACTTCAATTTAAAAATACAAAAAGGAGTTTCCATAGCTTCTTGTTAAGTTTAAAAACTTCGCATGCTTCTATACAACCAAAAAACATAAAAAAAAAATAGTACTTAATCAGCCTATATTTATTGTAATTGGCGTTTGAAGGCGGATAGGCTAAAATCATTGAAACACGATTAAAGCATTTAAAATTATTTTCTCTACTTTTTATCATTGTTATGGTAAATTAAACTTGATTTTGTAATTTTAAATTTAATTTAATTGAAATTCCTGTAAAATAACTTTAGCGTGTGTAATTTTACAATAATTTCGGTTTCATCGCTATTCTCAAAGGTCCGTTAAAACTGTACATGCGAGTGAGCACCTCCTTATTATTAAAGAGTATTGCACCTCCTTGCAGCGAGAAATTATGACTGTGACGTCGTATTAGTTTAGTCTTTTCTTGCCATCGCGCGTGTTAAGACTGCTCTTGTCTACGTTATTTTCTCTCCCTTTAACTACTTACGCTGTGTTGACTGGACTCTGATTTGCCTCACGATTACCTTTGCTTGTGTTTCGGACCCTGATTTGCCTTACGAACTACTCGTGTTTGAGATTTGGACCTTGATTTGCCTAACGAACAACCTGTGCTTGTTACTCAGTGATTTGGATTGTTCTTGTGCAGTACAATGAGTTATTCTCTAAGGCAATACGCAGAGATGCATTATTATTATGGCGTAGCCCAAGGCAACGGTAGTGAAGCTACGAGGCTTTATCGAGAGGCATTGGCGAGCCGTGGAGAAATAATGGAGCATTACCCGGACCACAGGGTTTTTATCAATACGCATAATACCCTGATGGCTGGATGTATCCCCGGGCGAAGTCAATCTCGCGAAGCTGTACCCCACGATGCGGATCAAATGGAAGCAGTCTTGGAAGAAATTCAAAGAGACTCATCTACAAGTTCGAGTACAATAACTTGGCGAACCGGAATTCCACGGACTACGATTTTAAGAATTCTTAAGGAACGTGAGTGGTGAGCCATAAAAAGTTGGTACTTACATAAGCTTTTAATTGTGTTGTAAAAAAGGAAGGTTTGATTTAGTTTGTTTTTATGTAAGCATCGTCTAGATAGTAGTAAGCCTATCTGTGATCTAGGTGATTGTCTCTTTCTCCCAAACCCATTTTGTACAGACCGCGCAGTAACCAATTAACTTGTGTTGGGTACTTAACAATTATTTTTGTTTGCAGAAGGAGACCATGCGTACCACATTCAGCGCGTCCAGCAGCTCCAAGAATCTAATCACCCGAGAAGAGTGACTTTTTGTCAAACAATGTTGCAACGATCTGAAGAAGACCCTGATTTTTTTAACAAAATACTGTGGACAACCAAGTGTCAACCTTTGATCTGGGGTCCTAAATGGAGAATTAATTGGCTTCTTTGAAGGTTGGATGGAAACAGTTACCTATTTTTTTTACAAAATAATCTCATTGGATTGTTAGAAGATATCAATCTCCAGACCCGACAAAGGATGATTTTCCAACAAGATGGCGCGCCCTGTCACTATGCGCCACGAGTAAGAGAGCATTTGAATACCACATATCCCGAAAGATGGATCGGGCGTGCAGGGCCGATCGAATGGCCTGCGCGTTCGTCAGACCTCAACCCCATCGATTTTTTATTTGGGGATTTTACAAAGAGCTAGTGTACGCGACGGAAAGCAACAGCAAGCAAGAATTGAGACAAAAACTTACAGAAGCGGAAAGAAAAATAAAGCAAGAATATTCAAGTAGCTTTAGATAATTAAAACATAACTTTTTAAGACTTTGTCAATTGTGTATTCAGGTTGGAGAAAGGAGTTTTGAAAATTTACTGTTATAAATAGATATATATGTGAAATTATGAAGTTTAATCTTTAAGCGTATTTAATTAGTAACAAATCAGAGCAAATCTGTTGAAAACAGGTCGAATATCTGAATTCTACTTGGTCAGGGGCATGGCACCCTAATTTTTAAGCCTAGCAAAAAGTTTCTAAGTAATAAGTCGAGTATATTAAAAATCCAAATTTTGGTGTAAATTGACATAGATTAATGAATAAATTGGTGCTGTTTGGTAGAACTGGTAGGTTTTCCTGCTTTTTTCCGTGCAGTGACTGGAATAGAAGGCTAGAAGGCCTAGAAGGTCATTGGTCCGGGCTATAACTTCCTTGCCTAGAATTTCTTAAAATCATAGATTTATTATTATAGTTATTGAAATATTACATCTATGCTTGAAATACACATTGACAAAATTTAACTAATCTGTATTGTCAAAATCAACTGACTGATACATTATGTGTGTGCGTAACTACAAATAATATAAACTGATTTACTTAAAAAATACCTTCCAATAATTAAATTATGTTTTGCTGTAAGCTGTAAACAATTAAGTACAAAATATAAGAAAGCAAATTTATAAAAATGTCGAAAGACTAAACTGTAACAATAAAATACCACATCGAGTCAGTACTACCTTGTAAACCCGTTAATTATTCAAGTTAATCTTGCATTTATGGATTCGAAGGAACCACTTGGACCATCTCCAGCTGTACTCGCTAAACGTGATAAAGTTAAACCAAGCCAATGGTGCCATGTGAGAAATAAAATTGTTTTTCATTTGTAACCTAAAAATAGTACTTATAGAGTTTGTGGTTTGTGGTCTGTGTACTGCTTAACTGACTTGCTAACTATTTAAATATAACTTTAAAATACTAAAAGCTTACGTATTCATAAACTAATGTTTAAGTATACCGTATAAGATCATCAACTAGTTTAAAACACAGCAATGAAGTTTATTATTCTTTTCTCTACTTCGTTGTTATATCTAAGTAATTAAAAATAATTATATCAAACTAGACTAGAGGGGTCTGATGGCGTAGGTGTGCAGGCGCGTTTGACCTGCGATCATGGAAGTTAAGCAATTTTTACATTGGCCTCTTGAATTGGCGACCAAAAATTTCCGTGCTTTGGAAAGCACGTTATTTCATTGGTCCCGGTTGCATCTACAGTCGTTAGCACCCACAAATCCACACGTGGTGTCCTGGGTCATGGCAATTTATCCCTGTGCAATCCATAGAGGAGGCATGTGCCTCAGCAGTGGGAACATTAATAGACTGGTGATGATATCAAAGCACGGCGTTATTTACTCTGACTGAGCCCTAACTTTTATATGGTTAATTTGATTACTAAACTGGTCAATTGAAACTTTTAGAAAGTTAACATCGAATTCGATAATTGGTGTGACTCCGACAACCCAAAAACAATATTGCCAAATGATGTCATCAAAGCAGCAGCGGCCATTACACATGAAATACCCAAAACCCCCCTTACGGTTCGTAAATATTAAAATTTTCTAGAGCAATTTTTTACTTGCTAATATAAAATGCCTTGCATCTGTTACCATGTATAATATAAGATTCAACATTAAACTATCAGACAGCCATACCTTAAAACTTTTTCTGAACTTATAAAAACAGTGGAAGTATCATACCATACGAAGAAAGTCGCTCCAGGAATTTATAGAAAACCTAAGTAATTAGGATCGGATATCTCAGAGGATGTACGTAATAAAACCTTCTGAGGGTCATTACTAGGTCAGCAAATCAACTTAAAATCAGCAGTTTAATGATCTTATAAGCTTTTTAATTAATATACTTTTCAAATTATCGAAATCGGTTCAATCGTTGCGATTTTAGAACTAATTTTATGGTAGCCAATATTCACCGGCGGCTGAAACGTGTGACGTCACAGAGCTCGATCGTGGTTCACTCCCCAGTCGAACTTCAGTATCGTCTCTACCCACGCTCGCGCCCGAGCGCTGGAGCTCTATGACGTCACAACCACCAAGCGGCAACCGAAAATTCGTTTAGTAATTTGATCATAACTTCGTCAATATTTTGTCGTAAAACAAAATTTTACTACTGTATTTTATGGAATCTTTAGCTCTATAAATCTGCATTCTCAACTAAAATAGTTACGGATCCACATTTTCAATAAAGTGAATAATAATAATAATATTTTCAATAATACCCAAGATTCGTGATATACATTTTAGTAGTTTTATGATATAATCGTCACGTACCTACAAGAAATTTATGTTATTCTGATTAACCTCTGATTTCGTTTACAGAAATCTCGATATACAACAAAATTAAATATGGATTTATATTATAAACTAGAAATATTTCATCGAACGGGAAGGTATTAAGAATATAACTCTTTATACTTATATGTTGAGGAATTTATTAATGCAGTAGAGTAATTAAATAAGATACGTACCTTTCAAGAAATCATAAATTACTTACCATAACGAAGTTGATAATTTTCATATTTTCTAATTTTTTTATGATAAACTTGAAATCTCTATGATAGTTTCAGCGAGCGTGGTGCTCTTTACTCTCTCAAAATGTTGGGTGTCGAGCAACGAAAAATTGGTGTAATAACAGCGTCCCTAGGTAACTGGGCAATGGTGTGTTTTACGCATTTAAATTCTTATTATTTGAAAAAAAAGAACAAATTCAACATTAATTTTAGTATATTATTTTAAACTTTCATGGTCACTAACCTTATAGTCATTAATGTTATTCACGGGATTGCTACCATTTTTTACCTTTTTTTAGAGTAACTCTATAATCATGACACTTGCAACAGTACCGAAATATCTGGAACTCACTAAAAACAAGGTATATGACAGCAATCCCGTAAAAAGATACAATTATATTTATAAAATTACTTTAATTTTTTCTGGTATAATTTCTAAATTTTCCACAGGCACTAGCATATTATGGATGCAAATTAAACATACCAGTAACTGTAGTCCTTCCCGTATATACACTAGTGAGTGTTGTAGAAAAATGCAAGTACTTTAAAGCAAAGGTGATTTTAAACGGAAAGAATTTAGCGGAATCTAAACGTCACGCATTTACAATACTGGCGGACAGTGGCAAAACCTATATAAATGGGTAATGAAATAGAATCACAAAAACCTTGATGCTTAACTAAACTTTAAATTTTATATTCGTTTTTTTTTAGCTATGATCACCCTCATGTTATCGCAGGAGCTGGAACGATTGGTATCGAAATATTAGAGCAATTGCCTCAAATTGATGCGATACTCGTACCTGTCGGTGGAGGTGGTTTAATCGCTGGGATTGCTGCCATAGTGAAACACATAAAACCAGAAGTCCTCATTTATGTACGCTTTTACTATAAAAAATTAACAACTAACAATACATAACTAACATACACAAAAACATCAATTGTACTTCTAAGACTTTTTTGCACAGGGCATCGAACCCGTTAAGTGCTGTTCTTTCTTTAAAGCAATGGAAAATAAGTGGCCCTACGAAACTGCTGTTTCCAGAAGTCTGGCCGAATCGTTAGCAGTCCCCACGGCGGGTTACAATGCATACAACACCGCACAATCTATGATTGATAAAATGGCAAGTAAACATGCTTTTACTTTTAAAATTACGTTTCTCGTAATTTCTCAAAATTACTATCAGATTGTATCCAATAAAGTAAGTGTAGTCACCAACTGGGGAAGAAGACCTATTATTATAAATGATTATTTAAGTTTGCTTGTCTTGTCACGTTGTACGATTTTTCGTATAGAGATAGCTGGGACCTTGAAGACGGTTAAAGGCTTCTTTTTCTCACAAAATAATAACATATTATTTGAAGGGAGTTTGAATGATGATAGCTTGAATGGGGAACCCAAAACCAATTACTCCACGCATTCGAAGTCGAAGGCAGACACTTGATTTATTTTTTATTTCACTTCAGAGTTAATTCCAGCTTCTTTGTGACAACTCAGAACTGCGGTCGATGAGAATGGCATGTACTATACTTTTTATTACGTATGATGATTACGCTGCAAAACAATCTGAATGATCCACCTGGATAGCGGAAGATGCAGGTTCGAATCCCACCTGAAACCAGGACCGAGTGGAGTTTCTTCTATTAAAATTTTCTTAAAATTTAAACATGCAGCAGTTTACTACCCAAAATAAAAATATAATAATCTGAATGGATTGAATGTGTATGTGAACTTTTGAATCCTAGGTACTTGTGGACGATGATTGGATAACGCGCGCCGTACTACACTTGGTGGAAAGTGAAAAAATAGTAGTTGAGGGTGCTGGAGCGGTCAGCATGAGCGCTCTTTTAGCTGTTCCCGAAATAATACCAGAATTGCGAGAGAAAACGTAAGCTTTTCTTGTAGACCTTAAATATATAACTGATTACTATAATACATTTAAGTGAAATTATTAAATATGCAAGACAGTACACAGTCCTACTAACTAATTTAAAATACAACATTATACTTTCAAAAAATGATCAGCTTTTTTAAACTACATTGTGTTTTCTTCCAAATTGGATGTTCATCGGCTGAGGTGGCAAGTCAGCCACAAAATTTCTCGATCATGCTCCAGTTACGGTCCTGTGAAAAAGTGGATGGTCGCTTAGATTTAGACCAATAGACCTAATGTCCATGCTTGACAAACAAATATGGCCGCTGAATATCGGAAACTGCTAATAGGTATTACTTATCATAATTCTCTTTATAGTGTGGTGTGCTTAATCACTGGAGGAAACATCGATGCCGTCACTCTACCGAAATGTTTAGATCGTGCAAAAGCTGTTGAAGGTCGGCTGATAAAACTAACGGTAAATAGCAAAACTAACCCAACTCGTAATTAGAGGACTTAACTAACTATGTTAACCAATCTTATTTCATTGAGTTTATGGACCACAGTAAATCAGTGCATTCATGCAACCTTTGAATACCTTTTCTTTTAATTTCCGGAAAATTAGTTACGCACTCCGGGAGAAGCGCGACGGAGGTATCTGTAGACCAGACAATACCCCAGCACCTTTCACCCGACACACATCCGAGGTCCCTGACATGTGTGACAGTAGGGCGGGCATTGCATGGTGACATTGGTAACCCATGAGGGACTGTCCACGCGTCCGTTGCCGGACCCACCCCGATGTCCGGTTCCCTACCGATGCAATGCAGACTGGCGCTGTCATACCAGTCCACTGGCTTCCGGAAAACTTTAACTACTACTTTCTCCAAAACAATGTGACTGTTCCTGCTACCTTTTACGCACTCTCCTATTTCCCAGCACAGAAGGGTGGGCAGGAACAAATGGATCTCCACCTACTAAACGAAATTATTTTTTATGTGAGTTTAAATTATTTTCATTTCAGGTAGCATTACCGGTAGACGGCATGAAAGAACAGGTGCAAATTTTGAGAATAATCGCCAATGTAGGGTGTAACATTGTACGAAGCTACTATGAAAGGGGTTGGACAACAGGCAATGAATTCTTTAAGATTTACGTAAGCATTCGTATAGTTTTATTTCGTTATTTTAATATGATAAACCAAATTACATAAATAAATTGATAAGAGCTTAACTATTTCAGCTCACGCTACTAATCGAAACAACGGGCTTGGAGAAATCTTGTACTCTAAAAAGAGTGATGGAACGATTGTTCCCCGATAAATGTAAATTCTTAGAAGAACCCTTCAGCCCTATCCCGATGTGTGCTTGTTTCCCCAAAAGATTCTGCTGAAAATTATTTTAATTTATTATAAAAACATGCAGCGTATCTACTGACTTTATTTCATAACTAATCAAACCAATAACCTTATATTAAAACTATTCTTCTTAATAGAACTTATTACCAAATAATTACCTTTTTATAAAACGGTTTCAGTCGATATGTAATTCTACCTCGTGAATAAAAATACGTAAATGTTTATTTTTGCTTTTTATTTGCCATCCAAGCTATTTTGATGTTTAAAGTTTTTTTATGTTGTAAAAGAATATAGCCTTGATGGTAAGCGGTCAACATAACATAGAGACGCTTACGATACAAAATTAGTAGTCGTGTCGTTGCCTACCCCGTAACTCAATCCTTTACCCCCATGAATTTCTGGAATCTTATTCACCGACAGAAACACAACACCACAAAAAGGTAGTGTTATTTTACTGTGATCTTCTGTGAGGTGGACCGACCAAAAATCCGCTCCATATCTCCGCCCTACATGTCGATCTCTAGATGCAGCTGCTTTGTAGTAATATTCAATTTTTTCTCTTAAACCTAAGATTTCCCAATTACCTACTTCTTGGAAAATACTTGTTTGGGTATGTTTAACTAATATAAATGACTAAAATATCTTTGCTGATATTCCCCACTCTCCGGACTTCGTGATATCTTCTTCATTATAGAGCAACACGGACGCAATTGTTTTTAATGTGGTATAAAGGTGGTCTAGAATCCGGAAAATATTGCTTTTAGCGAAAAGTTTGCCGTTAGGTATAATATAACTTTTACCTTGATTAATGGGGCATTGTCCATGGGCATTGTCATTACCATAGAGAAAGTACCTAACCATCGACGTTTGTCATTACAAAAATTAAAATTATAAACATCACAGAAGGTTTTGAACATGTTTTGAACCGATATATAAAATAAATCATTTAAATGGTCATCAAATACCTAACCATGAAGTATCTGTAAAGAAACATGTAGAAATATTCATTGCTTCTCAATAATTTAAGAAATCAAGAAACCTATGTTGCATATCTCCTGTTAAACCTCGAGAAAACAACAATTCCGATTCAAAATTCCGAGAAAAAATTAAAACAATCCCGAGAATCAAACACAATGGCCCGTCGTAACGTAAGTCTCTTTTTTTTATAAAATCCACGATAGTATGAATAAATAGATAAGTATGTGTTTTATAGTCTACACGGCCCATTTGTATTTGATTGGTCTAAGTGCTTGTTCGATTACCTACATCCCTTTTTCGTCGATAGAACATCGCCATTAGCAGTATCTGATACTTAAGAGCCCTTTTACAAAATTGCCGCTGCCGTACTGATCGGCGCGTAGGTAGATTTGCACTAGTAATATTGCATTTTACGGGTGATGTTTCGAGTCTTATAAAATAATTATTAATGTACTAATTATAAGAATATATACATATTTCAGTAGTTCAATGATGGTACATTAGTTTTATGAAAGTTTTTAAAAGTAATTCTATTTAATTCAATATCAAAATACGAGGTAAACCTGCATTATTTTTTTTGATAACTAACGGAGGTTAGATGTCTTTTTTGAAAATTAATGAGATAGAAAATCGAAATTCTAATACATTATGTTACAACAAAAACATATTTCTGATGTCGTACTAATTAATTTGATCTACTTTAATGAACATTATTGAGAGATTCAGGCGTTTGAAGTTGTGCATATTATCGTTTTTTCGGTAAACTAGCTGCGGTAGAACGATCAGTACAAAAAAAGGAAAAATAGTATTTGTAAATATTCTACATTAACTTACAATAAGAAGAATAAATCATACTGTTTACTTGTCAAAATCTTTTCTAAGAGGGTAAACGAGGCGCTGAAAAATTACGTTTTTTTGCAAAAAATGTGAAAGGGCTCTTAATAAAACCCTATTAGCTATCTCTGTGCTGGCATATTAGAATAGAAGTAAGGGCTAACCTGCCGATCTATGCCAGATCAGCTATCTTTTCCTAAGAAACTTCTTCCTTATATTACTATGCTATTTCCCATTCGTTTTAAAAATATCAAGGTAAGTACATATAGTTTTTTTCTTTGGAGCGACTGGAGAATAAGGGACAACACACAGATAATAACGTTTTTCCTTAGGAAGATTTTGATGAATTTTGTGATCCAGAAAATCCTAAAACTATTAATCAATCGGATATCCAAGATGCAGCAAATCGGTTGAAACCATACATTTTGAAGACACCATGCGTCGTAAGTTTGACTGTTCACCAAACCATGAATTTAACATTACCCATCGGATTTAGAATATTCTATCAACAATTGGATTATAATAAAGTTCTAGGCAATTCCTGAAACTTTTTTTATAAAAGGTCCGATTAATTACTTCCCCCACCTGATGTTAAATGAAAGTGGAGTTACCTAATAACTAAACATTATAAATATCTACGATTAAAAGAAAATATTACCACAAAAAAAACCACGCCCACCAGGCAGCAGACGGAACTCGAACCTGCACCCTTCGCTATCCGGGCGAATGCACTGACCATCATGCTGCCGCGGCAGTGTATTCATTCGCCCGGATAGCGAAGGGTGCAGGTTCGAGTCCCTTCTGCTGCCTGGCCGGCGTGGAATTGTTTCTAGTAATATTTCCTTTACATTTAAACATCGAGCAGTTACATGCTTAAAAATAAAAAAATATGTCTACGATTTATCAAATCAGTTAAAATTTTATAATAATGTCATATAAGTAGCCACAAGTATGCGCTTCGGTGTAAAATTAAAATAATAGATTCTAAATCAATAAGACTGAAGTCAAAGGAGAAAATCCTGTTAAGTAAGTCGATTCGCGAATACGCACAAGAAGAGTTCCGTTCCGTACCATCGTATAAAAATTGCATACAGCAATTGTTAAAAGTTGTGCAGAAACGTCGATTTGTTTGGGGGCTCCATTTACTTCTTTACTTTTTGCTATAGAATAGATACACAAAAATACACATTCTGTGAAAATTTCAAATGTCTATAGCGTACATGAGATACTTACCTTCATCTCGCTGGCAGATTGGAAACGGTCAGACAGCGCAGGCTTATTAATACGTTTCCGTTGTCACCTTTTTAGTACGGAACACTCAAATTTAATATGTCTGTAATTTGTAACTAAATTCGTCTAAATTTTTATATTAATTTACCATTTTAACAAAGAGTTCACATTATTAGTAACCCTAAAGTGTTACAAAACATAACCCTTCCCGATACATCTTTTAGTTAAATTACAGCCATCACATTATCAACGGGATTTCGTTATGAATTTATATTACAAGTTAGAAACGGTCCAGACAACCGGCAGGTAAAAAAACCAAGCATTTGAACGATTTTCAATCGAATATTTTATTAAATTTCACTTAAGAAAAGTAATGTTTTCAGCTTCAAAGACAGAGGAGCTTTAAATGCTTTGCAACTCCTTCCCTTGGATAAAAAGAAACTTGGAGTAGTTGTAGCTTCCTTAGGTAATGAAGCTGCCGCTATTTGCTACCATGCTGCTAAAATGAACGTCCCAGTCATTGTGGTGATGCCCCATGCAGTGCCCTTAGCGAAGATGCAGAAATGCAGTAGCCTCGGTGCGAAAGTAGTGGTACAAGGAACCAATCTAATGGAGTCACAGATATACGCGCGAGCGATTGCGCGAGATAAAGGTCTCACCTTTATTAATGGGTTAGTTGTGCTATTAGAATTCCAGTTAAATAGTATTAAGAAATTATAAAATTATCTATTATATGGTTTCAATTTATGTGGATAAACTTATCTGCCGAATCGCCAAATCGAAATTAAATTATCTCCGCCACATAAATAAATAATATGAACAAGAAATTAACAAAACTTCATTTTGTCTGTATATAATAAAAACAATAAATAATACAACACGATATCCTGCAAATAAATTTTATTCAGAAATACAAAGAACTCGGCTATGCATCGATTTCGAAGTAGGTACTATTTTAACACGTTTAGCTGTTGGTCCTAGCTACTTAGACATTAAAATGGCTACGTCTTGTTCTGATGTTGTCGGACTGTCGTCTCGTAACGGCCCCCCTAGGGGAGACTTCAGGATTTCAATAGTACTGATATCTCCCCAAGGAGGAGACATCAGGAATTATTTTCAAATTGTATATTGAGTACTCGTATATCCAATGTTTATGATTCCAAGGGGAAAGCTTACATTAGGGGGTCTCCACTAGGAGGGGCGGGAGAGAACAGTCCGACAACATCAGAACAAGACGTAGCCATTTAATGTCTAAGCAACGAGGACCAACAGCTAAACGTGTCAAAATAGTGCTTCGATATCTATGCAGGGCTTCGTTTTGGATGACTGGCCTAGATTTTGTAATGTTTTTTTATGAAATACTTTAAATAATATAACTGTTTTACTTGTATAATAGACGTGATCACCCTCATGTGCTCTCTGGTTACGGCACCCTGGCATTAGAGATCCTGGACCAAGTGCCTAATGTGGACGCTGTGATCCTGCCCGTTGGCACGGGAGGGTTGGCCGCAGCAGTCGCGTCAGTCATCAAGAACCACAAACCAAACTGCCTTGTATATGTTAGGACAAAATACAATACACTTTTAAAATTTTGCGTTGCAATATAAAGGAGATTGCTCAGCTTCCATACATGTTTGGCCTAAAGATCAATAATCATGAAAAATTGTTTCCTAGATTCGAAATTATATATAAATTACTGTAGAAACGAATATTATTGACGGACACCCCTGAGAACTTCTATAAACCATATACACTGAAAATATTAAAATAGTAAAAAACAAATAAGTTATATAGTAAACTAGGGAAATCAAGCCAAGTACCGAAATTATGGATTAGATTCAGGTATATAGAGCATGTAGATTAACAGATAGTTGCCTGTTTTTAAAGTTAATACATAAGAGTAACTTTTAAAATCAGGTGTCATTTCCGGTTATAAGGTACTCTGTGACAGAAACTGTGCGATGATTGTGAATGAGCCACAGATTAGAGAGAATTTTTAAACTCTCGTTAACCAAAGAAAGCTAAGAGATTTAGGTTCTATAGCCATATATTCAGTAGCTTCATTATTTTTGTTATGTTTTTAATATTTTAGATTTTGTAGTGTATCACGCCTTATAATTTTATTTTATTTATTAATTTATAGTCAGGGAAAGTAGGCCCGTAGATAGATACCTTAAAGTCTAAGATATATACAAATTATAATGTGTTTATGGAGGTGTTTGGCAAAAAATGGCAATAGACTTTATGATGTCGCCTACCATCTTTAATAATTGTCTGAGCACATTTGCATCTAGTGAAAATGATAATATAGTTGTGGATATTAATACCAGAGAGTAATAAAAAAAAATTATCGATCTTTACAAAATAGATTTGCTTTTATGTTATATAAACAACTTCGATCAGTCTTTGGCTGAATGTTACTACACCCATAGCCATTAAAAATGATACGTATGTTTTCCAAACCGGTCAAATTAAAAGTCCTTTTTAAAGTAAATATATTATACAAAGGTGTCCGTTGAAATCTAATGACTGTAAATTAAATTATAAATTACGCCAAGAATTACCGTGTATGTCAATATTTTTTGTGTTTATTTGGGCCAATTTGAGCAATCTCCTTTAATATTTTACGGGTTACACCAGTCGTGGTCACGGGGCAACCGGGGTGATCAGGACCGGTGTAACCTGGTCAAAACGTCGGGATAAAGAAGGTACGAAAACAATTTTTTTTTTAAGTATTTTAATGTCTTAAAATTCCATAATTGTTATCTACTAAAAAATTATATAAAGTACCTACCTATTAATGGTTTGATAAAAAAAAAGATGAAGGTTATCCCAGTGTCCCTAACAATAAAATTATGAGTTTGGATTTCTCACAAGGGAGTACAACCAGAATCAGTGCCGACGTTTTTCAAGTCTTTAGAAAACAATGATCCAGTGGTGACTCTCCTCCAAACTACCATAGCAGACGCGATAGCTACTCCCAACGTCGGGGTAAACTCGTTCGAAAACGCCCACCAACTTCTCGACAAGATGGTTAGTACCAGCGCAATGAAATCTTTGTTTTTTCGTTCGGTATTTCAATGCATTATAGATATTAGAAGTAAATCGTTTCAATACGCATCTTATTTTGTGACCGTGGAGTTACAAACCTTTGAAATAACAAGAATTAAGCCTAAGCTAAATATCCAAAAGTGATAATAACCACGGCCAAATTTATGGAGTGCCAAATAACGGTATGACGGCGAAATACTAATAGATTTATGATTTGTCCGCAGTTGCTAGTAAAAGAAGACTGGATAGCTCGTGCTATACTTCACCTAATAGAAAAAGAAAGATACGTAGTCGAAGGTGCCGGTGCATGCCCTCTAGCCGCTATTATTGGTAATTTAGTTCCTGAACTCAAAATAAACAAGTAAGTAATATTTTTTAATACCTAAATTTAATAATGTAAGGACAAAATCATAAGGATGATAACTCACGCAACAAGTTACACGATCAATATTTATAGCAGTAAAATGGCCGTAGGTTCCACTTACCCTTTACTTGAAAGTTGTCAATGTGCCGAAGGTTACTTTTACTCTGGGGATGGATGCCACCCCTTCTCGGGGATGAAAAATATTTTATTAAAATTTTTAATGGGAATTGATAGACTGACTAATTCTAAGCAACGTCTGTTCTATTAAGGTTTTTAGATAGACAATACATTTCAACTTATTTAAGAGTGGAAACGTCAAATTTTTAACAAGAAAATCCACGTTTTCTGTTGGTTTTTCATGAATAACTCTGTAAATAAGAATTTTATGAAAAAAATCATTTGGAGTAAAATTGTAGCTTAATAAAAGACAAGCAAAATACTGGGTTTTATACCATATATGAAATACCAACTAACGGAGTAATAGCTTATTATAGGTTGATTCTTCTTCGTTCAACGCCAAAATCGAAAGTTTCACGTGCAATATCCAAAAAAAACAATACATTTTTCAGGGAAAACGAGAACATTTTTGAAGTATTTGTTTCTTAGATTTTCACAAACACCACTCATTCAGAATAATTCAGACAACGTATCCTAAAAAGGATGCGAAACGTCAATCAATAAATAAATCAGTGTATCTATACCGTTGTAACTTGTTTTGTATTTTTGAAGTGCTTAAAAACTTTTATTTTTGTTTTTTATGTAAATTCCTAGTATAAAATTGAAGCGAGTTATGATAAACACAAAACAGTTTCCGTTTGGTGACAACAAAATTTTAACATCACGCCCTAATTACCACCCCAATTGAAAGTGATCTTTATAATTTACTTCATTTATGCACTTATAATATGCCTTATAAGTTTGAGCGGTTTAAAGAGCATAGTTTTTTAAAAAAAAAAAGTTATGGTGTTGAAACAAATTAGTCTTTCTTCAAAAATAACTATAAATTTTTGAAAAAGATGCGCAAAATTTTAAAGAGTTAAAAATTTAGTTTTTTTTTCTTTTTTATTCATTTTGTTTTCGCTTTATCTTTCTGTTTAAAAAAAATCGTAAGATATGGCCGTTTCTAGTTTGCATAAATTCGTTAATAATAACGATTTCAAGCTCTTTTAGCTCAAAACTTTTGAAAAACCAGTTAAATCAGCTTATAGCTTTTAAAACAACTACAAAACGGTTTTTTTAACGTGCTAGTCAAAAATTAATAAGATTGTGATAAAAATACCCAATCACTTTTTTTACAGTTATCATTAAAAACGTATATTGAGACATACATATACGTGTGTGAATAGTTCTACGAGCCCAAAAAATAAATGTTTTTTGGATATTTCACGTTGAAATTTTAGATTTTGACGTTTAAGGAAGAAAAAACAACCTTTAACAAGCTATTACTCCGTTAGTATTGGGTTTAGTGATATTCTTAACCCAGTGTTTTGTTTGTTTATTTATAAGCTACAATTTTACTTGGTATTGGAGATAAACCATACTCTTCCTATTATTTGTTCGTATAGACCCAGTTTCTGTAATCCCACTAGGTATATATAATCCCTAGACATATTGCTACAAGATATGCACACAGCAACATAATATTTACAGGGGATATAATATAAATCTTAACTTATTTCAAGATTCAACCTCAAGTCATGTTAATAATTATCTAAACCCTAATGTCAATGCACGGTTTAAGAATGGGGATTTACAAACAAACACGCATCAATATTTATATCGACCATTTTATGGTTAAAACTACCTATAAGTAGATGGAAAACTTTGATTCTCCCTGAGCTAACCGATCATTATCCCATCTTACTTCAATTATACACAGTCAGGTCATAAGTATTGTCACACAGTAATTTTTTTTCTTTTACAATGCTGGCCACAAAAAGTTTATTGAATTCGAATTTCGAATTGTTCATGAAAATAAAAATATATACTTTTTAGAATTTTACTCATTTTTAAATATGGAGTGGACGCTTTAAGAAGCCCGTGTTGCAGTTATTGCGTTGCATCGTTGCGGTTACGCGCCAATTCAAAATTTTAACATACTGAAAATTTTGAATATAACCAAAAGATTCGATTATCGTACCATCAAACGATACAATGAAGACTCTAGCGTAGATGACAGGTCAAGAAGTGGTCGACCTCGGTCTGTTAGGACTCCAGCAGTGATAAAAGCTGTGAAGGCGCGAATTCAATCGGGCATATCGAAGTAAAACAGGACATTGTTTGAATGCTCCTCTAATGGACCTGAGACTGAAGAGATGCCGCGCTTTGTTTAAGCGGTACGCGGGAAAAAAATATCGGGAATTTCTTTTTTCGGATGAAATATTTTTACCGTAGAAGAGAGCTACAACAAACAAAATAATAAGGTGTACGCACACAGTAGTGAAGAAGTGAGCAACCGTATTCCGCGTGTCTAACGAGGTCATTTTCCATCCTCGCTCATGGTATGGTTGGGAGTTTCTTCTTATTGGGGCTTAACAGAGGTACATTTTTGTGAGAAAGGTGTAAAAACGAATGCAGTTGTGTATCAAAATACAGTCCTGTCCTGACGAACCTTGTGGAACCTGTTTCTCATACCATGTTCAATAACAGGCACTAGGTATTGCAACAAGATTCGGCGCCAGCTCATAGAGCGAAGAGCACACAAGACTGGCTTTCGGCGCGTGAAATCGACTTCATCCGGCACGAATACTGGCCCTCCTCCAGTCCAAATTTGAGTCCGTTAGATTACAAAATATGGCAACACTTGGAGGAAAAGGCGTGCTCAAAGCCTCATCCCAATTTGGAGTCACTCAAGAAATCCTTGATTAAGGCAGCCGCCGATATTGACAGGGACCTCGTTCGTGCTGCGATAGACGACTGGCCGCGCAGATTGAAGGTCTGTATTCAAAATCACGGAGGTCATTTTGAATAAACTTTATTGTCATAAGAATCTATGTTTTATTAAGTTAATTTTGGTATATAAATGGTTACATAATGAATCAACTTGTTTCAATTATCTTATATTCAACATGTGACAGAATTTATGACCTGACTAGGTATAACACACAAGACTACACAAAAAAAGATACGCCTGACATTATTAAGAAATAATCCGTTACAGTTTGGGGAACAACTTAACTTTTATTCACTAACGGACGTTTACACAATAGCTGAAACACTTATACATAGTATACAAAAAATAGTGGAAGCCGATACTATCTATAATTAAATCTATAATTAAAGCTGTTCCAAAGAAAAACTTCCACTAAAGCCCTGGTTGACAGTCTAAACAGGCTTTAGATTTTAATGCACCGTCGCAATCACTAGTGTTATTTCCAACCGATGCTTGCGAAGTATATATCATTTCATCCCTGAAATCAAACAGTACACACACACACACACACACACACGCACGCACGTACGCACGCACACACACACGCACGCACGTACGCACGCACTCACACACTCACGCAAGTTTTTCTCTATCAACAACTATGACATCGTTATCGTATCATTATTTTTTATTATTACAATTATTTCATAAATATTTAACCCATAACCCGTTCTTATCATCAGTATATGGTCTCATAAAAACATGGCTGACTCTTTGTCAGTCGCGCCGTCCCCAGATAGAGCGACTACTATGAATTTCACCTTACAATGAAACTTCGGTTGCACAGTACTTTTACAATAACAACTAAAATCTTTTTTCCCAAAGGTTGACTGGGAGACAATGCTATTAGCATTAAGTCCGCCTTTTGTACCATTGTATTGTATTTTGGTCAATAAAGTTTAAAAATAAATAAATAAATAATTAACTTCAAGGTTGATAATAAGTTGATGATGTCAAATATCGCCTCGGAGTGCGGTCCTTACCAAAACGGAAACTTGAGAGAAGTGTATCATGCATTCTAAGATAATTGTTTACATTTACATCTTTGTATTAAAAAGTAACGCTGTATTATTTTTGGGTTTAAATGGCAATGAGGGCGAGTGAAAGGTATCTCCACCAAGACAATGAACAATAGGTTGTTGTTTGTACCCACGGATTTATTAGACTAGGACATTTTCTAACAAAAAAATCGTTTTATCCATGCGATTTTGAAAAATGTCTGCAGCCCTGAAAGTTATTTCCCGAAATCCAAACATTTATTCAAATTAAGATTTTGTTTTGTGTTTAAGTGTGGTTTGTGTCCTAAGTGGAGGAAACATAGACCAAATAACTTTGGGTCGCTGCATCGACAGAGGAATGGCAGCAGAGGGACGCTTAGTGCAATTTAGAGTACGTGATTTTTTATTTAGTTACCTAGTTATTAAATACTCGCGGCCGCCCGGCAACTTTTTCGGAATAAAAAGTATTCTAAGTCTCATTCGTGCTGACACTTCACATGACTCTTCGTATTTACTTTGTGAACTTGACAACAGTTTCTCTTTGTCTGTTCTCATTGAGTATGACTAGTGGGTGCCCGCGACTTCGTCTTCGTGGAAAAATTGGTTTCCCATATTTCCCATAAAAAAGTGGCTTTGAAATAGTTTAGCGCGTCAGATTATTATACAGACGCTTATCTTGGTGCCCTTAACGTACTGACCTTATGTGAGCGAATTCGCTTAATGTGAAACGGAAATTAAAATAAATGACGTTTTTTTGCAACTTTCTGTCTCTCCCATTTCCAAATGTCATGAGCAAATTGTTAGATTCGATTTTTTTTACATAACTCATTGGCTGCCCTCTAGGGCAGCAGTACAGTTCGACCCTGTAGGGGGGGGGGGACTATAAAGGACTAAAGTATGGTGGGAGTACTTCACAAGATGCAAGGTTGCCCTTATGTTAATCTGCCGTGCTCGAGTATGTCCCAAAATCCCCGCTTTGGCTCCCCTACTACTAGTAACAGTTAAACTTAAAGATGGGGCTATGGCTAGGCTAAAATAAAATAAAAGTTTTCTAATAGTATTTTTGAATTCTAACAACAAATATTTAAAGCCATTTGAAAAAATACGTCCACTCGGTCCCCGGTTTACTTACGTTTACGTACGTACCTATAAAAGTTGTTATTAACTATTGAACTAAATATCTTCTAATTCTAATCTAATAATTCAACACAATGATCTATAGAAGGCCTATTTCTTACCGAGTATTATACGTTATTGAAAGCGGTCATAAGCCATCCCTGTAAGCAGGATATGTGATAGGTAACTTCTTTTTATCTTATCCGTGCAAAGTCGAATTAAAGTCTATTTTATAATATCAGTGAGTTGGGATTTATCTTGTTAGTTTCATAATTATTCTTTTTAATAAATAGGTTGGAATAAACAATAGCATATCAGCAAGTACTCAATTGCTGAAACTTCTTGCTAATGGAGGATACAACGTTGTGCGTCAATTCAGAGATAAATGGTGGATGGAAGACGAGAGTTACAATATCGAGGTAAATATAATGTATATTGTCGAGTATCATATTTCATACATACATAAAAGTGTAATTTTATGTATGTATGAAATATGATTCACATACCTGTTCACAACATTAAAGTAATGTAAACAATTAAAATACACTATTTGGTAAGAAAAGCCTTAGTTGCGATATCAAAGATATCACCGCATTGCCTAGCCTGAACCATCCCCTACCCCGTGGAACCCAGGAACCCGACTCACCGTCAGAAACACAAAACCACCAACGAAACTAAAAATGGGGGCAATGACGTCCCAGTCACATATGCCTCCAGTGGCAATTTTGGGGGCTTGGGAATAAAGGTGTTATTTTACTGTGGTTTTCTGCAAGGTGGAGACTACTTCCCCAGACGGGCATAAGTTTAAGCAATTCAATGTATGATAGGAACGACCATTAGAAGCCTTTCTAAACTGGGTACTATATTTTGAATCTGAAGATATAAACGGTCAACTGCATGTCAAACTTGTTTCTTCGTTATTTCTTTTACTGTAAAGGGTTCTGTACCATTGAATCATACCAAAATTCTGTCATATAAAATTGTCGAGTCTAAATATTTATAAACAGTGCCATGTTACTTTTGATTTCTTCACAAAGCGTCATTAGAGTTACTCGTTAATCCAGTTTTTCTTGTTAGGCAACCAACACTAACATAATGAAAGTAAATTAAGAAGCTATTTATTAACTAGGTAGTTTTATGTATCATATTTAGTAGTAATTATAGAAATAGTATCTGTTACTGTGGGATAGCGTAGAGGAACTTCAGAGGGCGCACTAAGGGAAAGCAAATTTTAACAATAAATGGAGGAAAACATCTCACAGGAGAAGGGCAAAGAGGAACGCCTAAATAAAACTTTTATGAAAAAGGAATTGTGCTCTCGCAACCACCCACGGGTTACAAAAGGGGGGGTAAACAACGATATTAAATATCGTTGGCGGTCCAAATCCATTTTACGACACTGATCTTTCTTCAAATTTTTGATGTGTAACGCGTTTCCTCTCGCTTTCGAGAGTGATTACGTGAAGTGGGACGGAAGTGTGTAACAGGAAGTTTGGAAAGCGCGCGCTATTTGATTTGATTTTAGAACATAATGTTCAAATGGCTTATTCCTTTTGTAGTAGGTTTTATTTCTTTTTTTTACTAATATAAGGTGAGGTTTCAAATGTTACACATCATACGCGACTACTGTAAGGCTCGCTCGTTTTTTTAATTGATCAGTAAGATTAGTCCTACCTATTCCGAATAATAGCACAATAAAGCGAAAGTGCTTTTTTCCATGTGCTGTCTCCATCCTGTTCATTATGTACCCATTGTATTGTACATAGGTAATAGGTATTGATTGTTATGGTAGTCGGTAAGCGATGTATTGACGCATTCCCAATAGTTATGAATGCCACAAAGTAGGACACTCCAAGACGAAGTTCACGTCATGATACATCGAATTATGGTTTTAAGATTACGCCCCCAAGACTGAGTGTGTGGTTAAGCGGCAGTTTCAGATAACCCCGTCACCTTACATTTCTCCTATTTGATACCTATGCTTGCTTAAGTACTTAAACCACAGAATACATAATAGATAAACCATAAAATGTCAGTAGACATGATGTAGACACGTTAAATATCAGTCTACAAAATTTTTCAGGTAAAACTCGTGTGCGAAACAAAAGGAATGGAGCATGCATTAGAATTGAAAAGGATAATTGAACGCGCATACCCTGGCACCTCAGTATTCGAGACAGAACCGTTCAATGACAAGAGAACCTGCCCATGCTACGTTAGGAAATCTATTCTATAGCATTTTCTGAAATAATACCTTCTTGCATAGCGAAATATCTTTTAATGTAACAATCAAACAGGTTTTGACAGTGGTAGCCGCAGACTTAACTTTCAGATGTATCCCATTCTTAATTGTTACATTCTGTGGTCAATGGATGAGTCAATGTGAAAAAAAAACTATAGGTCGAGTAAACTCAAATCAGTTTTCTGGGTGTCGCCATGGTTCACAAGTCCCATGCAAAAATAATGTTTTATTTTATCTTTTGTTAATGTTTAAAGGGTGGCAATCAAGCATATGGCCTGACTGATGCTAAGCGGCCGCTATAGCCTATTGTAGCTTGCGATCTCAGATTACAGAACTTAAGGCAGATGGAACGCAAGGTACCTACAGAGATTGCCTACCACTAAAACAAATATCAAGTCAAAAGCTAATATCAACTCGCTTCAGTTCACTACAACGCATCGTGTTGTGAATACGTTCCGTAAATGTGTTAATTTTTATCAAAACTGTGCCGCCTTGTTCAAACATGTAAAAACTGTTCACGAAGACAAAAAAATCGCTTTACTTTTGACTTGATCAGACCCGTCTTTCCCAGTGGGCACTTTGGGCAAGTGCCCAGGGCCCCGCGATCGATAGGGGGCACCCCTTAGATCAAATACAAAGTCCCTAGTTCCTGTTAAATCACCAAACGGAAGTAGGGGCGCCATTATCCTAATATGCCCAGGGCCTCCAATATAATAGGTCAAAGACGGCACTGGACTTGATATTTACTTTAGTAGTAGCCTTTCGCTCGCTAATCAGAGCTTGTGATACTAAAGCTATCACTCGCGCCGTTGCCCTTACAAAATCCCCTACCCCATGGAGTCCTGAAACTTTACTCACCGACAGATACACCCAAGTGCTATTTTACTGTGGTCTTCTGTGAGGTGGAGATTACTTCCCCAGACAGCAATTTATTTTTCACTATCCAATCCACACAGATCTACGACTACATAGAAAATTAGATTTTCTGTTTGTTGAGGAATTAAACTCGAGACCTGTGAAACATGACAACACCACGAAAACCATTGTAAGTAAGCCCATTCGAGATGCTATGGGACAAGTTACTACTGGGGTGGGGTATGTGAATGGGGCCAAAGGATAAAAAAGCAATTACTGATGGGAACCAACATAAATCCTTCTATGTATTGTACATCATTAATAGAAATTATTTACCTTGTATCAGTCCTATCAAACCCTGACTAAAAATATTGAATTTTTCTTCAAAAAATTATTCAACAGAAAAATGTGTTCATTGCACAAGTGAACACCATTGGCTGTGTAAAGAGTAGTTATATAGTGTAATTTTTCTCTAGTATAATGGATTAGTGCTTTGGTATTTGATAAACTATTTTAAATAATAGTTACCCAGGGCCGTGCAGTAAAATAAATCTAAACCATTAAGTAACACAAAATTTATTATAGATATTTAAGAGAAAATAACAAAATAATGGTATCATTTAAAATATGTAGGTAAGTAGTATTTAGAACAGGGAAATATGAATATATAAATATGCTTGTTGTCACAACACAGTCTTATACACCTACTAAGTGGTATAACTTAGCTGAAATTTTTGTCCATAAACATAGCCATCTTAATATCCCGTTTACTGAGACCGTTGACATCGTGAGATGATAATGTAACCTGCAAAACAACGATGATATTATATTGCTTACACTGTATACTTAAAAAGCACTTTAGGCATTACACTAGACAGGAAACTATTATACCTGTAGCTTATTGTAAACATTGAACCATTCTGGATGGTGGTCCATTTTTTCAGCCAGAAGTGCTATTCTGGTCATGAAACCAAAAGCTTCATTGAAATTCTTAAATTGGTATTCCTTTTCAATTGCATCACGATTGCTTTGTAATTTCCATCCTGCCTGTAGAAGTGATTGAAGCTGTGTATCACGCTCTTCTTGTGTTAATTTATCTCCCTGTTTAAAATAAACATTGTAAAAATACCCATAAACATGCATATTATAATTAAAAAACACAGTATTTAAATTATCTATTCAATTTCAACATATTAAAAGACTGAAACACTCTGATTTTAACTATTATCACCAATTTATATCACAAATTTTGTATAATATAAAGAAAATTTTGTATATTATAATATAAAGAAGAAATAAATCTAAAGAAAAAAGATACATAATATAATGACTTGACAATATTTTTGTTAATGTAAGCAGGTTTTACAGAATTACTTACCATTTTCCTCTTAGTGTTAGTGAGCGACGCAGACGAAGAACTCGCGAATCTGACGAATGGGACGGCATTGATTGGCGTCCGCGCTCGAGAGGCAACCGTCACCGACCTCGCAGGGTGAAAGTGTAGCGCTAAAGAGCCCGCCACGTACAAACGTCCACACATTACCATGGGTAACATAAATTGCAACCGCTTATTTAATATGTTCACGTTAACAATATGTGGGTGCAGGTTGGTGTACTCTACCTGAACAGGAAGATATTATCATTTAAACAAGCATCAACAAAATTGGTAAATTCAAGCTACTGACGTGCTTATTATTTTGTGTAACTTTTCCTAGATTACTTATATTTTCCAAATCATCTTCGACCCAAATAGTTAGAACTCCATCCGCTTTAAGTTTTCCAACTGATTTCGACTTCGTCGATTCTGACAGGATTATCTAAACTTAAAACTAAATATAACATCAGTCTGCCCTTTTCATTCTGTATAGAGAATGACAGGGATACACTGATGTCAAATTTAAGGTTAGCTTTAGAGAATCCTCACCAATGTACTATAGTTTAATGCGATTCAAAATAAGATTATGAAAGCCTCCATCTGTCAAATGTCGCTTGAAAAGTACGGTTTGCAAAAAAACCTTGAAACCCTTTTTTTAGCACTCCGCTAAATCAAAAATAAAAACCAAACATTTGTAACAATAACAAATATTTATAATTAATATCGGTTGATATTTTTTTTTTCACTTATTGAGCTTCGGTCGTTAATGGTTGATAACCTATCGTCAACCAAATGTCACTTTGTTGCATTCAGAAATTCGATTTCAAACTTTCATTTACTTAAAGGATGCATGTTTGTATGTGACCTAGTAATAGTGCATGATTATTCATAACTACTCCGGCGGTAATGCAGAGATGAGCGGAATAGAAGAGCTAGATTCTGATTAATGTTTTTCTAACAGTCCTTATAAATAAATATTATTAAAAATCGGTGGTTTTTTTTTCTCAATCTTAGTAAATCAATGTTATTAAAAAAATCTGATGCTTTTTCTCACTTAATCTTAGTAAATAAGTTTTATTAAATAACTTTTTTTTGCTCACTCTACCTATTTGGTTGGAATTGACAGCTATAACATCACAATAAGGCGCCCAGGGGGCCAATCGCCTAACTGGATTGCTTTGGAAAACGCTATCGCTTACGATTTCATTTTGTTATTTCTAACCGCCGAAATACCTCACGCTCATTTTCTTTAACATTGTTATTACCAATGCAAAAGAAAAAAAAAGAGCGCGAGGCATTTGAAAACCTCAGGGGGCTAGAAATAACAAAATGAAATCGTAAGCGATAGCGTTTTCCAAAGCAATTCAGTTAGGCGATTGGCCCCCTGTCTCGGTCCTATTCTTAGTTGAATCGCATTTTAAGGGAACCTATATTAATCTTGGCCCTCTTAAGCCACAGACACAGCGAATACTCGATGCGATTGCATTCTCTGCGAATAGAGGCGCTACTCGCTGCGAATGCCTATTCGCCGCGAATAGCTAGTGTTGCCATATATATATACAGATTATCTGTATCTACAGGGTGTTACAAAAATACAAATAAAGCTTGAAGGACGTTGAAGTATATCACATAGGGAGTCTTCTCTAATTTTCTTAAAATATTTGCATGAAGTTTTAACTTTTTATAAAAACAGGTATTTCTAATGATGTGATGTGTTGTGATGTGAAAAACGTGTATATTGGGGGGAAGGCGAAATGCACAGACTTACAATATAGGAGCAGACGATACTTAATAGATTTGTTCGGTACCAAAATAGGTACTAACCTATATTTAAATTTAATTTTAAAAGTGGTGGCTTTCCCCATCCTTTTGCCAAAAAATAAATACTTAGGCATGCTCTAATAAAAAATATGATTCCTAAAGTTTTCCCCGCAGATTCAATTTCTCCAAGTTTATATTTTTCCTCAAAATAAGGCAAGAGAGGCAGTGTAGTCAAGTATTCATTCTTTAATATTGATTTATAATTTTTCATACAGTAAAATAACAAACTTATGATAAGTTTCCATATTGCAAAGATGATGAAGAACAACAAAGAATTACTGAAATAAGTAAAAATCACTGAATAATAAATATTTATTGCTTATTTGAATAAACCGATAATTACCGATTCAATCTTTTACATAATCTGTGAATTATGCTCGTTTACAGCTGACAACTGTGTTCATAATTTAGTTAGTTCGCAATTTCAGAATATCAATTCTCTAAACCTAAAATAAAATTAGCTCTCTAATTTTAAGTTTAGGTTTAGAGAATGTAACGCCAGAATCGATCCCATTGTGTCTGCCTGCGAGCGACTCGGTTTCCGGTGTAATGTTGAGCTGAACAATAAATGTTCAAGTTGAATTGAGAAGCAGTGTTGAAGAAATAATACTTTTAATAATAATGTAACATAATACAAGCGAAAAGAAAACCTGTCTAAACAAAACCATAGTAACCAAGTGTCTTAAAAAACTATTAACAATGACATCACATCTACATTCTTTATAAACCAAAGAGTACCAAAGAGTTTTGCTCTAACACCTTCTCTAGATGTGCATGCCTAAATTACCTAATAGCTTTCGAAGCCTCGGTCTAGCCAACAGCTTTGTAAAGAGGTCTGCAAGTTGCAGTTCAGTACAAACTCTATTTACAGTTAGTTCACCGTTAGTCACCAATTCCCGCACAAAGAAGTGTCTAATACGTATGTGCTTGGTTCTACGATGGAACTATGGATTTTCCGCTAGGCGGACGACTGCTTCGTTATCGACGAATAGCACAGGCAGATCCTTTAGTTTGATCATGCTGTTAATAAGACGAGAAAGCCAGAAGCTTTCCCCTGCTGCCTCGCTAACTGCAACTATCTCAGTCTCTGTGGTTGAGATGGCAACACTACTGTCTCTGGCTCAACCACGATAGGGTACGGCCAGAGTGCACTCAGATTCAGATTCAGACTCAGAAAACAAGCGCGAGAAATAAAAATGTAAGTAGTTAAAGCAGGGTGGCCATAGTGGCAGCAGGCAACATGCTTAAACTACACTGTATATTTCTCGCGCTTGTTTTCTGAGTCTGAATCTGAATCTGAGTGCACTCTGGCCGTACCGATACAGCACCACCTGCATACAGGCAAAGAACACCAGAGGTGGACCTTCCTGTACGAATATCACCTCCGAGATCAGCATCACTGTAGCACTCTAATATGCCTCTTTTATAGACAATTCCAATATCGGGAGCATACTTGAGGTATCTTAGAATGCGCTTCAGTGTTATGCAATCTGAATGAGTTGGGTTCTCTAGACTCCTAGACACTATGCTTACAGCATATGCTATGTCCGGTCTTGTGCCAACCATTAAATATGCAAGTGCACCAACAACTTAACAAGCCCTTGCTGAGTTTCTTGCCGGTTCTTCTCAGTACAAGGTCTCCCGCCACAGATTTGCGAACCGACGGCGTAGCTTTTCGACATTCACAAGTGCTTGTAACAGCCTAGACTGAATAAACGATATTGTTTTATTTATTTTTTTTAACTTGCCTATAATTAGTGAGGAAGTATTCATCAACCTTCTCTGGCTTTTGTGATGTATCTTCTTTCACTATAGGTGTCGCCACCGGTCTGCACGTTTGCATCCCAAATCGCTTTAAAATTTTGTGAACGTAAGAAGTCTGATGTATTCGTAGTTAACCGCCTTCTGGCGTTTCTATCTCGATGCCTAGAAAATAGGAAAGGGGCTTTGTGGTTATTTTAAACCTCTCTACTAATTTTTGAAGGAACTCTTCAATAACACCTTGACTTGTTCCGGCGACAAATCCGTCATCGACATCTTTGAAACAGGCATGGATCAGCCTCACTTATTTGAAATCCTATTTCTAAGAAAAAATCTAGAATCGTTCGGTTCCAACAACGGGGTGTCTGCTTTAACCCATACAAGCTTTCTTTAACAGACAGACACGACCTGATCTGTCATCGTAACCTTCGGGCTGTTTCATATAAATCTCCACATCAGAGAGTGATCCATATAAAAATGCTGTAGACACGTCAAACTGACACAGCTTCATGCCTTCATTGGCAGCTACAGCCAATAACGTTCTAACTGTGGCTAATTTAGCAACAGGGCTGAAAGTTTGATCGTAGTCTTCTCCCTTCTTTTGTCGAAATGCTTTCACTACTAGTCGGGCTTTATATTTTTCAACTGATCCGTCCGGGTTCAGCTTGACTTTATAAACCCACTTATAGATATAGATAGCTTTCCTGTGTTTCGGTAAACTTTTAAGGACCCAAGTTCCGAATCAATTTCACTTTGTATGGCCTTATTCCATAATTCCCTATCAGAACAGCCTATTGCTTCCTTTTAAGTCTCAGGTTCTGTGTAATCATTATTACTTGAGCTTACAAAAGATACATAATCATTGAATTTTACCGGTGGCCGGAGCTGAGTGCGATCCCTGAGTTGCATGCCATGACTGCTTGCCAACTCTTCTATAACCTCAGTCTCATTCTCCCCCTCTAATAGATTCATTGTGTTCTGACATATCTGGCCGTGTATCATGAAATTCAGGTTCATCACTACTAATGACAGGAGACACAGCAACACCTTGGTTGTCAAATGGACCGCAATTGTCATTTTCAATCACAGGTGTATCGTCCCTCATTTCTGTAATGATTGTTGTAAGAGCCGGTTCACATTCCTTGCGGAATCGTAAAGGAATTTCCATTACACCGATCTCGTTTGAATCATTTGAATCAATGATTTCTAGCCTAGACTCTAAGAGGTTTCTCGTCAAAAGTGACATCTCTAGTGCCATATTCTATACCCGTATCATGATCGTAGCCGATTAGTATGCATTTTTGTGCCTTCTTCTGCATTTTCTTTCTTTTCTGTTTCGGAATATGCACGTAGCACGTTGAGCCTATAATTCTCAAGTGTTTGATCTGAGGTTTCTTGCCAAACCACAGTTCAAATGGAGATTTATGTTCTACCATTGTAGGGCCAGTTCTGTTTAATATGTAAACAGCTGTTAGTGTTAGCTCTGCCTATAACACTTGCGGAAGCTCTTCGTGTGCATACATCATAGCTCTATCCATTTCGACTATTGTACGGTTATCCCTTTCGCTACAACCGTTTTGTTCCGGGGTATAAGGCATCACGAGTCGTTGGTGTATCCCATACTTCTCCAGTTCCTTTCGAACCTCTTTATTATCGAATTCTCCGCCATTATCGCTGAGAAGTTCCTTAATCGTGTGACCTGCTACTTTTGCCTCTGCTAGTATTAAACGCAAAATCTCTGGTACTTCCGATTTATGCTTCATTATATATACATAACGAAAACGACTACATTCATCTTTAAAGAGAACGAAATACCGAGACTTAGAGCAACTTGGAGGGAACGGCCCACAAACATCCGTGTAAATTCGTTCACCTGGACTTGTAGCCTTTTCCCTAAAACCATACTTACGTCTATGTGACTTGCCAAAGATACAACCTTCACATAAATTACCACCATCCTTGGTTTTAATACCGAGTTCTTGCTCTAATATTTTCTTGACGTGGCGTTTCTGTTGATTCCTTCGTTTGCTTGAATAGGACTACAATTCAACTTGTACAAACCACCGTGCCTTCGCCTGGTTCTAGTTACCCACAGTTTTCCTTCTATTCTCAATGAACATGTGGTAACTCTTGATTTAAACATACTCTTTGAATTAACATCATGTGCCGCCAGCACCGAAAAAAGATTCTTCGTAATCTTCGGAACGTACCACACGTCTTTCATTACGAACTTTTCCTTTTTCGTCTTCATTTGAATCGAACCTTTGCCTACAGCCTCTATTATCTTCCCATCTGCTGTTGTCACTGTATGCGGTTCCGTAAAGCGTGTAAATTCCTGGAACAGGTCGCTTCTCATCGTGACATGGTGTGTGGCTCCGTTGTCCACGTACCATTCGTTACGATCTACTTTGCTTTCTGTCGCATTGACTAGTATAACCGTCATGTTAGTACTAGCGCCAGGTTTTCCGTGCACCTTTTCAGGACAGTCCTTCTTGAAATGTCCAGTCTCACAAATGTCAGATGTGACATTTAAAGGCCTTGATTCTTTTCTTGGTAGTTTTCTTTTGCTTCAATGATAGTACTTCACCGCTAGATCTTGATACACAACCTTCTTCCTTGGATGTCGTCATCAACGCTCTTTCATGAGCACATAGCTGGCCTGTCAGGTTATCCATAGTCCTGTCTTTCTTTGACATCATCAGCCAACTCGATCGAAATTCTTGTGACAGTGTATCTAAAATCTTGCAGTTCAAAAGTAATTCCGGCAATTCCTTTCCTTCATTATCTTTTATCAGCTCCTGATTTAGTTTGTGCCATAAGTTCTTAACTTTAGAAATATGAGTCGCCATATCATCGACAGTATCCATCTTGAGTTGAAAGAATTCCATACAAACGTCATACAATCGATCGTCATTTATAGCGTCATAAAGACGTTAGAGTTCATCCCACACATCTTTCGGATTTGTGAACCTGATTACCTTGTCAAGCATTTCATCGGTTATATTCTTAGTTATTGACAGTAAAGCAGTACTTTCCAAACTTAAATATTCTCCCAGTTCTTTTTCATAGTTTTCCATCGCCACAGCAGCAGTAGCATCTCCAGCATTGACTACAGGCTTCTCAGGCTTACGTTTATTTCCAAGCACTATATCCATTAGGCCATCCATACCTCGCAATAAAGCAGAAATACGGTACTTCCATTGTGACCAGTTAGTGCCGTCGAACTTAGATATTTGTATTTTGGAAAGTTCCATCTTTAATATATTATTCCTTCACAAAGACGCTGGGAACATCACCTGTTTATGTTGAATTGAGACGCAGTGTTGAAGAAATAATACTTTTAGTAATAATATAACATAAATACAACCGAAAAGAAAACCTGTCTAAACAAAGCCATAGTAACCAAGTGTCTTAAAAAATTACTGACAATGACATCACATCTACATTCTTTATAAACCAAAGAGTACCAAAGAGTTTTACTCTAACAATAAAATGTATTAAACCTGTATTGTCTGGTTTTCCTCAAGCCCTAACCATCAATTGCTCTATCCTCTCTCTCTCTCTCTCTAACCCATAATAAATAATGAAACCGATGCGTCATGTATATAAGCTTCTTCGTCACGACACGACGAATGGCGTCCAACCTCGCCTTGTGGTACCTGCGCCACGCTCACCCAGGGTTAGTTAGAGAAATAAATACCTTGTTTAGGATAGGTTTAGCAGTGTATGATCTGTCCGCAGTTACGGCCGGGTTACATGGGACTGGAGAGTGGCTTGCAACCTTTATTGTAATAATCTCACGCGTCTCCTCTGGTCCGTGTATAGAGAGAGAATCTCCTTGTTAGTAGCTTGTTCTTCCTCCAGTACTTCTTGAGGAGAACGTATAAGAGAATAATAAAACTATCCGTTAATTTGTTCCCCCTATCACAAGCTACTGCCCTGCCTTGCAAGATTCCGGGACCATCTACCTACGATACAGAAGATCAACAGAAAGGTTATTTTTCATAGTCACAACTTGCAAAATAAGTAGGAAAAGAAGCTAATACAAGATACCCGCGAGACTTTATCACCCCGAATTACAGTTCGGTTAGCGTCTCCGCGCTATTTCCGCCAATACCCTCCAGGATATAAACTTTTCTGATCTAATTCACCGACTCCGTAAAATGTAGGGCCCTCCTTATAATATACTTTGGGCAGAAAACAAAACTGAATGTGCCTCGATAAATTTCGAAAATTTTAAATGTTGTTTTGACAACTCAGCATAGAGAAAAGACCACCAACTCCCAAATATGTGTCTATGATTGTTATTCTCTCTCCAACTGAAGGCAAAGGTCACAGTCAAACAGACAGCCGCTGTATTCGAGACGAGATAACGAATAAACTCAAACCCGTATAACTATGCTCGCCGTAAGCGGAGGAAAAGAGAATACCTACCTACATCAGCGAGGAAATTCAATTTCGAGTAAAATTCAGAATCGAGTAACAAAACGCCCGATTGAGAACTCAAATCGATATGGGAAAAAATAATTCACAATTCAACAACTGTCAAACTCCATCCACTCATCCACACGCACCAACAGAGATTCACTGCCTTCTTTTCCTTTTTTTCTCAAGTCGAGTTTTTGAGTCGAATGAAAAAAAGCTACTATTCCCTCAATGCTACCAACCCAATCAATGAAGTTTGACAGCTACGCCGACGTAAGCGGTTCGCTATCATAGACAAAACAGCTGTCCTACGTGTGTCAGTTATATAAGTGTCAGTGTCACGCCCCGTTCAAAAACGGATCGTACTACGCCATTTCGCACGAATCCACAACTACCTCCAAGATCTCCGAAAAAAAAACGTGTAAGTTTTTTGTCTCGAGAGACTGCTTGGCGCCATCCCGTGCCAGCGGAGACTGCCGCGCACCCAGCCGCAGGCCTGAGCGCTCCTTAGGGCGCCGCTCGGCCAGGATTGCGTAGGCGTAGCCCCCGGTACGCAGCATGGCTAGCCAGCCAACCCCGACGCCGTCAACCTCGCAGCAAGGCCTCACTCCGATCTCGGACGAGGAGCTCGCCAGCGTCTTAGCCAAATCGATAGAGATAGCATCGCCCGGCGTCAAATATGCATTTGATGCCACGATGGTAGCTCGACTCGTCGAGTCCGGCATGCTGTCGGACAGGCTGAACCGTTGGCTGAGCTCCTACGTTCGACTGTTGGAGTTCGAGGCGGGCGAAACACCTGCCCTCTGCCCCGCCGACGAGCTGGCCCTGGAGGCGTTGCAGGCGCTCAGCGGCTCGCCGCTCATGCTTCCGCCTCCATCCACGCCGCTCCCTCGGAAGCGCCGCCTCGCCACTTCCTCGCCAAAAGCTGAGGACAAGCGCCCTTGCACAGGACACCCGCGCGACCCGCGCCTACACCGGTCGCTGAGCAGCGGTAACCTACCCAAGCAGACACCACCATCACCCATGCAGCAGCAAACACCAGCAGCGCAGCGCGACTACCCCCCAAGGCAAGTAATTGAAGCCGCGACTGTTTTACCGACGCCGTCGGTAAGCTTCGCACAGGCCGCGAAAGTTTTCGCGCCTACCCGCCACGCCGCCGAAAAATCTGCACCCCCCGCCGCATCACACACCACTACGCCGCCCGTGCAACCAGTCCCCGGCACAGCTCCCACGGCCCAACGGGTACCTAAATACCCGCCGCTAGTGGTCGAGAATCTGCCGGACTGGTCCACCCACATGTGCCACCTGCGCGACGCCCTTGGCCGCGCACCCAACGCGCGCCCGTTTGGAACGGGCATTCGCTTTACCCCAGCCGACGGCGATGAGTACCGCATCGTCCAAGCTTACCTCTCCAAGCTGGAGGGGCAGAGCGGGGTGAGTTGGTACTCATACGCCCTCCCCCAGGAACGCAGCCTAAAGGTGGCCATACGTGGGCTGCCTTTTAACACCGAGCCGCACGAGATCACCGAGGCCCTATCCACCAAGGGCTTTGAAGTCGAGCACGTGAAGCAGATCCGGGCGCGAGCAGGCCGCCCCGGATGCATCTTCTATGCAGCACTGAAGCGCACACCTGATCTTATCCCGGGCATATA